TTTTAAACTTGCCAAATATTTCTTTCCAATCTTCAAATTCATTTTTGTCAGCATCCAAATCTGCATTGGAGCTCATAAAGTATTCAATGTCCTTTATCTTTTCAGAAAACTGCTTGTATATGAATTTTCTTTTATCCAGTGCTATGTTCAAAACATACTGGCCCTTTTCAGTCAGTTTTCCTGATTCGGTTATTAATGATTCAGCATTTCTCCTAGGTTCATGAATCAGCTCTTTATCACTTGGAACAACATCACTCAATGGTCTACTTGGCATGACTTTAATCAATTAAACAGCACTTCCAATAATCAGGAAATAGTTGAAGTAAGTTACAGTTCTTGAATTCTGTAATCCTAAATGATGAAATCCAATTCAGTGTAGACACGTTTCCCGGAGAGGGAATAAATCTCTCCTGTTTCAGACGAATAAACACACACTTCCATACTCAAATAGGTATTTTTTACACCCTTTTATTTAAGCCATAAAAGTCACATTTACTTACCAATGTCAAACTTCTTGAAGAGAAAATTAAATAGCTTGCTTTAACTACAAGTCCTTAATCCAACTTGTGGTCATCTGTTTTGAATTTTGCACAATCCTATAGCTGATCCACGAAGGGAGACACAATCTTCTTCACATCCAGATTTTCACAGGGTTTTCAACGTTTAATGTGAACTCTAAAAATATCTAGTTATTGGGGGTAGAGGATTTCAAAGTTTCAACTCAATCCAGCACTTAAAAAAAAATTAATTTCAAACTCCACCATTTCCATATAACATATATTCATAAATTCTCTAAATATCCAAACGACGATAGAATAATACACCAAGAACAAGTCGTGAACAGTCGTAGTACAATGAACACTTGCAGGACAGGTTGAGAAAAATATGTCCTCTATTCCTTTAACGCAATCTTTTTACACTCTTCTAGAAACATGTCTTACTTCTTTCATATCATAAAACTCCCTGCCTTCTTACTCACACTCATTCGTCCAACTATATATCTGAAATTCTTGGTAGGAAACTTACCAAACAAATGACTAAACACATGCACAGAACCACACACACAAACCCTGACAAAGGTACAAGTGTAATGTTTGTCTATGGACTGCAGATGCCTAAAATGCGGCTCTAACAACATGCATCTATAGTTTAGAAAACACTGACAGACACTGAGCTACCATTGATCACATCTCTTCCCACTCATAAAAAATATCATCTGCAAAAGTAGTTTTCATCTTCGGTAATTTCATCAACAGGGTTTTGCAAAACTTTCCAGCCAGTTATTTTTAGCCACTTACAACAATTTCATGGTGCAAACTTTCTAGATTTACAGTATACATTTCTAGGTTAATTCTAGCTTCTGTATGTTATTCATTGCCGTAAGGTTCATGTCCGTGATGCCTGCATTTGATCAGTAAATACAAACCAGTAAGACAATAGTGGGACAAAGACAATTTCAGCAAGACCAAAAGTCAAAAGAGCCCAACTCTGTGCATGAATTTTGTGCAAATCATTGCAGCTTAAGTTTTATTCAAAAGCAAGATTTGCACATAATTCATGCACAGCGTTGGGCTCGTTTGACTTTTGTTATTAATACACTGCCATATTTCGTTGCTTGACTTGAAATAAACATGCATAACTACGACACCACATTTCGATTGTATGTATTCACGAATAATGGAGAGATGTAGTGTGTTCTAACTCGTGAGGTATTTGCGATGCAATGTCTCTGACCTGCCTCTCTTGGGCTTCACTCTCCAAGTACTGGACATGCCATGATATGACTGGAATACTTTTCAAAACATTACCCAAGTCACTCCTACATGTCTGTTGTTATGATCTGGTGCTCAATGCAGAACTCGAACAGACGTGTATCTGGAGTCCTTTTGCTACATATTTTAGCTCCGTCTGTAGCCAAAATAGACAGGACTCGTACACTAAAAGTCAAATATACAAACAAAAATTGAAATAATTCAAACTTTATGACAGGTCGCTTGTTGCTTTTGGCAAAATAGAATGAGAGCAGTTCCTCATCATTCTTTAAACTATGCCGTAAACTCATTGCAGGGTGTCATAGGACTGTATGAAGTCAGGAAGGGAATATCGCTGCATTTTAGAAAGAGAGGGAAATATGTAAAAACAGTTGTTATTATATTCCATTTGCTCAAACATTTGCAGACTAACATATAGAAATAATTGTTTTCTTGTAGATGAGTGTTTTATCCATATGTGGTTAAACTATTGTTAAAAATTAAATACTATTGTGTTTTCATACAAAATTAAGGAAAAAGATTCACCTATATACTGCAGTTGAAAAGTATATACTTCAGAAGTTTATAAGTGTGCCCAATACGTTAAAAACTCAGAATATCAACCAGCAGACGTCTTGAAGATCATGACCATTAGCTCAATTCATAAGCAGAATTATGTCCATCGTCGATAAAGTCAACTTATGAAAGGACTCTGGATAAGAGACTAACTGTGCCAACTTCTGTGTACATGGTATACTATATGTTATTATTCTCTTATATGTTATATATATATATATATATATATCTATATATATACTTGTATATGTATGTAAATATTTGTATGATAGCATGAATATGAATATTAAAATGAAAATATTTTGATGCATGTGTGTGATATTTTATGGCGTTTCATGTTGGAAACAGGGACAACTCAACAACAAACAAGAATTGCTGATGACAAACGGCGATTATGATCAGTATTTGAAAAAAGGTTTAGTATTGAAAGATTTGATACTACATTCATTGGTGAGTTAAAGAAATAATTGTGTTTTTCATGATTTGTTTGAAAACTGACTGGGTGGTGAGTGAGGATTATGTTGTTTTTAAATTTTTAGTAGGGTACAAATCTAAAGAGCGTAAACATGATTCTAGTGTATCACATGACCTCTTTTAGCCATGCTTTGTGTATATACCCAAAAATTATTATTAATTTTCAGCTGCACTCTATTTCTAGATGCATACTATACATGTGGATTGCCATGACCTCATGTGGTCTTATGGATAGAGTGTTTGCCCGGAGTGTGGAAGGTGAGTGGTTCGATCCTAGCTGAGTCATTCCATAAGACATTAAAAGATGGTACTACTTGTTACCCTGCCTGGCACAGGGGATAAAACAAGGACTGGTCGGCTCAGAGCCAGTCTGATACCCATGTTAAACTGTGGTATGATATCTTATAGGTATAGCGAACACACCACTATATTAGTGAAATAATTTTGAAGAAGACATTGAACCCCATTCCACTTCACCTCATGTTTCCATGACAACTGGCGTGCCTTGTCAACAAACTGGATAAAAATCAGCTTTACGTGAAGTTTTCCAGGCTTTGATTCCCATCTTACAATGTATATCAGATTACAGCATAGCCACAGTGTAAAGCCGGTACGGGTAAATTGGGTACTCAGGTCGGGTGGGTACTGAGTAGGACCCGGGTAATCATGTGATATATTGTTTAATGATGAGTGACTAATGTTCACATTCCTTCTTACTTTATATGTTTGATTAAAGATAAAACTTCAGTCAACTTCAGTTTATGCATGACCAGATCCTTTTTATTCGTGTATCTAAATACATTTTGCCAAACAATGACCAGTCGGACATTTGGACCTATCCTTTTGAGACCTACAGTGGGTACCCGGGTAGGGTCGGGTAATAGGGGTGTGAGTACCCAGGTAGTAAATTTGGACTCGTCCCAGCCCTACCACAGTGCCATGTGACCTCTTTTAGTCCTTACCCCTGCAAACTGGCCAGCAAGATCACAAATTTAATGTCAAAATATGGGATAGAATAGGTCTTCAGCAACCCATGCTTGCCATAGAAGGCGAGTATGCTTGTCATAAGAGGCAACTAACGGATTCTGGTGGTCAGGCTCACTGACTTGGTTGATGCATGTCATCGTATCCCAATTGCCCAGATTGATGCTGTTGATGTATCTCATATATTCAGATCTTACTTCCAGCTACCCCCCAAAAAATCTGAGAACATCCTATTACGGGTCACGTCAGAGTGACCTTTCCTCCGAACAATCCTCGCTTACCAGATGAGGAAAGTGAGAGTCGGAATGTGTTTTCTACTTATGCAAGCCCGAGAAGGTTAACACAGGGTCAATCTCTTGCTTCATTTGAAGCCTAAAAGATTTTCTATGACCTGTGTTAAGTACTGCATTACAATCTCGGCCATCTATTTAACACTCCAGAATTATCTTTTGTTCAGTTTTCAAAGTTTGAATCGAGAACTGTCAAAATATATTTCAAAGTGTAGTCTGGAATGGAAGTCCCCAGTTTGAAACTTGTGCCATGAAGCTCGAGAAAGCTGCTTTCTGATTGGCTAATGTCAACTTCATGTTGGTCATTTCATTAGTCGGTCAAAGTTCATGAAAGGTTGTTTGGACGTGACCCGTAATTGGATGTCTTCAGATCTTTGCTTACCAGTAGAGAGAACTAAGATCTCATAAAATAAGACTTGACTCATTTTTTGTTTGATACAATATAACTGATTTCATTTGACTCAGGTCTTGGCTGCATGAAGTCATCTTGGTGATAAGCACTCCCTATACATTCCTGTTAATACATGCTCGGTGAACACAGTCATACAAGCAGGCCTCCTATAAGTATAATCACCTGTGACCATTGCATGTATCCAGCTGTACTACTGCTGACTGGTGTAACATTCAACCTGTGAAGATCTGGGGTAGAATAGACCTCCAGCAACCCATACTTGTCATAAAAGGCGACTATAACGGGATGGGGTGGTCAGGCTTGCCGACTTGGTTGATGCATGTCATCGTATCCCAATTGCGTGGATTGATGTCCATGATGTCAATCACTGGATTGTCTGGTCCAGACTAGATTACTTACAGACCGCCGTCATATTGCTGGAATATTGCTGAGTGTGGTGTTAAATAAACAAACAAACAAACAAACAAAAACATTCATCCACTCATAAGCAGAAGTAATAACTCAACACAAGTCTACAAAAAAATGTTTATCTACACATTAATAACATGTCATAATCATAACAAACTAAAAATAACATGACAACAGACAGGACAAAATGATCCTTGATGATAGTTTACAAAACTGCTATACATTTATACATTTGAAGGGAAGTATTATAATGCACAGATGATAATCACTTCAAAATTTTTCTTTGGTATCCAACATAGGCACGTTTGAAACTATTGTTTTTAAAAACATGGTTCTTAAATTTCAGAGGTATTTTAATGCTGCATTCAATAATCATGTAACACTAAACATTAAAGCATCTACCTCATCACTGGTCTGGGTATCAGTCACCTCTGCAACAATCTCATTTAAATCAGATCTAAGTTTCTTTCTTTCATTCATGCTTGAACGATCTTTCGCGAACTTTGACAGACCACTGAAATGACTAACAAGAAGTGGACATCAGCCAATGAGAAAGCAGCCTTCTCAAGGTTTACGGCACTCGTTTCAACCTGGCGACTTCCATTTCAGACTACGCTTGTAAAATATGTAGGCACAGTTCTCGATTAAAACTTTGAAAACTGAACAATTCCTGAATGTGTAATATATGGTTGAGATTGTATGGCAGTGCTTCCCACGTACTGAGCAACGCCTCCTCTGTTCAAATGTTTATCTAATGGAAGCGAGAGATAGACGATAATTTTGACGGCATCAGTCGTACAGGCCGTAACTGTTAACATTTTCGAGGTTTCATGATTAGAAAACACATTCCGAATGTCACTTTCATGATCTGGTAAGTGACTCTTTGAATGGTCGGATGAAAGGTTGTTCTGACGTGACCCGTAATGGGATGTCCTCAGACCTTTGTTTAGCAATATGAGAACTAAGATCTGATTTGAATGAGATTGTCTCTGCAAGGCCATTACACTAGTTATCACTATAACATAAACTGGGACATTTCACTGACGTTTCTGAAGACTTTGGGCTGAATTTCAGTCTCTGAGCTGGTCTAGCTATTTCCTTGCTCTGATTGTCATCATTCCTAGATGATGGATGACAATGGTCACTCCACTGACCCCGGGTTTGTCTGGTCAAGGCCCAATCGGTGAACAGGCTGACATGATATACCAATAGTTATCAGCACATCATAAACTGGAGTGAGTGAGTGAGTATGGATTGAAGCCGCTTTTAGCAATATTCCAGTAATATCACGGCGGGGGACACCAGAAATGGGCTTCACACATTGTATCCATGTCGAGAATCGAACCCAGTTCTTTGGCGTGATGAGCAAACGCTTTGACCACGCCCTCATAAACTAGAACCTCGTTGAATCACTCATTGTACATGGAATCCTACAATCATATCAGTAGCTTCAAACATTTAATTGATCCCTTAATGTTTCTCTTACGTACTGAAAAACATATTTTAAAAGTATTTCCATAAAAACGTTTAACCAATAACAAGGGGGAAAAAAAGGTCAATGCTGGATTGGTGATGATGATGAGTTCGTGATGCTTAATGCCACTGCAGCAATGCCCTCTTTGAGAGGGGGATGACTTCAAGGTATATACATGGATTTACAATGTAAGGACAGACACGCAAGAACATTCATTTTGGCATCTGTATAATACTTAAAATGCATGTATTCTTATCACAGATTACAGGTTTTCATCCAAGTACGATAAATAGTTGTACTCAGACAACAGACATCTGACACAGACTTCAATCATCACATCAGACATCTGATAACAGAAATCCAACACCAGACATCAAACATCTGACAACAGACATCTGACAACAGACATCAGACATTTGATAACAGAAATCTAACATCAGACATCTGACAACAGACATCTGATAACAGACATCTGAAAACAGACATCAGACATCTGATAACAGAAATCTAACACCAGACATCTGACAACAGACATCTAACAACAGACATCAGACATCTGACAACAGACATCAGACATCTGACACAGACTTCAATCATCAAACCAGACATCTGATAACAGAGATCTAACACCAGACATCAGACATCTGACATCAGACATCTGACAACAGACATCTGACACAGACTTCAATCATCACATCAGACATCTGATAACAGAAATCTAACACCAGACATCAGACATCTGACAACAGACATCTGATAAAATATCCATTAGACATCAGATACCATATACTACGGAGCAGAAGAAAGATCTTGGCCACTCTCATCAGTGAGATCTAGAGGAAGAACAAGACAAAGCACACTTCTTGCAGGTTAAAGGGCTGTACTGCTACCCCTGCTCCAACTCAACCTGGTTTAGGTCAGTTCTAGGCCAGATCATCTCATGCCTCCATGGTAGAGCGGATCCTACTCCGGTGAAGCCCTGCTCCAGCCTGCAGCTCAGTAGCCAAAGAACGCTGGCACCTCATCTGAGCTGTACAGCACCTTGTCTATGTGCTTCATCATCTTCTGAGCTGCATGTCTGAAACAGCCATTGCCTCATGTCAGCAAGTCAGTGCTACATTCACAAACTGGGAGCTTCACATTTTCACTCATTGCTTCAAGACATCAAGAATATCCAGCTCAAAAAGCCTTTTGGGGACAGCTGAGGCAAAATAATGAGTGAGTTTGGAAACAAGCTAATTTCTTTTGATTAAAATACCAGGCCCTCAACCCCAGAACATAAAATGGTTGGTCCTAAAGTGAACGAGGAAATACATGGATTGTCAATTTATTCAAATTATTCAAAGATTTCAAGTGTATTTTTTAACACACCTTGAAGTCCTGAATTATATTACACATTTCACTACAATAATGTGAGGGAGACTGGCTGCACATGATTCACAGACCAGTGCTAAGATCAGGGCATGCAGGACCCTGTCATGCCATACATGACCCGGCCCGGCTTGCATAGTGATGTCAGCTTTGGCGTCTCGCACACAACGCTTGATTTGCAAAAGTTTTGTGCTTGGCATATTGTACAATATTTCTGCATTTGGAATGCAATGATTGTCTATTTCAACATGCAACATTGATTTGACGCTGTGTATCGTATCTAAATCTCTTTGTTCCTTGTTCTGTTTGTTTGTTTGTTTGTTATTTAACGCCGCACTCAGCAATATTCCAGCTATATGACGGCAGTCTGTAAATAGTTGAGTCTGGACTAGACAATCCAGTGATGAACATCATTAACCAAGTCAGTGTGTCTGACCACCCGATCCCTCTTAATACGACAAGCACATTGTTCCATGGACTCTCCAAGCTTGGAATGTGCACACTTCCCAGCAGTGATGTTTCCACCAGTACACTTACTTAGAGATTCCCTTGCAGTACAGCATCCTGAGAACCTGCAGCCTCTTGCACCCCTTCCTCAGATACTTGATGGCCTTGTCGCTGAAACACATGCATCAGTGAGTGAGTGAGTGAGTGGGTGCGTTAGAGAGAGTGAGAGAGTTTCCCATAACCAATGAGTGTGTATGGTTTTACACCGTTTTTAGCACTCCAGAAATAACCTGATGGAGCCCTACAAACTTTGAATAGAAGCTGTCCAATTTACCGAAATAAACAATAACTTGAATAGGTATACAAAATACTTCATAATATTTGAGCATATGTGTTCCAAATGAGCAAAAAATCTCTCTATTTCGTATCTTTAGAATACTGATAAAAATAAGAAACAATTCTGGCATTTTCCCTTTATTTGATTGTTTATGCAATGTCTGACATTACAATGCAAAGGCTACTGACAATGGCAGTCTTAAAAAAAGGACAAGGTAGGATAAGGGCTATTTGGGGGCAACAGGATCTGCATATTGTAAGAATTACAAAGCAAAACTAATAGAAATGGTTAAGAAAGTTATCGGATATGTTCATATGAATGAGACCTAAACTTTGGCTAAACTAAGGGCTGATTGTTAAAGGTTTTAGGAAGCGTGTTTCTAATATTTGAATAAGTGCAAGTCTGATTTTCATTGATAAAAACATAAAAACATAAGGGAAGCAGATTTTCATTACTGGGTAGTCTTTGAACCTATTGCAACACTTTGTCTTGCAGCTAAACCTGTGCATGCAAAAATATGTGCAGTGAACACACAAGGTGTTTTTTTCATGGAGCAAACAATATTTCTTGCTTTTCAAATCTCATTTTCTTTCCAATCATCATTTTCTAAGGTCAACTGAATCCATGAATGTTTTATAAGTTGCGCCTAGACTTGTTTCTCTACCAGAACATGTACCTGATGAGGAAACAGCCGCTGATGTCCAGCTCCGCCAGATAGTGACACACACCAGACAGATACTGCAGACTCAGGTCCGTCACCTGCAGACAAGGGGAGATAATTCAGACTGTACATGCATATTATATACTTTGTTACACCGACATTGGAAGTTGGAGCTAACTGCTAGTTTTTTTTATTATCCAAAGACCAGACAACCAACTCTTGCCATTCATTCAGTTATGAATCACAAAAAAATATTTTTTCAATCAAGTTCATTAAAATTGTACCCAGATCTGATGCCTCTCTCCGTCAAGAACTTACAAACCCTCCGAAGGTGGTCGCATCAGGTGTCAGCTTAAAAACAATTTAGCTTCATTCTTTACAACATCTTTTCGAAATTTCTATCCTAATAAAAACAAAACCATCCAGACACCATGGTGCTCAGAAACAACAGGCTGTATCAAATATCAAAACACATATGTGCGGCCTTTAATATTTGCATTCAGAACTGCCATTTAGATTCATTTTCGAGATACACATAATTAACATATGCTGCTATGGATGCCTTGCTTCCATGTACTGATGTTTTTGAAGCCTCAGCACCAGGTGAACTTGTAAAACCCACCAGTTTGCATCCAGCCAGGTTGAGCACTGTCAACATGCGACAACAGAAAGCAAGGTTCTTGATGGCTCCATCTGTTATTTGCTGAAATCATGAGTAACAAAACATTTATCAGTGGTGATATTTTAGTGAATAACCTCCATGAGTTCTGGTGAATATGAATTATCTGTCCCAAGTGAATTGTCTAAATCCCAAGCCAAATGCTGAGGGAGACCAGTCATTTATCATAGGGGTGGGTGGGTCAGAGGTTTTTGATGCACTATGCACTGAAAATAATTCCTCCCTAATGCTGGTCATATTTTGGGATGACCCTCATTGTACAATGTTTTCAGGACCCTCCTTGAAAAGACAAAATCCAAAAGCACTTTTATATTTTATTAGAAAATGTCAATTTTCTAAGGACCCTCCCAAATATGTGACTATTTCTAAAACCCTCCCCTAGCGATTGTCATATTTTTTGGTGCCCCTCCCCTGATTCCCTCTGACCCACCCACCCCCTAATAAATGACTGGTCCCTAAACCTTGTAGTGTTATAGGAGATGTTGAAAATGAAAAATCAAACAACAGATGAACGGACGATGACAGACAAACAACAGCCAAGACAACATTTGATGCAAGTTCACTTGACTCGCAGTCAAATTACTTTTACTAGAGGTGATGATGATCAGTATATTGTCACATTATTGTTTGTATGTCAACTATGCACTACACATGGTTACATACAACCACTTAGGACCGGGTCCAACACTCAACCACTGTTCTACCATTCAATTCTATGACTGGTGCTGGGGCAGGCAGATCTTGTGTCAGGTCTGTACTTTCAAATTTGTATCGGTGCTTATGGCCTGTAGTAAATTCACGTATCATATTACTTGTCATAATAGCCTGCATTGTTTTAAATGAGGGCCTGAAGACTTAGTCAGGGCCTGCAGCTTCTAAAGTCTCTGGGTCCTGATGGCAGCCTGGCAGTGTTTTGTATTTCAAACCCAGAGTTGCATCCCTTAGGTCTACCATAATCTGACGATCTAGGCCTTAGAAGCCTGATTCCCCCTGGTTATGATTCTAGGTTTGTCAGCACCATACCCCTGCTCGTGGTTTCTCCAAACATCTATCACTTTCAGCTTTCCTCCAACACAAAGCTGACACACCATGATATAACTGCAATACTGCTCATGATGTCAATCACTGGATTGTCTGGTCCAGACTTTATTATTAACAGGCTTTCGTCAAATAGCTTGAATATTGTTGAGAGCGACATTAAACAACAAACAGCAATCTCATTAAAATCAGATCTTAGTTCTCGTTACCGCTAAACAAAGATCTGAGGACATCCCATTACGGGACACCGACCTTGCGCAAACTTTGACCGACCAATGGAATGACCAATCAGAAGGTAGCTTTCTTGTGCTTTACGGCACTAATTTCAAATTGGCTATGCTTTGAAACATATTTTCACAAATTCTTGATTACAAATTTGAAACCTGAACAAAAGAACATTCTGGAATGGCTAATAGATGGTCTAGATTGTATGGATTCAGTCGTTAAACTTGTAATTATCGTTCGGAATACCCCGTGTTAAAGTTTTTGAGGTTGCATGATTAGAAAGCGCATTCCGACTGTCACTATCATAATCTGGTAAGCGACGCTCTGATTGGTCTGACGTGACCACTAATGGGATGTCTTCAGATCTTTGCTTAGTGGTCTAAGGTCTGATTTTAATGAGATTGCTCACTCACTCACTCACTCATCCATCACTTACCATACAGTGTGACAGGTCAAGTCTCTGCACCTCCTTGCACTGCTGGGCAAACTTCTGCAGTCCGAGGTCAGTGATGCCCATACACTCGGACAGCGTGACGTCCTGGAGCCGGGTGTTGTTCCCCAGAGCCGATAAGCCCTGCAACCATCATCATTGTACACTCACGAGCCAAATGTTTGTCAACTTTCCATGAAACTCATGGCTTTTATATGTTATTTCGGTGCAGCAAAAATAATTTAATTATAATAGTACCAAAATTGATAAGAATTGGCATGAAGATTCAGAAAACATTGTGCAAATGCATTTTCTTTCACCCTACCAACACTATATACATGTACTAAATTACAAAATCGCAAAATAAGTCTAATAATATTCCTATTATAATTTCAATTGGTGTTGAAAAGAAAATGTGCCTATGGACACCTACCTCATTTACATTTGCAATTGTGAGTGGTTTTATAACTCTTTCAGCAATATTCCGGCAATATCACGGCGGGGAACACCAGAAATGGGCTTCACACATTATACGCATGTCGGGATTCAAACCCGGATCTTCAGCGAATGATTGCAATTATAAACATAATGAGCAGATGATTTAATCACCTTTGTTTCAACCATATATATGATGTCAAAACGTCAAAACTGCAGATGTGAAAATTATTCATGTTACACTGAAATAACATTGAAATCTGTGGGATTTCATGGGTGTGTAGTCCTACACTTAGAGACTAACTCAGAGATAAACCTACTGTGTTTTCAACTTAGACGTTTCATATGTGAGTGAGTAAGTGAGTTGGGTTTAATGCCGCTTTTAACAGTATTCCAGTTATATCACAGCGTGATATTTTGTTTGACAAATACAATTAAGCAACACCAATATTGGAGCACCAAAGATTCACAACACTGGGATGCACTGGCTGACATTTGTGTGGACACATTTCCAACAACTTGGTCCAAGGGAGGCTACTCTCATTTGCGACATTAAGTTCAAGCCTGCAATTACTGCAGCAGTGACAGCTGCTATGACAATGCGGCATAATGTTTTGTTCATTATTGATGTTCTGAACCCTAATAATGCCATGATGCATTACTTCAATACAAGACTGAAATTCTGTCTACCATCAAGGCTTCAATAGTTTGTTCTGTGCTAGATCAAAGGCTACTGCACAAAATCAGTTGACAGATATGAAAATATATCAATAACTTTATGAGTTTTGAGATGCAAGTTCCCTGTGTGGGAAGTGAATGTGTGCCTGGTAGGATGAGATGGTAATGTGTCTGTTAAGTAGTAGCACATCACATGCAGCTTCGGTTTTATACTCCCCAGGGAGTTGTGAATGAACTTCGAGTATACACTGATCCATTGACTAGGGTAATAATGTAGCCCTTTTTTTTAGCATGCTTTAGGATGGGGTTTTGGTGCATTATAAATATGCACATTATTATTGTTGTTGTTGTTATTATTATTATTATTATTATTGATGGGGATTTAGTGCATTATGAATATGCACATTACTACTACTACTACTACTACTACTACTATTACTATTATTATTATTATCATTATTATTAAAACTGTAATTCATGTTGAAGAAATAATGAGGTACACAAAAACAATTCAGTTATATTTTGACCTACCGAAGGTAACTGAATAACAAAAAGTCATAAAAACCGCAGCCATTACATAAACCTGCTGTGAATGATGTTATACACCATGACGTTACCTGGTCAGCACAGTTGCAGCCGGAGAGGTCGAGTGAGATGAGGCTGTGTGTCTGTCCCAGCAACTCGATGCCAGCCTCGCTGATGTGCTCGCAGAAACACACACTCAGGTATGTCATGCTGTGACACCTGCAGCATCAGTGATTCAAGGAGTGTAAAGGACAGCATGCATGTGAACACGTTTTTGGAATAATTATTTTTTTCCAACATTTCAAAAAATAAACCATGATTTATCAAAAATAATCCCAGGAGTGAGATCTCACTGAGTGGGTGTCCAATGATAGATCTGATCTAGTGACCTAACTGATTGTAATAATAACATATGATTCAGGAAGCCTGCTGCTGGTAGTTTTACTCTAAAGTTAAAGAAAAACTACGTTTCAAAAGAAAACAATATTTGAAAGCAAATAAGGGTAAGATTTATGTGGATTGACATGATAACATCAGTTATGTCCCTTCAGTGTGAGACTCACACAAAATGCATGAAACTTCAGCATTTATTTGAGAATTGTTGTCACCCACATTGGGTATTGGTATATTGTATATGTTTATTGGTACTTCTAGACCAGAGAGACCTTTTAAAAAATAATCTGCCTAAAATCTTGTGACAGTCAGATGACTTCTAATTTGCATGTGTCCATGTGCTGTCCCAGGTCTGTCACATGTTCCATAAGTTCATTTCAGTGATACATGGCTCAGCTACAATAAGCACTTTGACGCTTTAGGGCATTACACTCTGCAGCAGAGTTCATTTATTACTCACAGAATTAGAAATAGCCGAGTTCATAAAAAGTTGCACTAGTGCAAATATTACTTCTCTCATACCAGTGTATTGTTTTGGCATAATTGTTGACGTCTTTCCAATCTAATTGTGACATTAGGTCGGAATGATGTCACACTAGAAATAACGTCCTAGCTGAAGATTTTGACATTATTCAACAAACAAATTGTGGTTTTCTAGGACAGCAGTGGTGATCGGAGTTCAAAGGGGAGTTCAAAAGGACTAAGTAATAATGGGTCATGAAGATATTATTTCACTCACATGTGTGCCATACTGATTGTACGAAACTTGCGAAAATTTGTGTATTACCCTCACTCTCGCTTGGGAAATACAAGAATTCTTACACTTGTTTCGTAAAATCAGTATGACACACATGCTCATATAACAATCACTATGTATGCCTGTATTCAATCAGTAAATAACAATATGCAAAGAAACACACAGTGTTGTCATACTACTTTTTTCAAATTTTCATGTATGTTTGTATGCAAGCAACACAAAAGTTATTAGGTAATGGTGATTTTATTTTGCATATTTATGGAAAAACACAGTTTTCTGGAGATCAGTAATTATTTCCAGCTTAGCTTTCTGTGCTGTGAACATGGTCTCTCACCTCTTATGTAGGTTGACCATGGCCATGTCGCCCACCCTGATGCAGTTGGTGAGGTTCAGCTCCCGCAGCTTGGGGGCACACGACCCCTCCACTAGATGCCTCACCCCCGTGTCGGTGATCCTGGAGGTAGACGCACACTGTCATGGTGTTTTTAACTGATAAACCTGCTCAAAGTCTTGAAAGGTGCAAAAAGTATGTGGATAGGTGAGATTGTATTGGGTCAAAATGCATCCTACGTCTGATGTTCCTCTCAACAGGAAGCCAAATATTGCATCACATACATCATGTACTCATAAACTTGAGGGAGATGCCAACAACATGTAAAAGTGTGGCTGAATCAAACAAATGTAATTGTCCTTGTTGCCAGTTTCAGAACAGTTGATGACCTGGGACATCCTGAAAAAGACTTAATGCTATTTGTCTCCAGCAAAGTCACTGATTGTTGCAGCATGTGTGTTAAAATAAGCTGACATTTCAAGTTTGATAAGAAATACAACCAAACTTCAGACTGTCCATCTTCACTCAATCACAAGTTTCATAATGAAGGCTCAAGAGCATCAATCTCATTAAAATCAGATCTTAGTTCTTGCTACCACGAAACAAAGATCTGAGGACATCCCATTACGGGTCACGTCACACCAACCTTGCGTGAACTTTGTCTGACCAATGGAATGACCAATCAGAAGGCAGCTTTCTCGTGCTTTACGGCACTAATTTCAAATTGGCTACTACGCTTCGAAACATATTTTGACAAATTCTCCTTTACAAATTTGAAACCTGAACAAAAGAACATTCTGGAATGGCTAATGGATGGGCTAGATTGTATGGATTCAGTCGTTAAACCCGTAACTATCGTTCGGAATAAAGTTTTCGAGGTTGCATGATTAGAAATCACATTCCGACTTTCACTTTCACAATCTGGTAAGCGACGCCCTGATTGATTGGATGAAAGGTCATTCTGATGTGAACCCTAATGGGATGTCTTCAGATCTTTGTTTAGCGGTAGCGAGAACTAAGGTCTGACTTTAATGAGATAGCAAGAGCATGTGCAGAGATGTCATCAAACATTCCAGGAAGGAACCTGTGCCATATATTGCCAGCCTGTAGGCATTAAAGCGATCACAGAAGTCACACAATCTCCATGCCTTACACCTATAAATTATAACCAACAGTCCCCAGGACGCAAACATAAATATACCCTGGTCATCCTCATCCCTGACTCTAGTTTCTGCTACAGCGAGTACCTGACACAGTCGGCGATGTTGACAACAGTGAGGTTCCTGCAGTTCTGTAGTGCCTTCATGGAGACGTCGGTGATGCGCTGGCAGTCAGTCATGTAGAGGTGCTCCAGGCCCACACAGTTCTTCCCGATGGCCTTCAGACTGACGTCCGAGATGCGGTTGTTGCCTAGAAAGTGAAATACATCTGGAGGTGTTAGAACTCATTCACATAAATTATCTTTATGACAACATATGATAAGTGCAGGTGTATAATGAGGACCCTATATTAAACATACAATACATAAATATAAAATATATACATACAATGCATCAAACTAGAAGTGAGGAATATATAGCAGATATTCACTGCATCCTGACAATTATTTAGATTATCCCTTCCAGTGAATAAGACAAGTTTATTTTTCATCAGTGCTCAGCATCTTCGCATCTGTTCTAGTGGATCTTCTGTCCCTATTATCTCTGCCAAGATTTCGTGGGCGCAAATTTTCGTTATCTTCGATTTCATCATTACTAAAAAGGGACACTTCTTCATTTTAAATAACCATAATTGTTATCATTCACTGGTCAGCACTGATGGAGAACATGGCATAGTGGTGAGGTGAGGTGAAATGGGGTTTAACGTCGCGTCCAAGATTATTGCACTTATATAGCAACGTGCATGCACGTGTGTGTGTGGCTGCTTGTACTAGTCTGGACTGATGCCTATTTATAGTGCTAGCTCACTGAGATATCATGCCGCAGTTTAACATGAATACCTCACTCAGACACAGTATACTGACTCCGAGCTGACCAGTCCTAGTTTTAGCCCCTTAATGCCGAGCGCCAGACAGGGTAACAACAAGTACCATCTTTTAACGTCTTTTGGTATGACGCAGCCAGGGATCGAACCCCTTCCGCTCTCCGGGCGGACGCTCTACCTCTAGACCACGGAGGCGGTTCATGGTATAGTGGAGTGAACTAACCTGTGATTTGTACAAGTTTGCAAATGTCTTATTAGCTTTAAATAGTTCAAATGTCCCCAAATGGAGAGAAATGGGGTCGGCCAATATCCAAAACCAACTTTAGACATTTACTAGTGAACATGTTACAGTCTGCATGTTGACTGAATTATACGATGTGTTCACATATTTGAAAGAATGCACTCTCACCTTCAACCTTTATCATCTTGAGCCTCTTGGACTGAGCCAGTTTCTTGAATGCTTCATCAGTGAGCAGTGGGGAGCCGAGGAAGGACACTGTGTGGATCTTGGTACAATTCTCAGCAAGTGCCTGAAGTGTTGCATTACAGGTACATGTAGTTAGTTTATAGGTGAGGTGAAATGAGGTTTAACGTCACGTCCAAGATTATTGCACTTATATAGCGATGTGTGTGTGTGTGTGTGTGTGTGTGTGTGTGTGTGTGTGTGTGTGTGTGTGTGTGTGTGTGTGTCTGCTTGTACTAGTCTGGACTGATGCCAATTTAAAGTGCTAGCTCACTGAGATATCATGCCGCAGTTTAACATGAATACCCCACTCAGACACAGTAAACTGACTCTGAGCCGACCAGTCCTTGTTTTATCCCCTTAATGTCGAGCGCCAGACAGGGTTACAACAAGTACCATCTTTTGGTATGACGTGGCCGGGGATCGAACCCCGGACCTTACGCTCTCCGGGCGGACCCTCTACCACTAGTTAGTTTATAATGAGCAGAGGCGGATCAAGATTTTGAAAAAGGGGGTGGAGACTTATAACATAGCCAAACACAGAGAGCAAGCTTAATTAGTCACATTTGTTAATTTCAGAGGTTTTTTAAAGCATTTTCTTTCAACATCTGAGTGTGAGTTTGTCCTTAACCAAAACTGATTTTCTTCGGAATGGTGAGCAGAGCCAGTTAAATTACTAGCAAAAGTAATCCATTTGGGTCACTTTAAAATAATATATATATCTATTCATTACAGTGGAACCTGGTTGTGTCGATCTCATAGTCGTCTCCAGGCAAAACTTACCCTCATAAGCCAAACTCAAAGTTTTTGAAAAACACAACAGATGCCAATTATAATTAGTACCAAGTATAATGACCTAAACACTAAATGACTAAAATACACATAAGTGTAGATCATCTTCCCAAGGCAAGGGTGTTAACTGACAACAAAAGTCCAGTTTCCACCCTTGCCGAACAACAATGGAATTTCCTGGTTCGATCATAGCGACACCAGTGGCCATTATGAGTTATGTCCCTTCTATTTCCCTCCTATTGACCAATCAGATTCATCCTCTAATATCACTTGCATTTGCTTCAAACAAAAAGGATGGTGCCCATTCAAGACGATCTGATCGATAATCAAGATCTATATTGTAATAAAATGGGTCTTACCTCACAAAATGCATCAAATCATTTGAGCACCTTGATTAAAAACATGAAAAGATCACCAAATTAGCGGTTGACGCCCATTGGTACCCATGCTTTGCAAATCCTGCAGTCAATTGAAATCTGCATGTTGAAATCCATGTTGTTTATGAACCAGATGTCTTGTTTGTTGGACAATTGACTGGACTAACATAGACTCGTTTGTCCAGCCAAAACTCAGCCAATTACAGCCTAGTTCGGCAAGGTTCGTAACTGGACTTTTACAGTCAGTTAACTCCCTTGCCTCAGGAAGATGAAATGTAGAAATTGCTTCTGTTCTTATTTCTTTTTATATAAAAGTTATTTCCAAAAAGGCACACAATGTGGTCAATCTCATTAAAATCAGATCTAAGTTCTCTCTATGGCTAAACAAAGATCGGAATGTGTTTTCTAATCATGCAACCTCGAAAACGATTACCGGGGTATTCCGAACGACAGTTACGGCCTGTATGACTGATTCCTTCAAAATTATTGTCTGTCTCTCGCTTCCGTGGGATAAACATTTGAACAGAGGAGGTGTTGCACAGTACGTGGGAAGCACTGCAGTACAATCTCAACCATATATTAGACATTCCAGAATGTTCATTTGTTCAGTTTTCAAAATTTTAATAATTGACATAATTCTTAAAATACTGTATCAGGTGACTGCTAATTTGCATGTTTCCATGAATCACACATTGCACAACAGCAATACATGTCAAAGTTGCAATAAGCGAGACGTAGCAGTGTTCTTTCATTATTAACTGCAGTAGAGTTCAAGAATACATAATGCCTGTATTCGATCAGTACACAAAGATTTGAAAAGACAGACAGGCGATATAGTGCAAATGTTTCCTACATATACACAGCTTATCTGGACCTCTACTAACTTCTGCTAGTCATATGGATCCCTGACTTTTATGAATTCTGACCGGCACTGTTAATGTAACACTGTCCAAGGTGTACTGTACCCTTAGCCAACTTACAATGACACATTCATCATTGAGTGTGGGGAACTCGTTGAGAACTATCGTCTGGAGGTTGTTGCAGCCGTTGGACAGGTTCTTGAAGCCTTGGGGTGTTATCTGTTGACATGAAGCAAACTCTTTGTGAGTCCAGAGGACTTAATCTTCAACACATGTTAGTAGCTTGGTTTCAACATACATTCTATCTCCAACATGGCCGTCATGTTCCAAGTTAGATGTGATGAAGTATCTGTGTACTGGGATATAGTTTTCAATAATTTGCAGATAGTATCGATATTGTACGAAGCTGGATAGGCAATTCAAACATCAAGAAAGTGCCTCACAATCGACAAAAAAATAATGATATTTTAGGTTTAAAAAAATAAAAAAATGGTTCTCAGGCAATGACTTTTGGAAATATAGTGCGGGCGGGCGTTTTTTGTTTTTTTGGCTTGTTCAAACTAGTATGTAACCAAATAAAAAGTTGTGTACCATCAACCTGGGAAAGAGCTTTCCTATATAAACAAGCATACAAACTCCTTTTGGCGCCATGATCATAGCAGCATATGTGCAGTAAAGCAGTACACATGTGAAGAGAAGTAACTCTGTGCTATATTGGATTGCATTGTTTTTAAGTGTGAGGATTTTTTAATTTTTTTCAAAACGGAAATAAAAACGAAACGTGCGTCAGACTTTACGGTGTTGGGGGCAGTGCCTGACAACCAAAACTATTTTTTTTTTTAACCTTAAGAGACCTGGAAAAAATCTTTGTACTTCATGACCAGACACAAAAACATATATCAGATAAATAATTATCCCAATATGGATGTAATAGTATGTGAACAGATTTCAGTTACATCACAGCATATTGGCTAAATGAGGGAAAACAGTGTATCTCTTTGGTGAAATGCACAAGCACGGTGTGGTGCTTACGAACCAAGTATCATGATCAGAGTGGATCTGTGCTCAAAAGCAATAATTAGCGGATCCTGCCACATATAAGGGAAGAAATTCAGCACAGCTGTTTCCAGGGCCTAAGTATCTGCTGGTCAAGCTCGCTGACTTGGTTGATGCATGTCATCGTATCCCGATTGCATGGATCAATGATTGTGATGTCAATCACTGGATTGTCTAGTTCAGACTCGATTATTTACAGACTGACATCATATAATGGAATATTGCTGAGTGTGGCGTTAAACAACAAACAAACAAACAAATATTGACAGTCTGACATGTCTGCCTAGTCAAAGATTCAGCAAGCTGCTTAGGAAGGTGTCATGAAGCAAGGGAGGTAACTCTGATTATTGTCTGATATTAATTTATGTATGTTTTCAAAATGTTTTCCCAGATGAAAATGTTTCCCTCTCACTTTACCTTTATTGAAACTATTGGCAGTGTTGGGCAGCATGAGTGTGAAGTATATGGACAAGTCAACATGCAGTGTTCATGCTCCTGGGGTCCTTCAAGTGTGCTCCCAAGCCAGCAGTCCAGGGAACCCCTTAATCTTTAACTTTTAACATTTGTGTTATAACAAGGACCCCTTGACTTTCATGCTTACTTTCAAGCGGTGACATAACATCAATGTATTGTCATCAGGTCATGGGCAACTTCAATGCACAGATAGTTTGGGCAACTGCAATGCATAGGTAGTTTGAGCAACCATGATGCCTGATGATACTGGGGAGATCACACTGAACTCTGACCTGCAGACATCCCGAGAGGTCGAGGTACTCCAATTTCTTGCTGCACTTCCCGGAGGCCAGGTACAGCAGACCTCGGTCGGAGAACTTCACACAGAAGGCCAGGCTGAGGTACTGGAGGTAGTTGCAGTTCCTGTGGACAAGCAGCACTGGATCACAATCTCATTACTGACCAGGTCATTCATCATGGGTAAACAATGTGGTCATTTTACTGTACACATTCTGCACTGTTGGGAAGGGAAATGTGTCTTCTCTAGTAATAGTTTCTTTTCAGCCACCATTATAACAGCAGTTTGATAAAAAATTGCCTTGATATTTATTTTTGTGGTTTAATGTTGTCACTGGGGTATATCATCACAAATGACACGCACAATTTTATTAATAATTCAGAATATTTCTTGTGTCCTGGGTACTAAGCCACCATAGTAAACCACCAATAAGGGCTGACAGTAGCATGAGTGCAGAAGTCACATACTTGGCTATTGCCCGCAGTGAGGCATCTGTCAGGTTGGTGTGGGAGATGTTCAGATACAGCAGGATGCGGCAGCCCTTGGTTACCAACTTGAGAGTCTCATCCTGCAAGATAGATCATGCTAGTGAACATATTATCCCGTCAGCCATCATATGCTACATGTCGATAGTCTGTACATTTAGACTATATTTGTGAAAGGGAAATTCTCAAGGTACAATATACAGAGAAATCAAAGTAAAAATGAACTGAGTCTTATCCAGCTAGAAAAAAGTCCTATTTTGCCAAGTTGTTAAAAAAACCAAATGATATACACTTACATCTGTACCCAAACAAACCGTTCCCCATCACATCATAATACAATCGATTATATGTAAACGTACAAATTCAAAATGTAAGGATAAAAATGATTATTAATACACCTCTAATAAAAGCCAGAACTAATATCTCAAAGAACATTAACAGTATGGAAGGGAGATAACCCAGTAGTCATACAAAAAGGCAGACCACTAGAAAACTTTACACTTGCACTTTGCTTGAGACTGATTTAGTGACAACAGCCTTTAATAAGCCACAGTCCGCAGTATGTCAGTTATATCACAGTACACAACCAAATCTGGGTCAGGACACCAATGGTTGATTGCTAGATGAACTATCAACGCCACTGATCACCCATTGTAACATCCTGTCCCTCATCTTACAGAATACTGTGCTGAGGACTAAGCAAGGTCTTACGTCTAGTCCATTACACTCTGACAGATTGAGGTCCTGTATGTTGCGACACTCGCTGACGGTGATGAAGGTGGGTTTGGTGAGATGCTGGCACCCCCGTAGGTTCAGATGGATCAGGTAGGGGCGGGACTTGAACAGGAGGCGTGTCGACACTTTGTCTGTTACACTGTTAACAGATGGTTACATGTAGGCTGGTTCTATGCTAAATTATCTAATCAAGAACATTCCATATATTATTTCAAGATCATAGATTGTTTGTTCTAATTTGTTTGGTAGTGGTTTGATACAAACATTCTAATTATATGGCGTAAATCATTACTTATCTATATTTCATGTATTTACTCTTTACAAAGTAACAAAAATTACTTAAAATAAAAATAAACAATATACATTATATTGAAAGACATCTTCTTTCAGCTTTATCAAGATAAGAATTAACACATCCTTTCTGCAAGGATTTTAATTTTCTGTACATAAAAAACAAATTAAAAGAAATTGTATACCTGTCTTGATTGACAGGAATATGACACAAATGTTCAGAAAACAATATGAAAAGCAATTTCTGCACTATTGTGACAAGCAATGCAATACTTCATCTAATGTCTCATTAAGATGACATTGTTTACTCTGATATGATACCTCTCTGCATGAAGACCTGACAAACCCTCTAGTGAGGTGAACCCTCAGCAAATAATTACCACCAAGTCTACATGAAGGAGGTATGTGTTCTTGAGCTAGTCAAATATCAACTGTCTGAAACGATTTGGCTTCATTCCTTTACCTTGAAACAGAAATTTTGATTTTAAAAGAAACCCCAAACAGAACATAAATATACCTTCCCTGACATGGCATTCAGAAACAACAGGGTGTATTAACTATCCACAACAATGATGTGGCCTTTATTATTTTCATTCAGAACTGGATGTTTTAGTTTGTCTTCAGAAATCAAATATGCGGCCAGCCCACTAGTTACGAAAATGTAGAAGTCTCAACACTGATTGGCTGATTAGAAATTTAACTTGACACGACCACCATGCAGGGTTTGTCATATGTTCATGCTGAAAGGTATTATATCAGAGTAAAATATCTGATTTTAATGAGGTTGGGTTTCAAGTGCACATTTCTCTTCCTATGGCTTCAAGATGAGGCGGAGATGGTATATACACATCATAATGCACTGGATATACATGTTGGATATATATGTTGGATATATATGCAGATGTTAGGTTAGGCTGACTGTGTTAGGATATACATGTATAAAGGGAGCTTAAGCATTGTCATAAATAAATAAAGTCAATTACTGGAAGCAAAGATTTTGTTGTTGTTGTTTAGTTTTTTTTAATGCCGCACTCAGCACTATTCCAGCTATATGACGGCAGTCTGTAAATAATCAAGTCTGGACCAGACAATCCAGTGATTCATATCATGAGCATCAACCCATGCAATTCGGATTGATGACCGTGCATCAACCAAGTCAGCGAGCCTGACCACCCGAACCCATTAGTCGCCTTTTACTGGAAGCAAAGAACTGGGAAAGAACATAGGATATCTATAACAATGCAATAGAATGTGTTTTACTTTGAAAAACATTCATGTGACATCACCAATCAATTGATTAGATTTCATTGTGTTGTGAAAGAAAATAAAAGTGTGTCACAGCAGGCTAGGTTGTAACAAATGTGTGTCACAGCAGGCTAGGTTGTAACAAATGTGTGTCCTAGAATTGCGGTCTAATGTTGATTGAGACATTCATCTAACAGGTACTGAAGCTCACCTTTCGTGAAAGAAATCAATAATATAGGTGACAATTTGGTTTCATAATGACTGCCTTTAGTTCCAAAAGCAAACAAAAAACAACATTTATTTCTTATCTATCCGTTTTACAAGAGTGAGTGAGTATGGTTTTACGCCTCTTTTAGCAATATTCCAGCAATATCACAGCTGGGGACACCAGAAATGGGCTTCACACATTGTACCCATGTCGGTATTCGAACCCGGTATCGAAGTGAGGAGCAAACACTTTAACCACTAGGCTACCCGACCGCCCCCGTTTTACAAGAAACTCAGCTACATTATGCAACAAGCAGATTATTTGTTGATTTAAAATAACAAGTGAGTGATAACATCACCACCACTGGGTGACTATGACATAACAAAGGTCCGAAATAACACACTGTAACCACCCAATCCTCACTTGAGTCACCCTCATGATAAGAATTATTGGGACACGAGAATTTCAATGGGGCACATTGGTTGAATCTTTTGACATATATGCTACTGGTATCATAGTCATAAATATATATTTCATAAAATGTTTGATTCAGCTGGGACTAAAGTCACAGTTCTTAGCTGTCACATTGTTAATGAGATCATTTCATATGAGCTATGATATGGCTTTCTTTGATTGTATTTGGTCGTAGCTGTTTTCAGCAGTATTAAGGCAATATCACAGTGGGGTCACCAGAAATCGACTTCCCACACATGAGAAATCCTAAGCATGACTAGCAGGATATAACCACTAGAGTGAGTGAGTGAGTTTGGTTTTACGCCGATTTTAGCAATTTTCCAGCAATATCACGGCGGGGGACACCAGAATATCAGCAAATATCGCCGTGGGCTCTTATTACATCGAATACAGTATTTAATTTCTTAAATTTCCTCCCAGGAGAGGTCAGCTGAATGCACATGACTGTATAAGTTTCACAGAGCTCCTTTTGCAAAGCGATCCTAGTGTTACGACTGTCATAAGTCTCATACTTTAACAGACTGCAATAAATATATACCATAAATACTCTTAGTGCAAGGACCACTTTGTGGGTTTCCATTAAGCGAAAATGAAATGCATCAAAGCTGATCTTTAAAACAATTAATTGAAAAAAAAAGAGAAAAAAAGAAGACAATCCCCCTTCATTGCATGTGAGGATTAGACATAGACATGGTGTAAAATTAAAAAATTAATTGAAAAAAATAAGAAAGAAAAAAGACATCCCCTTGATTGTAAGTGGGGGTGAGATACAGACATGGTGTAAAGTCCTTATAGAACCAGTGCAGTGTTAAACTGGGCAAGGTGTTAGTGTGTGAATGTGAACGATACCTGTCATTCCTTTGATGGTGAGTGAAAAAGAAGAAAATATTGGTGAGTGAGTATCTATCAACTATGTCATGGAGCACAGGAATAAGAGGTTTGGAGGGTGAGTTGACATACAATAGCCTGACTGAGGTATACCTATATACTACACAGACATCATGGCGTTACATATGCTGGTGACTTGTTGACTGGGGCAGCTACAGTCCAGTTTTAGGACTGCAGCCAGACAATAATCAAGTCTTGACCAGACTGCCAGTGGATGACTTGTTTCTTGTTGACCGCCGCACTCAGCAATATTCCAGCTCTATGACGGCAGTCTGTAAATAATTGAGTCTGGACCAGACAATCCTGTGATTATCGATCTACACAATTGGGATACAATGACCTGCATCAACCATGTCAGCCAACCTGACTACCCGATTCTGTTAGTTGCCTCTTAGGACAAGCATAGCCGCCTTTTACGGCCAGCATGGGTTGCTGAATTCTCACCCAGATCGTCCTGGGAGGATGACATGAGCAATGTTCCATGACACTGGGGTACATGGTCTAATTTAGTCGCCTCTAACGACAAGCAATACTGTGCTATGGACCTGTTCTAAGAAAACACCAGTAAAATCTTTCACTCCACAATCAAAACTGCCTCATTTATTCCCTGTAAGTAATGTTTTCACAAATGTCTGTCTTCAAACAGTAACATAAAACATTTATTTGTATGAATATATTTGACAAACACAGTGTATGTTTTTTCACTTGTCTCAATATACAGTATTGTACATCATAACTAAAGACTAATAGACGTCATGTCAACAATGCTATGAACACACAACAATGAACCATGCTTATCGTGAAATAAACCACACTTCGTTCTTCATTGTTCTTTGTGATTTATCGCACATTGCTATCTTATATCCCGATAACGTATTGTCCCTCGTCCTATTACTAAGGATGGGTAGACAGTTGTAAAGCTATCATATCTCAACACACACTCGAAACTTAAACCCTGTGTCTTGCTTTAATCTACATCAACTGCTAAACACACACTTTTACTTAATTACTAACTAACTCACTTTCTGTGACTAATGACTACAAGAGTACATGTATTTCAGATCAGAATGTATAGCTGAGAAATTCTGTTTTTCTGAATAATTGAGTGAGTGAGTTGGGTTTAACGCCGCTTTTAACAGTATTCCAGTTTTATCACGGCGTGTCAGCTTAATGTGGGAGGAAAGCCCGAAGTGATGCAGGTCTCAGACGTTTACCACTCCGGTGAAACCCATGAGCACGGGTATGGTGCTGACAAACCTAGAAACATAATCGGGCAAACCGGGATTCGAACCCACAATCACAGGTTTCTGGCGTGCCCAAGGGATGCAACTCTGAATAATTGAGGAATCTACCATAATTAGCACCCAGTATTAACAAAGTCAGTCATCGAGAACCTTGATGGGTAGTGGGATTACCAACTTGCATGTTTATTTTCAAGCCACTTCTTATACATCATTAATAGCTATATCAAATGCAAAGTTTGTCCATAAACAAGTAATCTGTTTCTGTATGAGAGCTACAGTACCTACACATGAAGGCTGAGCCATTATACCTACTATTATATCTACTGTATATTTTGATACCAATAATTCTTCAAAAATACATCAGAAAACCTAAAGTGAGTTTTTAGCTCCTTTTTTTAAGTGTAGGTGGGAACTAAGTTATGGGGGAAGTCAATAACTTTAACATTTTCTAATATAGAGATAAAAGCAGCTCAATAATGTAAACTATGAATAAAAGCCTCTTCTTTACTGGCTCTGTTATCAGTGAATACGAGTCACATTTACAAAACCCTATCATTAGTTAGTACTATATTGAATGTTTGTTGTTTAACACCACACTCAGCAATATTCCAGCTATATTACGGCGGTCTGTAAATAATCGAGTCTGGAGTAGACAATCCAGTGATTGACATAATAAGCATCGATCCACACAAACAGGAACATCCTGAATCCATCAACCAAGTCAGCGAGCCTGACCACCCAATCCCGTTAGTTGCCTCTTACGACAAGCATAGTCGCCTTTTACGGCAAGCATGGGTTGCTGAAGACCTATTCTACCCCGGATCTTCACGGGCCTTGTAGTAAATTGACATGAAGTGGAAATTTTCAAATTTCTACTGACATTTGATGCAGATTTGGGGCCAAATTTCGGCCTCTAAACAGGTCTAGATAAATCCCCGAATTACATTGATTATGGTAATTAAAGCTTTTGTTTTTGCTTCTCTGTTATGGGGAGTGCTTATTGGAGTGGGGCACTTATTATGACAACAATGGTATATTAGATCTACACTTTCACATGAAGTAAAGGCTACGGGTTTTAGATGTTTACCACGCTGGTGAAACCCATGAACGTAGGAATGGTGAAGACAAACCAAGAAACATAATCAAGACAAATCTCAAATATCAACTCCACGATCATAGGTTTCTGGCATACGTGAGAGAACCAGCCCTGCACAGTGATTAGCAGCGCCTTAGAAAACTTGGCCACTGGTGCCCCTACAAACTATAATTGAATGGACAACTACAACACACGCTATGACAACTGACAATAGCACATTTTAGTACATGTATGTGGACTATAATTTTCCAAAAAACACAGTTACTCATTAACAAACAAAGTGACTAAGGAAGGGTCATCATGGTCAGTGACTGGTCATCATAAGACTGTAGCTACCACACAGAGGTTCGGCTGGACAAGCAGACACATCTAGGACTAGTCTATCTATGGGGAACATTGGGAGGGAAGGTAACTAAATGACTTTACCCATTCTTCAGTCTTTCAATATTCAGGTCAGGAAACAATTACACGGAAAGCAAAAAACCACACAAAACATTCAGCATCTTGAAGGCATTTTAACCAACATTATAATTCAATTAAATATTCACATTGATAATTTTATTTAATATTTACTTTAATATTTACTTCAGTTGTTTATTGTATACTACATAGTTTTACCCAAATATTACTTCATAAATGTGAGATGAATGTATGCATTACAGGAAGGAATGTTAAATAATACAAAATAGTCATGCACTGCAACATAATATATTGGCTGTGATTAATTCTAGAACAACAAAGAAATGCTTAGGACTATATTTTTCTCTTTTGAAAAACAGTAAAACCATGCACTGCATGCAAAACACACTGCCATAACCATTATACTGGAATAGTTTTCTTTCTGGGACCGTGTCAAAAGTTTAAACATCATTTCTAGAAAGAATCACTGTACATATTTTTTATCATCATTATTATCTCATCTGTAGAATATACTGTGCAGAGCATATAAACTACAGCTTGTTGAAGACAAAAGGATATATTTGTAAGATTCAAAACTGAATTAAACTTGTAAACTTTTGACAGAAGCCCCAAGACAAAACATTATCCATGCATAAAAAATCTGCTGAGTTGACATTTGTTCTTACCTTTTCCTTACTCTGTAGAAATCAAGCTGGAAAGAAATGTAAAGATTATAAATAAGGGGAGTGACTTTTATGTGTATATGTACAAGAATTCTCAATTTTAAAGGGACTCAAGTTATTTTACACAGTGCTCTGTGAGTGATAGTGATGAGTTATGTGACATTGGTTAAGTTGAAAGGACAAATTCCAGGGATCAGTGAAGATCGGTTTTAATCCGTTATATGTTCATTTTTAAACATCCAAACCATAATTTCCAGCATAATTAGTCCACTTCAACAGGACACAATAAATCATCTAGCACAGATATCCTGTAATGATTATTCAAAATACCGGTATCAAAAATGATGCAAAGTTTTTAAAGTACACATCACAATTATGACATCCTACAAAAATCAAGCTGTGTTGATGTTCCTGAATTTGACAATACCGTCTAAGTCATTCTTTGTCAAGTCTTCTGCTTAAAATATATGCATGAGTTAAATAACCCTGAAACCACATGTTTTTATTACAATGCTTATAAAATCAAATCAATATACTAATTTGCCTACCAGCAGATTTGCGAAAGAAGTGATTAAAAATATATATTTTGATTTCATGTGATGCAGTGATCGATTAAATTATGAACTAAGATGGCTTCGATACCGTTGACGGACTAGTCAGAATGCAGGATTATAATATGTCATGGTACAATTAAAGATTAAATGCAGGCAATCATATACATGAACACACTGCAGTTAACATTGATGACACTCTGTAAGCCATTATGTCTCCATTACTAAACGTTGAATCGGTATACTCTCTTGGTTTTAAATATTTATTTGCAAGTGAAGGGCTTGATCAAATCGTACATGTCAATATTTTCGAGAGTCCTGTGACCCATATTGTGCCGATGCTTCTTCAAAGCAAAAGATGTCGTTTCTTCAAAGCGAGAAATTTTATCACAAGTCAGCCTGAGAGCAAAAATGATAATAAAAGTAGATATGTCAAGTTGCTCCGTGCTGCGTATGACCTAACAGCTGATGACCTAACATAGCCTCGTTATTACACAATGATATCACAGCTGTAGCTTAATCAAAAGTGATATCTTCAACAGCGGGTAACACAAACATTTATCAGACGTATAGATCCGGCTATCTCACTGCACTTACATAATGATACTGGTACAGAGGCATATTTCAAACAGTCACTTGCCCAGGGGGACACCCCATGTAATCTGTGTTTCAGTGCAGAAACTCTCGGGAGCAAGGTCACTCATCTACCTACTCTCTGTAACCATGGTAGGCGAGGTCTGGTCAGAGTGCTGAAGGGGTTGGGTCCGAGGGTTTTTGTTTTCGCATATTTACCTCCTCAAGAATAATCATTCGTTTTGTTACACCGAAATTCACTTTAAAGTTTATGAAGACTTTAAACCATCCTCTGTTTCATTACAGTAACTTAGCTGTGAACTCTAAAACTTTTGTCCCAGACGCCATCTTGTTTTCTAGCAGAAAAGTCAATATTTATCACATGACAGTCATGTGAAATAAACTCCGGTTAGACTGGTGACATCACTAATCAATACCGGACGACACATTATTTATTCTTGTTCTTAGAATAGGCTGGCTGGAATAGACTTATGTTAATAAAATTGTGTGAATTTTCATTATGCATTGAGTTATATTCACAACATATATTTGAGTAAACTTCCCTTGCCCTTACACTTGACCACATGCCACAACATAATAATAAATCACATAACCAAGTTCATAGAAGTTGTATGTTCAGTACTGCAAATATCACTTCAGTACACCAGTGTAGTGTTACGTCATTCGAATCTTATTGTGCCGTAAGGTCTGAGTGATGTAACACCATAGCTGAAGGTTCTTGATGCCATTTCACAATTGAGGTTTTCGAAGAAACGTGACCAGTGCATTTTTCAAAAGGGGAGCTCAAAACAATTAAGAAATAATGGGTTTGTGTGTCATACTTACTTACTCATGTAAGAATTTGTGCATTACCCTTGTTCTCACTCGGGAAATACAAGAATTCTGAAACTCTATTTGTAAAATTCGTGACACACATAACCAAAATAAACCAACATAATAATCTCTATTTATCCTGACAAAATGTACCGCTATTCATTACAAGCCTGGCACTGTCACACCTACCCTACTCCAGAGGGCGCTGGCTTGAGTTAGGACCTTCCAGGACCGACACACACAGGCACAGTTGGCGATGTCGGCAACATCCAGGTATCCAAATATCTGAAGGAAATCATCACCAGTGATTTTGATGGAGACAAACAGCATCAGGACATTTACATGGTTTTAGCAAATTCTGGAATGACATTTTCCTATACCAACACCAACATTAATAAACATCTTGAGGACATTTTGATAACAATCAGTCAATGTCCTGGATGGTTTGGTTGTTTTTTGGTGTGTGTTTTTTGTTTAAAGCCGCCCTCAGGAATATTCCAGATTTATGATGTGGTCTGTAAATAATCAAGTATGGACTAGACAAGCCATTGATTGACATCATGAGCATCCATCTACACAATTGGGATACAATGACCTGCATCAACAAAAACTGCAAGCGAGACCACTCGATCCCGTCAGTTGCCTCATACGACAAGCATAGTCGCCTTTTATGGCAAGCATGGGTTGCTGAAGACCTATTCAGACCTGGATCTTTACTGGTATCAGTGCCCTAGACAGGGAACCGATCTGAAATCCTGCATGACAAATAAATAGCTGTAAACTAAATGGTAGTATTGTGTTGCAATTAGAGCTGGGACGGGTAACTCGGGTACTCGGGTTGGGTGGGTACAGAGTAGGACCCAGGTACCCACAGGACTACCCGGACCCGTGGTTAGTCACGTGATATATTATTTAATGACAAAAATTATCTAGAACCCTATGGTTACAGTACAAGTCACTAATGTTCGCATTTCCTTCTGACTATAAACCCATTCCTTTTGATTTTTCATATGGTTGAATAAAGATATACCTTTATATGCTTTATGTTATATTCTAAATCAATCTATTGCTGACATGAAGCAGTGTCGCCAGGAATCATAGACTAAAAGTATAATTGTCAAAGAAATGTCACTGGAGTGCTGGAACATTTATTAATCTATGATGTCACTGCATTGAAACCTTGTTGCCTGACATCATCAATGGAACGTTGTTGCACGTTAGAAATTGAGGAAAATATGAAAATGCACATATTTCTATCAATTCACCAAAAAAATAGCACATTAACATGTATAAAGCATGATATTTTCCATTAGATAAACTTCATATCCATATATGGTTAAATTATTTTAAAAAGTTAAATCTATTAATTGTTCTTGCATGTGACACTGTAATGATTTCCCTCTATGCCCAAATAGTAAAGTGTGAATTTGGCGTGGTTGTAAACAAGTGCATTTAGCACAAACAAAAGCACATTATTAGCCCTTTCTCTTTTTGTTAGACTAAATAACAATGCTTTCAGAAATATCTATCTTAGAGAGAGATAAACACTCGTATGACAGACCAGCGGACATCGTCAAGCGATTATATCACAACACATTATCATGGCCAGCACCTTGACCGCCACTTTGCGCGGCAGTGTAGAGATGCTGTCTCTCGCCTCCCCTGTACCCTGGCCGAAGAGGTCATCGTCATCCATGTTTTCCCCTCGCTCCAGCCGCTGAAACAGTCAGTACACAACAGGAGTTGAATAGGGTGACATTGGTATTGTTTCACAACCTTGACTTACTCCTAACTAAAATATATTGTGGATGGGATTGCTGAATGAAATTGCGTAATAGAAATTAATAACAATACTTAATAGTGTCCTTTACATATGTCAACAACAAGAAATTAAGCTGAAAAGTATATCATAGCTTAAGATATGAAAAATTAACATATGAATGAAGCAGGTATGAAATATATTAAATTAAAAAATTATAGTTAAAGGAGAAAGTTGCGATGATATTAAACAAATTTGTTATTTTACAGTAGGAGCTCACACTGAATATATTTAGCAGTACACATAGTATATAACACTTCATATTTTAATCAAGAGTATTTCTATAAAACTCTGCAATCATTATCGCGACATCAATTATACCAATTAGTTTCATCCTTCCCCAAAATCATAAAACAAAAAAGTGAAAACAAATCAAATAAACGCATAAGCCATCCCCATCACTAACACCACATATATACTAGCTGACAAACAAACTCACAATAGACTTCTACAGACTTATTAAGTCATTAAACATTAAATTATCCAAAAGATACCAAACTTACAATAAAAGACTTAAAGAAAATGAAGTTATACAAAACTATTCTACTTTTCAAAACATATCACCATGAGAACACAATAACCAATAACAGAGCTTTACACTGTAGTCTGAAAGATTTAACGATATCACTGCAGTTCTTTAAGATGTCAAGCCCATCCATGGTGTCATGCCCTGTATCTCTACACTTGACACATACCTTGAACCCATTCTCCATCACATCGCCAGCTTCATCTCTGTTATCACAGCTTAACAGAGAATTTCTCTTGCTCATGAGCCTAATTTAATGACCAATCAAAATGCCTCTTCTGAAAGTTAGTTTTGGACAAATATTCAAAATTTCAGCCTTGTCATGGTGAGCGAGCTTTCAATATATTCAACTGAATCAGAAGACTGTTATACTCGTTTTGCTAGAAAAGATGATTTCCTGAGTACTAAGACAGGAGGGGGTAGTCCTTTTGCTTTGATACTATCTTTGCATTTATCACAAAGTCGAGTCAATCTCATTAAAATCAGATCTTAGTTCTCGCTATCGATAAACAAAGATCTGAGGACATCCCATTACGGGTCACGTCTGAACGACCTTTCATCCGACCAATCAGAGCGTCGCTTACCAGATCATGAAAGTGACAGTGGGAATGTGTTTTCTAATCATGCAACCTCAAAAACTTAACATGGGTTATTACGAACGACAGTTTTGGCCCATATGACAGATTCCGTCAATTGTCTATCTCTTGCTTCCGTGGGATAAACATTTGAACGGAGGAGGCGTTGCACAGTACGTAGGAAGCACTGCCATACAATCTAAAACCATATATTAGACATTCCGGAATGTTTATTTGTTCAGTTTTCAAAATTTTAATCGAGAACTGTGTCCACATATTTTTCAGGCGTCGTCTGAAATGGAAGTCACCAGGTTGAAACGAGTGCTGTAAAGCTTGAGAAAGCTGCTTTCTAATTGGCTGATGTCGACTTCTTGTTAGTCGTTTCAGTGGTTGGTCTAAGTTCGCAAAAGGTCGTTCTGACGTGACCTGTAATGGGATGTCCTCAGATGTTTGTTTAGCGGCAGCGAGAACTTAGATCTGATTTTAATGAGATTGAAGTCGAGTCAAGTTTTGATGATTGCCACTTGTTTCATTCATAAAAGAAAAATGTAATTTAATTTGACAGCTATTTTAAGCATTGTGTCCTTCAAACTGGAATCAATGCAAAGCTATGGTGGTGAATGAGTCCGGGATATATATCATATTGGAATGAAAATATTTAACACTGGATAATCGAGGATAAATCAAGCCTGGGCCAGACAAACCAGTGGTCAATAGAGTGAGCATCGCTCCAAGCTGTCGAGGTATGATGACACACAAGCAGGCAGATCACAGCCAAGATATATACATCCCTATGATCATCTTCTATATCCCAATATAATCAACTCACTATCCACATTCAGTAGACATTGTGACCACCCAATTCCCATAAGGCCCCTCAGTTGATAAGCATGAAATAAACATAGGCTCAAGTTTACATGGTTTTAAAAAAATGGGTATGCACCTGTCTTTTTCAGACACCTTACCTGTAAACCCAACATTTATTTTTGGTAATTTTGTGGGTTGAGAATCCCACCTTCGTAAAATCCTAAATCCAGCTCTGAATTACTGACTAAAACTGGTCCTGAACATACTGCAGTGATACGATCTAAACATACTACAGCATAAAACCCACAAGCCATGAACAGCTAGATTCATTTCTGCTGATGCAGCACTAAACAAACTTCAGTAAGTCACTGGTCATTCACATCACTAGGTTATGTTAGTAGTGAAAGCCACAGAACCAGATATACATGGAAGAGCACCAGTGATAAAGCCCTGGTGGGTGTTACTCAGGCCATGAGGCTGCAAGCACCTGTAGCATTTAACGTTCTATGAGTAAGAGTAAGAGTCTCCTCTACATTCCCAGGGCTAGTATTTCGGTAAACCTACACTAACCCCGGGATCCTTTCCCGTGGTTCTCGCAATCTCAAATTATCGGCCCTTGATGTCCTTCAGTCAACTTAATTGGCTCGCTACTAAGTACGAATCAGAATGTGACTGCCTCCCCATTAGGTTGGCAATATCAACAGCACGTTGGCCAGTCCCATTGGTTACAATAAAAAAAATGACTGACACGCTAAAGGAAGTCATAAAAAATCTTTTCGAGGGAAAGAATGTCTTCATGTTCATTAAAATGGCAATGGCTTTGGTTTCTAGGCAATACGAATTACCTCCCTTACCGTTTTTTCCTTTTTTGATTGGTCAGTAAAATGTTAATGAATATCAAGGGCAAGTAATATAAGATCACAAAACTCACGAATGGATCCAAGGGTTAGTGTAGGTTTACCAAAATATATGCCCTGGAGATACAGAGGATGGAGTAAGAGTAGACGCGGTGACTTAGCCTGCATGTGCAGCACTGATATGCATGTGCATACTCTGAAGTGCAGTGTTTGAAATTAAGCATCAATATATGGAAGGAGTTCAAAGTTTGATGTCGGCTAAGATCCTATTCCTTAAGTTTGGAGGTGGGAGGTGCAAGGGTCTCCATCTGTAAATTTTCCTGTTTTTACAGTTAAAGTCAATAAATTGCAGCTCTATTTGTCATGTTTTTGCAATGAACACATTTCTCACATGCAAGGATGGTCTACATTTGCAAGGCGGGTGATACAATAAGCTCTGCATGTAGCAAATTATCAGCTCTAGCAAACTCAACTGCAATACTCTATGACAATCAAGGCAATTCACTTAATTTTACACATGAATAGCAAATTTCTGATAAGTATACTGTAATGCTGTGTGCGATTAAGATCTTTCTAGTCCTTTAAGTATGAAATGCAAAAGGTTGTTATAAAAAAATTATTAGATTTTCATCCACACACCCTGACTACAGTGACTACAAAACACCCTGCCTCACATCATTGTATTGTCCCTACAGATGAAGACACTGCTGAGTTCCCTACTGTCTATGTCTGATGAAGTATACCTCATATGTTTAGCCCTACATAGTTATCAGGAATACAATAACACCATAGCCAATTCATTTATTTATATACTTTCAACAAAAATAGTACAGCACCTACAGCAAACTGATTCACAAATTATTTGCAGAGCTCCAGATAACTTTTTGAGCAATTGAGTTTTTACTCAAGGGTTTCTATTTTAATTGGGTCATTACATTTTTCTATTGGTAACCAATATTTTTTCACTCATCTATTCATCACTCTATTTGGTTTTTCCCCAAATGAGTAAGCATTTTGAGATTTAAAAAAAACAACTGAGTTTTTCATTTAATGCATGTGTTTCTGTACGCAAGTTAATTGAAAGTAATTGGGTTTTGAATAGTTTTGGGGGGTATTTTACGCAAATGCGCAGCTTATCTGTAGCTTTATATTTGTATTCATCTAGAATGTATATGTCAGCTTATAATGACAAAATGCACCCCTCCTTTCCATAAGATAGTGCATGGCACTGTAGCTCACCTGGAGATGTCGTCAACAGTTTAAAATGTTAACAAAAGCAACCCTTGTTGCTGTCAGCATTGCTATACTTTTTGCGTAAATACTGAGGCCAAAAGTATTCACAAAAATGAAAGAAATCTAACTTTGCACAATGTTTCCAAATCTGGAAATATGAATGAACTACTTTAGTACATTGTTGCAATGTACAACAGTAACATTTACTATACCCAAAGTTTCAACTCTGAGCCTAATATGCCTCCTAAACATGTCTAGGTAGAATATGGCATTTTCTAATACCATACAAATCTTTCAGTTGTTCCACAGTAAAGTCCCAATGACATGAACAAAATGTGATGTCATCGTAAGGAGAACCATACATCCCCAAGTCCAGCTTCCAGCCTGTCAATTTTAGAGAAGATATTTTCAGAGTCAAAAATGACAGAATGTAAGAGCACAACAGTATGATTTAGGCAGAAATGGCTGATTCGTGGCCATAAATGGGTTTCAATGTAGCTGCCATATTTAAAATACGATTCGAACCTCTAAAACAAATTCAGAAGTCATCATCAGTGGGGACAAGTACGTGAAGTTTCCACTTCATTGATCCGACCCCTGAAGATCCGGGGTAGAATAGGTCTTCAGCAACCCATGCTTGTCGTAAAAGGCGACTCACAGGATCGGATGGTCAGGTCGCTGACTTGGTTGATGCATGTCATCGATCCCAATTGCGTGGATCGATGCTCATGATGTTAATCACTGGATTGTCTGGCCCAGACTTGATTATTTACAAACCGCCGTCATATAGCTGGAATATTGCTGAGTGCGGCGTTAAACAACAAACCAAACCAAACAAACTTCATTGATCCAGTGGGTCCTGACGTGGAGATGTTACGATGGACGCCAGATAACACATGACTGAGACACCAGACACCAGACACCAGACACCTGACAGACACCAGACACCAGACACCAGGCACCAGGCACCAGACACCAGACAAAAAGGCTATGACATAAGTTCACTTGACTTTCAGTCATGTGAGCTGAAAAAGTGTATCCGCGCTTGTGAAAGGAAGTTGTTTACAGGACAGTAGGAGTGGATAGTGATGACAAATGTTAAAGGTAGTAATGAACCAGGATAGTCTTTCATAGCATGTGGCTAGTCCTTCTCACTAGCCTCAGGTTCAGCTAGCATGAGTATCACACACTATGTACAGTTATTGTCCCCATATCACAAAACGATTCTAGAGCGGTGACTATCTTAACTATCAAACTTAAACATAAACTTACAGTAGTCATACAGCTACGATCACTTTGGGAAATGGGGCCATGGACATTAGGGACCAAGACCCTTGTCCACAAGTGACCTAGAGCTACGACAGTTGTAAATCCCATACTCTAACAGACTTACGATAATCATAGTGCCATCCTCAATTATCCAGGACTAAATCTCCATTCTGTTAGGATAAATACCCTGGACCCATTCACCACCATCAGAAGTGACCTCCCCAGCTCCATCTCTCTTATCACAAACTTCTTTCTCTGAATTCCTCTTGTTCATGAGCTTGAAATCAAGGAACTATAAACCTGCCTCTTCTGAACGCGAGTTCTGCATAAATACACATCTAGCCATCTCATGGTTGCGTCCCTTGGACATGCCAGAAACCTATGATCTTGGGTTCGAATACCAGTTCCCCTGATTATGTTTCTAGGTTTGTCAGCACCATACCCGTGCTCGTGGGTTTCACCGAAGTGGTAAATGTCTGATACCTGTATCCTTTCGGGCTTTCCTCCCACATTAAGCTGACACGCCGTGATATAACTAGAATGCTGTTCAAAACGGCATTAAACCCATCTCACTCACTCACCAGTGTCTGTTATAATGTTCAAGATGAAAAGAGATTTTCCTGAGTATTTAACAGAGAATGGGACATTCAGGTTCTGTCTGTGATGGCACACAAAATTTGAGTTGAGTCCAGTCCTAATTTGACTGAACATCTGTTTTAAAAGTGGTGACATTCAAACCAGACTCAAAAGAAAAGTATGGTGGCAGAAGGGTCCAAGGTATTGACTTGTATCATTACAGAATGGAGACTTACCACACTGGATAATGAAGGCCATCGTAGCGCTAACATCACTTTGTGGACTTGGTAAGGGATCACATTCTAAACTACTTGATATTACAAGGGAAGTTATTATCTACCATCGTCATTAGTTCATCAAGGACAACTTGCTTCATAAAAATATGTTTTAATAGACACATCATAAATAACCTACCAAACTGCACCCTGCTTGTAAATATCTGATTTCAAAATATATTACTTCTTTCCAAATCCTTACCAAATGTGTTTCTTATTATAAGACAGGAAGAATATAAGCTCTTTTCAATATCATAACCATCAGAAATGGTTCCACTACATATATGACAACAATCTAATTGAACAACAAGCCAAAGACGATATATATGACCTTAGCACAATACACATACATATCTACAGAGCATCTATGTACTATGGACAATACACATTGCATAAATTACATGGTGTGTTTGTATATTTACCCTTAGGTTTATCTGTAATGTTAGTAGTTCAAAAAGAAAACAAACAAAACCGTTAGCATCATTCCTCACATTCCAGCCATTCCACAACAGATTTCCATATAAGGCAAGACCAATTTTATTCATGGATTATCCTACTGTGATTGTTGAAAAATAAAAAAAGTGACTTGATGCTTCAAGTCTTACCCTTAAAAAAGCCCAACCTCTTATACACAAACAATCAGCAGCTATTTCCGAGATAATATCCTCAGTTCTTGAATACCCACTACAATCCTCAGTTACTGTTTTCTTAATGGAAGTTTCTTGAATTTTAATTTCCTTTTAATGTACCAAGGGACAAAATCTTTATTCATTTACCACCTGCACCTTGGTTTAGAAATTATTAAAACAAGAAATAAAGTTGGTCTCGCCTAAGGTGTTTCCATCATATTGTTAATTGTGATTTAATTCACAGCAGTGGCGGATGTTTATGCCCTCATGATTGTTTACCGATAATAATCTGATAATATTAACATATACAAACATAACTAAATAATGTAACAAGTCTACATTGATTTGTTACTGCAAGTCTGCAAGTTCCTTGAGATATTCTACCAAACCATATACAGGTACTGCACTCTTCATGTAGACTGGTAAGAGTAGATGCAATGGCTCAGCCTGCCTGTTCAGTACTGGTGCCTGTGTATACTCTGAGCTGCAGTGTCGTGTTCAATTTTAAGCATTGATAAAGGGGAGAAGAATAAAAGTCATAATTCCTTGAACCTATCATCTAACAAAATCAACTTTTCTTGATTTGTTTCCAGATAAAGTCAACAAATAGCAGGTCTAATCTAAAATTATATTATAAATATACACGATAAACTGGTATTGAAGACAAAAAATTGAATAAAGAAATTGTTCTTTCAGAATGTCAGTATAATGAAAGCATATTGATATTATCAGAACATTTATCGATCTACGACAAGCATGGCATAACAGTTCCATTTTCTGATGAGTCATTATCATCAAATCTTATATCAATGCAATTTTGACACAAAAGCCCCTGGAAATGTTTTGGCCCAAAGGGAAATGAATGTAGTGATGTCAGTCTTATAACATCAGATCTCTTACTCTCTAAGACACCTCTCTACATGAAGATCTGATGACGACTCTAAAGGAGGTGATGTCTGGCGTAATGCTCGGTATGAGTGAGCAAGGCATTCAGACCTGCATGTCTGACTTCTATTTCTTGAAAACGAAATTAACCTGGGCAGTTCCGAATGTAAATAATTAAGGATGTGACATTATATAATGTTTTAAACTTTTTATTGGTTTTAACTACCATAGTCTTAGAAGGAATATTTCTGATCTATTCATTTTTTTGTTGTTAAAGTCAAAATGTCTGAATCGAGGAGCTAACGAAATGAAGCTGAATTGTTTTAGCAAGCTGACATCTGTTTGGTTTAAGAACCCACACATCCTTCATTTAGAACGGGCAATCAAACTTTGATCTGCGTTCACCTGCTGTGACCTTCTATGGAGGTGTCCTTAGATTCCCATGCAGAGAGGTATCGTATGGGAGTAAAAGATAAGATTTTATTGAAATTGTGTTATTGTCCTTTTTGATACAGCTAAGCTGCAACACACTGTGGTACATCAAATTGCAGCTGTCAATTATTTATTCAGCTGAGGTCAGATTTTGAATAGGATGGATCAATACTGGGAAGTTGGTTCATGTAAAGTGATTTCTACAATGTCCAGTGAGCTGTGTATTGACAACTCCAACAAGGCAAGTTGTGCAGATTTTCTGCAAAATCAATCGTCCATTGGCCATCAGTATTTCCACAAAATAACCCATATCAGTTTCTAAGGTATATCAATGTAACAAAAATAATTTTCACATTAAATATTTGAAAGCACTATCATTGACTTGAGGTGGTGGAAAGGTGAAATGGGGCTTAATGTTTCACTCATGGCAATATACACACACATGTGTGTGGCAAGTAACCAAGCAAACGAGTCTGACTACCTCATCCATTAAGGTGTCTCCAGCACTGGTTGCCAGGTAACACACAGGGTGATGATAAAAGAGCAGACGACACCCAATGTTATTTACTTTTGAATTTACTGTTTTGCACTTCATCATCTGTTTTTGTGAAAAAATAATGAAGATTACAACATTTGTTTGGATAGTTTCTCCATCTCCTTGTCAATTTTCATCAATTTTTTAGCGTAAATAAACATAAATGTTTTTTACAAAATTCCACACTTGAGTTATATGGAAAACTATTGGTTGTAGTATTGTATGGAAATACTTCTAGCTCAGGACTAGAAATTCACAATCATGAGCCAATTTGGCAATTTTCTTGATCACCTGATCGCAAAATTTGCCAGGGACTTCAGGCAGTGCCAGTGCGAAGTGTTATCCGTTAATTCTTGATACAAGTTTCTCAAACATGATTAGTACCATGATCAAAAATACATGCGGCACAACAATTTTGACTTTAATAATCATGATAATCCAGGAGTAAAAATTGCAACCAAAATGAACATTTGAAATCTGAGATATTTTATACATGAGAACTCTACATTGCGATTTTTGCTTTCTCACATGTATTTTTGATGGAAATACGTACCAAACAGACACCAAAACTATCTAATTTTTCACCAGATTTACACACTAACTCATCTCCTATCTAACTTTCATACAAATCCAATGCAGTATTACAATCATAATATCCTATAACCAGTATCTTGAATACTTGAATAATGTGACAGATATAGTGGGAAACACAAGGATAATTTTTTATGCTACTATTATTCCAACAAATTCAAACTGTCTTGTATCTCATCCAACAAATATTCAATATCAGCAGCTTTTAGTATTCTAAATTTTCAAATTTAAATTAATCTTCTGAAAATCATTAATAGCCTTGGAAAATGTAATTTCATAAAAATCTGACGTGTTGGTTAGCACAACTTCATTTCTTCATGCATATAGCTCAATAACATTACAGGCAGGGCTCTTCTCTTGATTAATTCATCGAGTTTGTCAGACACTATTGTCATACGATCTAGACTTTAAAAAAAAGCTTGCCACCATCCCCATCCTCAACACTTTACAATTCTGTATACACGTGCATGTGCCCCCATCACCCATGCATGCACAGCTGTTTGCAGCGAAGTTGACACCACCCAATGAGTCAAGCAAGGCCTGGTTCCAGTAGGAGTGAGTGACCAGTGAGTGAGTGAGTGAGTGAGTTTGGTTTAACGCCGCTTTTAACAGTATTCCAGTCATATCACGGCGTGTCAGCTTAATGTGGGAGGAAAGCCCGAAGTGAAGCAGGTCTTAGACGTTTACCACTTCGGTTAAACCCATGAGCACGGGTATGTGCTGACAAACCTAGAAACATAATCGGGGCGAACCGGGATTCGAACCCACAATCATAGGTTTCTGGCGTGCCTAAGGGACGCAACTCTGCACAGCGAATTGCAGAGCCTTAGAGGACTGGGCCACCTGTGCCCCCTCTGACCAGTGAGCCCTCAGCTTACAAGGGGCTATGTTTGATGTTTGACATGTTCAACATGTGTCATATCCTTGTTGTATCTGCCCTTCACATTGCCTTAATAGCAAGTAAAAGAAGGATTTGCACAATTCATGCAGGGCAGGGTTTACTACCCGGGATTAACCAGGAGTTATAAAAGCCCCACTTCATCATCTTCTCGAGGCAAGAGAGTTAACTGACTTTAAAAGTCCAGTTTCCACCCTTGCCGAACTAGGCTGGAATTACTGGGCTCGATCGTAGCGCCACCAGTGGCTATTATGAGTTATGTCCTTTCTATGCCTCTCCTATAGACCACTCAGATTCAACCTCTTGTATCACTTGCATTTGCTTCAAACAAAACGGCGACGCCCAGTCAAGATGATCTGATCAAAACTCAAGATCTATATTGTGATAAAACGAGTCTTACATCGTGAAGTGCATCAAATCACGTGAGCACCTTGATTAAAAGCATGAAAAAATTTAGAAAATATCTGTTGACAACGAGTTAGCGGTGCACATGCTTTGCAAATCCTGCAGTTGACCGAAATCTGCATGACACTTTACGAACCGAATTTCGATTCCGTTGCACGATTTTGATTGGACTATGCATAGACTCGTTAGTCCAGCCAAAATGTAACTCCATAATACCAGCCTAGTTCGGCAAGGGTGGAAACTGGACTTTTATAGTCAGTTAACTCCCTTGCCTCGGGAAGATGCACTTCATTAACTAACTGAAAGGAAATGCATGTCTAACCACACTAGACAGCGGTAGTATGTACTGACGGGTGATGGTGGAGCGTAGTGTTACAAACTAGTGAAGTAGTTTCAATGACCATTCCCCAGCTGGAGCTATATATTGTCTTCAGATAGATGGTAATTATGTTAAGATTCACATTTTCCAAATTAATTAAGTACAGTTCACTTAAAAAAAATTCTCAAAATAATTTCCAAACACTACCCCTTACTTTGCAAAATAGATCTAATTCATAATTGAGTAATTTGACATAATATAAAGATGTCAATTTTGAAAGCTATATATGTATCACCATCACAATATAGATATAGTGTTAACTTTACAAACTGTCCATTTTGGAGAAGCAGAATTAATAAAAAAAAGTTATGATCAGTATTAAATCACATGATTTTGTTGGAACCAAACTTTTTTCCTGGATTTTTTTTATTTCAATTCTTCAAATAGACACATGTATTTCTGTCATGGAACTCTGTCACAGTATTCAAAGAAAGCAAATATTAGTCCATAAAATATTTCCTCATCCTTTGCAGAAAAGGTTGATACAGAACATATATATTGACAAGACACGCGTGCCAACAAACCAGTGTCAGCTGCAGGAGACATAATGTTTACATTTTAAAATTATTCATAAAACATAGGGAAAACAGACAGTACATGGACAAAAAGTTATGCAAAATGTCATAATATTTTCAATAGGATCAATATTACCGGTATTACCAAATCAACATAACAATACACATTATTCATTAAACTCAACACTGAAGAAAATATGTAATAATTCAAAACACTCATAAAACATTTCCAATATCATTATAACTTTACCATATTCAACATATTCAAGCACTCCCTTGAAGAAGATCTATGAAAATGTTCACATTTAAAATTCATAACAGCCACTGCACTATATTCTAAAGAAAATATATTCTTTACCAGCGAATCTTTATCTGTCCGTCCAGTTTACATTGATCTCTTTATATACTTTACATTGTCAAGGTGTTTCGGTTGATAGGAGTTCTCAGTGTGCCCTTTATGCACAAGGAATTTTAACTGTGCCACAATGATGTTAACCGTGCCTTCTGCACTTTAACACAAGGACTGTTATACCCTCATATCAATCATCTTCCCGAGGCAAGAGAGTTAACTGAATTGTAGCGCCACTAGTGGTTATTACGAGTTATGTCCCTTCTAAGCCTCTCCTATGGACCATTCAAATTCCACCTCTCGTATCACTTGCATTTGCTTCAAACAAAATGGCGGCGCACAGTCAAGACGATCTGATCAAAACTCAAGATCTATATTGTGATAAAACGGGTCTTACACCACGAAGTGCATCAAATCACGTGAGCACCTTGATTAAACACATTAAAAGATTCGTAAAATATCTGTTGACAACGAGTTGGCGGTACACAAGCTTTGCAAATCCTGCAATTGACAAAAATCTTCACAACAGTTTATGAACCGGATTTCGATTTTGTTGCGCGATTTTGATTGGACTATGCATTGACTCGTTAGTCCAGCCAAAATGTAACTCCATAATACCAGCCTAGTTCGGCAAGGGTGGAAACTGGACTTTTAGAGTCAGTTAACTCTCTTGCCTCGGGAAGATGAATATGAATCTGCTTAATGTGTAAAAGGAATACCCCAGGTATACGACCGAATATGAAGCATGGGCTGCTACTTTAGATTTGCTGACTTGGTTGTAACACAGAGGCTAGATAAGTATCTACAATTAATTAAAGTGCTTTCTGCATATGCATGTTTTATATAGATTGGAAGAACTAAGAATATAGATATCGTAGACAGTATACAATAATGTCATATACTGACTAAATTGTATCAAAATGCACATTCCCAAACCGCTAATACATTGAATATGGTAAAAGCGTCAAATGCATGCAGGAAGATGCCTGTTTACATGAGTGAGTACAATGGCTGTGGTTACCTCGAAGTACTCTCTCTGTTTCTTGGCATCCAGGGTGTGGTGATGCCAGGCCTGGAAGATGACCCGTCCGACCGCCACGTGGCTGACATGCTGCAACTTCTGGTAGGACACTGGACATGCAGATGGATGTTACAACGAGGTACTGGACATGCAGATGGATGTTACAACGTGGTACTGGATGTGCAGATGGATGTTACAACTAGGTACTGGACATGCAGATGGATGTTACAATGAGGTACTGGACATGCAGATGGATGTTACAACGTGGTACTGGATGTGCAGATGGATGTTACAACTAGGTACTGGACATGCAGATGGATGTTACAACGAGGTACTGGATGTGCAAATGGATGTTACAACTAGGTACTGGATGTGCAATGGATGTTACAACGTGGTACTGGATGTGCAGATGGATGTTACAACGAGGTACTGGACATGCAGATGGATGTTACAACTAGGTACTGGATGTGCAGATGGATGTTACAACTAGGTACTGGATGTGCAAATGGATGTTACAACTAGGTACTGGATGTGCAATGGATGTTACAACGTGGTACTTGATGTGCAGATGGATGTTACAACGAGGTACTTGATGTGCAGATGGATGTTACAACAAGGTACTGGATGTGCAGAATGATGTTACAACGAGGTACTGGATGTGCAGATGGATGTTACAACGAGGTACTGAATGTGCAGATGGATGTTACAACAAGGTACTGGATGTGCAGAATGATGTTACAACGAGGTACTGGATGTGCAGAATGATGTTACAACGAGGTACTGGATGTGCAGATGGATGTTACAACGAGGTACTAGATGTGCAGATGGATTTTACAACTAGGTACTGGACATGCAGATGGATGTTACAACTAGGTACTGGATGTGCAGATGGATGTTACAACTAGGTACTGGATGTGCAGATGGATGTTACATTTATTTAGAAGACTTTATGACCTCAGCCATTAGTTCACAGTAGAAGTCTATCAAAATTTCTTTTGGCCTAGTTTATGACAGCTCATATCTTAAGTGCCATCCTCTGTTATCCAGTAAATTATATTTCCATAATATTTTGAAAAATATTGTATTCACACAAAACATTCCAAACATTCAATAAATAACACATGTACACAAATGACCAGTACTTACTGGCCTGGCGTCCCTTTCTGTACTTGATCCATTCCTGAAACAGTACAACAACCTATCAGTGTTGTAATCTGTATGAATGAGTGAGTGAGTGAGTGAGTGAGTGAGTGAGTGAGTGAGTGAGTGAGTGAGTGAGTGAGTGAGTGAGTGAGTGAGTGAGTGAGTGAGTGAGTGAGTGAGTGAGTGAGTGAGTGAGTGAGTGAGTGAGTGAGTGAGTGAGTGAGTGAGTGAGTGAGTGAGTGAGTGAGTGAGTGAGTGAGTGAGTGAGTGAGTGAGTGAGTGAGTGAGTGAGTGAGTGAGTGAGTGAGTGAGTGAGTGAGTGAGTGAGTGAGTGAGTGAGTGAGTGAGTGAGTGAGTGAGTGAGTGAGTGAGTGAGTGAGTGAGTGAGTGAGTGAGTGAGTGAGTGAGTGAGTGAGTGAGTGAGTGAGTGAGTGAGTGAGTGAGTGAGTGAGTGAGTGAGTGAGTGAGTGAGTGAGTATGGATTTACGCCAGTTTTAGCAATATTCCAGCAATACCATGGAGGAGAACACCAGAAATGGGCTTCACATGTTCGTCGGGAATCGAACCCGGGTCTTCGGCGTGACGAGCGAACGCTTTCACCACTAGGCTACCTGACCACCCGAAATCTGTATGAAAAACAGGTGTGACTTCGGCCTCCTTTGGTCATCTTCACAAGGCAAGGAGTTAACTGACTATAAAGGTCCAGTTTCCATACTTGCCCATATATGCTGGAATAGTGTGGCTCGATCAAGATTAGCAGTGCATGTGGCCGAGGTAGGCCAATGGAATGTCAGATAAATGTTCTAGCACTGTATGGTCACAATTTGACTTTGATGCACCTAAAGTGGAAACAAAATGCCATTTATGGGGCATACTGTACACAGAAAGTTCAACCAGCTCTAGACGTAAACGTTCTTGGTATGAAACACATATCGATCTCGAGTTCTCCTGGTCAATATTAATGGCTTTGATACATTAAATGGAAAACACTGGACTGGAAATCCATTGAGCTTTAAACTGACAAAAATACAAATGATGAATGTGGTATCAGTTTACTAAACATCCCCAAAAATTTAATCCTGAAGTCTGAATCGGATAATGACCAACTGCCCATTTTGTCTCCCCAGCAGAGCCCTAGAATAAAGACAGGGACTCCACCCCATCACCTACCCGCCATATGTTGAGGTGTACACGCAACATGCGATGGGAATGATGTCGAGCTGCCATATTCAACTTCTTCATTATTTTCTCCTTCTTTTTCTGTTCACGTAGATGATACTGCATCCAGCCACTGAAACAGAGAGGACATAATACAGAGGGGACATAAGTTCATGTCCGATAATCCATTATCGGTTATCCTCAGTGTATCAAACGGCACTATATTATGATGGTAAAGGTATATTTCTGGCCATATTTTCTAGTGGTCTATACAATATGCCATTACAGAGTTATCTCCCTTAACATTCCAAACACTATCACTTCCAGTTTCTTTTGACGTTCAAGGGCTGTTGGTAACCCTTGCATTCGTGACATGCAACGTTGTGTATGCATATAAATCCTCGGAGATTGTGATGTAATCGTGCGACGTTGTGGGTTTTGGGTAACGGTTGGCAGAGAGATGGCGTGTTACAGAGGGCTGTGCATACTGTGTCTGTGTGTATGTTATTGTCAGTTGGGTCCGTTGATTGCACTGCAGACTTATAAGTTATATAAGTTATATAAACGTAGAGATTATTTCATCCTGTGTTTCTGTTTAATTGATACATGATAAATACCCTAGACCCATGGGACAGCACCATTTCCATGTCTCTTATCACTAATCACCTGAACTACCCAACTAATCCCAATGCCACTAGCGTGTTTGGGATAAATCAGCATTCAAAATCAACGTAATAAGGGCCCAGGGCGCTCTCAAAATTAGAAATAGGGGGCTCTTATTAGAATATTACTTTGGTGGAAAAAACAGAGTTGAAAGATAAATTTCGTGGTTTATGCTGACAGTCTGAACTGTTTTTATACGACAGATACATTTTTCCAGAATTTAATTGCCCATAATTAAGGGTGAATATAATACACGAGTGCGTATTATACACGAATAAATAAGTCTTGTGTACATTGATAATTCGGAAGGGGGGCTAATTGGGATTGTTCACTTGCCAATATATTATAGCAAATGTCGCCGTGGGCGCTTATTGGAGCGGGGCGCTTATTAGGTCGAATACGGTAATCAGAGTTGAGGCTTCTGAGAACTTGGTACAAGTGAGTGAAGCATTCAGATCAGCATATTTAAATTTCCGTAGCTCAAAAACATACATATTGTACATAATAAAGACCGTGCTATTATATTGTGGATATTCTATACAAGTATTTTTTTCTGAGCTCCACGGTGTCTACACACAAAAGTAAAAAAATAAAATACTAAACGAGCTCCTGTGTAATACCAGTTTATGCAACAAGTGAATAGCTCTGGTATCTGACGAGTGAAAGCAAGTATTCTATATACAATATGTCATAAGAGCAATTCATGACAGATGTGCAGTGATTACAAAACCATACCAGCAGAAAACCTTAAACCTAGTGAAAAGTTACCTGTAGCACATTCTCTTGAGGTGTGTGTTGTAGTGGCCGTAGGCTACAGCATACATCTCGGGACTTGGCTGTATAAAAAGCAAGAATATCATGAGTTAATACAGTCAGCTCCAGGTAAACCAGGTTGGATATACACAATGACAATGTGGATGAAACAAACATCTGTTAATAAAATAGATTTTTACCTGTGCTTGTGGGTTTCACCAAAGTTCTTAACGTCATAGACCTGCGTCACTTCAGGCTTTCCTTCCACATTAAGCTGACACGCCGTGATATAACTGGAATACTGTTAAAAGCGGAGTCAACCAACACAGTCACTCACTCACTATAAGGTTAAGAGTAAAAATCCACCTCTTTATAAGGAAAAATAATCACAAAACCCAACAATGAGTGAGTTAAACTTAACACTGATTTCAACAGTACTTCCGATATATCACAGTATGTCAACTGATGTAGTTCTTCATCTCCATAATGGAATTGTGCACAGATCAAAAGAGTTTTCCCAAATAATAACTAAGGTTCCAAAAAGATTGTATTGAAAACCTTGGTAGCAAATTTCAGTATAATCCTTCTTTGTCACACACTCACCAACAGGAACTCATCAAAGTTGAATAAGAAGTCCAGATTGCTTTCAGAGAATAACCTCATCTTTGGTTTCTCATCTTCCTCAACAAACATATCCCTGAAGCAGAATGTGGTCAAATTAGACAACGGACCAAACACATTAGTTTTCTGAACAAATTCATCATATGTAATACTATGCTGTGGCATTGACACTCAAAGTGAATCCATGGTGACATTAGAAAATACTTCATTAGTCTGAGACTTTGCCACTAGTCCAAAGCCCGAAACCTGTGACGATCTGGGATAGAATAGGTCTTCAGCAACCCATGCTTTTTGTTAAAGGCGACTCTGCTTGTCGTAAGAGGCGTCTAAGGGGATTGGGTGGACAGGCTCGCTGACTTGGTTGATGCACGGCATCGTATCCCAATTGCGTGGATCGATGCTTATGATGATCATGTCAATCACTGGATTGTCTGGTCCAGATTCGATTATTTACAGACCGCGATCATATAGCTGGAATATTGCTGATAGCGACGTTAAACAACAAACAATCAATCAATCAATCAACCAAAGCCCGAGAGTCTGAAAATATTGTTTGGTCTAATAAGCTCAGCTAATAATAGTCACTATTACAATATTACTAAAATCTACTGAAAATGATGCTAAGAGCCATGCTTGGACCAGTAGATTCAAAAGGTTTTGGCACCGACTATTTCATGTACATAAATATCAGTAGAGTCCAATGTGAAATACAAACAAACTGATACGTTTAGTTCTGTGGCATGACTTTCACAGAATTTTGATTAAAATGGCTTATTGTTAAAGTTTTCATGCTGGATGTGTTCTTTCCTGTGTCAGTGACTGGGGATTGCACAATTCTTTTTGTATTACAGATTTTCTAGACGAGCAATGTGGGAGGCAAAAAGTGATGAGGGGGGATCTGGTGAACGGTTATTATGAGCTCGTACCAAAGTATAAATGCATCACAAATGTTTAAGGTCAAAACATATCTTGGGTTCATAAACTGGGTGAATGTCACTGTCAGCATTTGAGCTATTAGCAACATTCAAACAATATCATGGCAGGAGTCACCAGGAATAGGCTTCACACATTGTATCCACACCACCACTGATACCAGGAATAGGCCATGTGGTGAATCCAACCCAAGCAATGCAGTGTGAGCAGAGAACACATTAACCACTGGGCTCCTCCAACGCCCCAGTGAAACCTGAGGAATAGGCTTCACTCAAAGTACTTGTGTGGGGAATCAAACCTGGGCTGTTTGGTGCATTGAGCGAACGCTTTAACCACTGGGCTACTCCAAAGTCCTAGTGACACCTGAGGAATAGGCTTCACTCATTGTACCCATGTGGGGAATCAAACCTGGGTTATTCGGCGCATTGAGCAAACGCTTTAACCACTGGGCTACGCCAACGCCCCAGTGACACCTGAGGAATAGGCTTCACTCAATGTACCCATGTGGGGAATCAAACCCAGGCCATGCTGTGTGAGCAGATAACTCTTTAACCACTGGGCTACTCCAATGCCCCAGTGACACCAGGAATAGGCTTCAATCATTGTACCCATGTGGGGAATCAAACCTGGGCCATTCGGCGCTTTGAGCAAATACTTTAACCACTGGGCTACGCCAATGCCCCAGTGACACCAGGAATAGGCATCACTCAATGTACCCATGTGGGGAATCAAACCCAGGCCATGCTGTGTGAGCAGATAACTCTTTAACCACTGGGCTACTCCAATGCCCCAGTGACACCAGGAATAGGCTTCAATCATTGTACCCATGTGGGGAATCAAACCTGGGCCATTCGGCGCTTTGAGCAAATACTTTAACCACTGGGCTATGCCAACGCCCCAGTGACACAAGGAATAGGCTTCAATCATTGTACCCATGTGGGGAATCAAACTTGGGCCATTCGGCGCTTTGAGCAAATACTTTAACCACTGGGCTATGCCAACGCCCCAGTGACACCAGGAATAGGCTTCAATCATTGTACCCATGTGGGGAATCAAACCTGGGCCATTCGGCGCTTTGAGCAAATACTTTAACCACTGGGCTACTCCAACACCCCAGTGACACCAGGAATAGGCTTCAATCATTGTACCCATGTGGGGAATCAAACCTGGGCCATTCGGCGCTTTGAGCAAATACTTTAACCACTGGGCTATGCCAACGCCCCAGTGACACCAGGAATAGGCTTCAATCATTGTACCCATGTGGGGAATCAAACCTGGGCCATTCGGCGCTTTGAGCAAATACTTTAACCACTGGGCTATGCCAACGCCCCAGTGACACCAGGAATAGGCTTCAATCATTGTACCCATGTGGGGAATCAAACCTGGGCCATTCGGCGCTTTGAGCAAATACTTTAACCACTGGGCTACGCCAATGCCCCAGTGACACCAGGAATAGGCATCACTCAATGTACCCATGTGGGGAATCAAACCCAGGCCATGAAGTGTGAGCAGATAACTCTTTAACCACTGGGCTACTCCAATGCCCAAGTGACACCAGGAATAGGCTTCAATCATTGTACCCATGTGGGGAATCAAACCTGGGCCATTTGGCGCTTTGAGCAAATACTTTAACCACTGGGCTACTCCAACGCCCCAGTGACACAAGGAATAGGCTTCAATCATTGTACCCATGTGGGGAATCAAACTTGGGCCATTCGGCGCTTTGAGCAAATACTTTAACCACTGGGCTATGCCAACGCCCCAGTGACACCAGGAATAGGCTTCAATCATTGTACCCATGTGGGGAATCAAACCTGGGCCATTCGGCGCTTTGAGCAAATACTTTAACCACTGGGCTATGCCAACGCCCCAGTGACACCAGGAATAGGCTTCAATCATTGTACCCATGTGGGGAATCAAACCCTTGGCTGAAGCATGAAAACAAATGCCTTAACCATCGTAACTTGTTAGTTCAACTGACACAAGTTTACTGAAAACCATCTTCCCGAGGCAAGGGTGTTAACTGACTATAAAAGTCTAGTTTCCACCTTTGCCGAACTACAGTTCTACAGATACAGTTTTGCTGGACTAACGAGATGATGCATAGTCCGAACAAAATTGCGTAATGAAATCGACATCCTGTTCGTTAACAACATGGAGACAGCAAATTCCAATCAACTGCAGGATTTACAAAGCGTGTGTTCTGCCAGCTGGGTGTCGACAGATACTTTGCAATTCTCTTCATGTTTTTAAGCAAGGTGCTCAAGTGATTTGGTTATCGATCAGCTCGACTTGACTAGGCCCCGCCAATTTGTTTAAAGCAAATGAAAGTGATATGAGAAATGGAATCTAACTGGTCAGTTGGAGGGACATAGAAGGGACATAACTTGTAATATCCACTGGTGGCACTACAATTGTGCCTGGAAACTCCAGCCTGTAAGTTCGGCAAGGGTGGAAACTGGACTTTTATAGTCAGTTAACGGCCTTGCCTCAGGAAGATGATTAGAAACATGTTTTCTCTGTATCTCATATCATATTAATGACATCATGAATCTTGTCATGACCTCACTTCTAAGATATGTATCATGACATTTAGCATCAAATAAAGCCCGAACAGAAAATCCAGTTACACAGAGAAAACCAGGAATTTGCACTTGGCAGTATAAATGCTTTTGGGGATAAGAAGGCTGCCAATTTTGCCTTTTGTGATTGCTATATTGTTACAGCTAGTTTGTCAAATGCATATTGATTATTGACTATACTGATGAACAGAGCCAAAACCTTCACAGTGTTATTTACATGCAGTCATGCTTGAAACAGACTGCTGAAACCAAACAAAACTATTGATTAGGGAAATTATTTAGTTTAGTATTCAGTGACAGAGCTGTTATGTGATGTAGTTCCTTATCATGTTATTTGATGCTGCTGTTAACAATATTCTAACTGTATCATGGCAGCATGTAAATAACTGAGGCTGGACCACATGACACACAGTCACTCATGTCACAGAGTCTGACCACCCAATCCTCTTTAGTCAGAACCCTATGGGGGTCTGGGGTAAAATGCATCCCCAGCATCCCATTGCTTTGGTTGGTTGGTTGGTTTGTTGTTTAACGCCGCACTCAGCAATATTCCAGCTATATGATGGCGGTCTGTAAATAATCGAGTCTGGACCAGACAATCCAGTGATTAATATCATGAGCGTCGATCCACGCAATTGGGATTGATGTCATGCATCAACCAAGTCAGCGAGCCTGACCACCCGAACCCGTTAGTCGCCTTATACGATAAGCATAGTCACCTTTTATGGCAAGCCTGGGTTGCTGAAGACCTAATCTACCCCGGAATCTTCACGGGTCTCCCATTGCTAGTCATAAGAGGCAACTATACTGGGATGATGTAGAGATTCTGGATTAGAATTGGTCCTTAGCAATCTCTGTAGGTCGTAAGAGGCAACTATAAGGATTGGCTCGTCAGGCTCAGTGACTAGCTTGATTGTGCATCATCATACCCCAGTGGGGTGGATCACTGCTCATAATATCAATCACTGGATTGTCTGGTCCAACCTCAATTATTTACAAATAGCTGTTGAGTACAACATTAAACATCAACGATTTCACACACCATTTTAACCTCAGATATATGGGACTTATTCAGTGTTAAACATGCTAAACAGATTGATTTCAGAATTTTGACTAGCTTTCATACATTAGCATGTATGTTTACTTGCAATTCAAACTCGTTTCATTCTTTTAAAATTAGAAAATACAAGTTTCTAACTTTTTTCATAAATTTGGCAGCAAAAATTAATGAAAGAAAACAAGGTTCTTGGGAATCTGTAGAATTCAATTCATCATGAAGGTAAAAAATAATGGTTCGTTCGAGAAAACGATCTTAGCGCTAAGACCATCACAACTCCCATAGTTTAATAGACACACTTTAGCGTGAAGACACAATGTGGAACAAGGCCATGGCTATATTGTCATAAGATATATTGTTGCTTCGTTATCCAGATATTCTGGGGGCAGTCGGGTAGCCTAGTGGTTAAAGTGTTTGCTCGTCACGCCCCAAGACCCGGATTCGATTCCCGACATGGGTACAATATGTGAAGCCAATTTCTGGTGTCCCCCGCCGTGATATTGCTGAAATATTGCTAAAAGCGGTGTAAAACCATACTCAATCAGATATTCTGACATTTAAATAAAAACATACCACTGCAGGTTTTCTAGTCCGACTACTTTGATGAGTCGGAGCTTGTCCAGAATAAACTGTAGCGGATCCTCTGGACACATCACTGCTAAGCCCGTCAGGAGTGCCTGCCATGAACAAATTACATCCTATGCATTAATGGCATTAAAACAATGTTTTTCAATTAGTTTTCTTTTGTTTCCAACACCATAGGAAGGGTGGTCAAAATAGAAACAAAATTAACTCAGCAATGCAAAAACTTCAAAGTAAGTTACTTTTTGTGACGATACCTTAAATATAGTCTATCAAAGATGGGATGATTTGGCAAATAAAACACAATTCAGACTATATGTATTATATTGTTCCCATGGTGGCATCTGGCTCATGTCAATTGACTGTAAACCAATAGTTTATCCTTTACCTACAAGATACATCCTATGATATTGACATCATACTAGGGCCGGGACGATACATGCACCAACAGTGCAATCTGTAACGGATCACAATACCTTGCTCACGATCCGATATGTATCATGATACTTGCATGAACTCTTATCTGTGGTGCTTAAGTCCTTTTTTTCATGGACAGGATGGCAAAATACCTGGCACACTGACTATTTACAGTTGTCAGTGTCAAATATGGTGTAATGGATGAAATTATTTACGCTTTCACGACAAAGTTTCACTACTAATTAGTATTTGGCAGCATTAGAAATTGGCACTAGTCCTGTAGTCCTTACCAAACTGCCCAACAGTTAAGGTATCATATTAGGATTAGTTGAAATTTGCTGTTTTTAAGAGTTTTGCAATATGCTATTATAAGGACTAGTGGACTAACTACCGTATTCGACGTAATAAGCGCCCCGCTCTAATAAGCGCCCACGGCGATATTTGCTAATATATTGGCTAGTGAACAATCCCAATTAGCACCCCTTCTGATTGATCAATGTACAAAAGACTTATTTATTCATGTATAAAACAAACTCGTGAGTTATATGCACCCTTAATTATGGGCAATTAAATTCTGGAAAAATATATCTGTCGTATATAAACATTTCAGGCTGTCAGCATAAACCACGAAATTTATCTTTCAACTCAATTTCAATTTTGAGAGCGCCCTGGGCGCTTATCACGTCGAATACGGTAAGTTAGTTTCTACAGCTGATCGGTTTAAGAGTTATTAAAGAAAACATTTAAGCAACCAATCGATATTTTTTACTTTGTTTGTGACTGTGATCGATACTTGTATCGAGCAGTAAAAAATGGCATGAATGTATCATCCCACTACTACATCATACATCAACAGCTTGAGGTGTGCAGTGAGCACAAAAACAGAACAGCAGTTGGCAACACATCTGATACTGAGTGAGTGAAGAAAACTTTTCAACGACTTTTATCAACCAAAAAATAACAGTCAGATCATTTCAAACAACACAAACTGTAGCAATGTTTGATAGGCCTCCCGGATTACATGTAGTGAAAGACCCGTGAAGATCCGGGGTAGAATAAGTCTTCAGCAACCCATGCTTGCTGTAAAAGGCGACTTTGCTTGTCGTAAGAGGCAACTAACGGGATCGGGTGGTCAGGCTCGCTGACTTGGTTGATGTGTGTCATAGATCCCAATTGCGTGATATCAGTCATTGGATTGCCTGGTCCAGTCTCGATTATTTACACAGACCGCCGTCATATAGCTGGAATATTGCTGAGTGTGGCGTTAAACAACTAACAAACAAACAAAAACATGTAGTGAAAAGTAAAACGACCACAGTTTCAGTCCGATATCAACTCGAGTTAAGCGACCCAATACTTTGAAATTGAGTATACAAACCTATCAAAGGACAACTGGTAGAAGTATTTGGCAAATATGTATTAAAGTGGCTTAGATGGTGTCCAACACTGAAGTGGGTTTGGAACATATGTTAAGTTCTAACGATTAAAGTGGATTTGTTATACTGGCATTTATTGGCAGTTAGTGTGGTAAATGAATATTGATTTACAATTCCCCATGAAATAATAATTAACTTCAAGGTGACGTAAACTTCAAAGAACCTAGAGGACCCAAGTCCTCCCCTAAACTTCTGCCACTGTAAGTGCAGATCTCAACATAAGCTGCATAAAATATGAACTAAATGCTTTCATAAGTAAATGTAATGTCTAATTACCAAAGTTAATACAAAATACTACATGTTTGAAAATGTGGCCATAATGGATGTCACTCATGAGGTTTCCACTCGCCAATGTGGAACTTCTACTTTCGAGTATGTTTCAATTGTTGACATCAAATTTGTTTGTTTATAGATTGCTTTTGATATTTAATTTTGAGGTTTAATCATATTTAACCTTCCAAATAGTAAGTATTTTTTACTGTTTATTTTGAAACTCTGCTGACTCTGCTGAGTTATGCGATGTGTGACACATTTTCAGCAACACATGAACATGCATATTTGAGGTCACCTGAAACAGCGTTTAGTAGAATTATCTTTTTTTAAATGCTGTTAGCTGTTATTTGTAATACCCAATAGACTTGAACCCTAAAAGGAGTAAATTATACAGAATATTCAAAGACAAAAATATTAATACCCAATGTTGAATGGATACATGTGAGTAGAAATACAATAGCTCAAGCAATGGAAATGCATATATTATAATAATTTACGATTATATGCATGAATTATGCATGATCATATTAAATCATATCCAAAATTGAAAAAAAAATTACACTTGCTAGTGAACGTTCTATCCTCAAATTGCTAAATATGCGAACACATTGGAGACTTCATATTGTCATATAAATTACCTCATATATATCTGGTAGCTTATTGATCCTCAAATACTTTCTTAGATCTGGGTCTAATCCTTTCAATGATGCTGCCATTTTGAAAGATATTAGAAGAAACAGTAATTATTCCAATAATATTAAGGAACTTCGAAAACTAACACTGCTACGCCATATTTGTTTCAGGTAGCAACGGGGGAGTGACGGATTATCTCCCTTTGGTTTTCGGACATGATCGTTTCTCTCCGGAAACGGTTTGATAAATCGTTTCGTTTCGTGTTTATTCTTTACATTCCACATTTTGATTTTCGGGCATGCTGGGACTGCTACCGCCATTATCGCTGACGTCACTGGTAGTGGTTGGCTAAATTGACGTGGCATGCATGTTACTTGTTCTCACATGCGAAGCGGTTGAACATTTACGAAGAAAGGTTGATCGTACCTATCTTAGACCCCGTTTATATTTATTTTGCTGAACTAAGTACATTTTACCAGTATGGGTCTAACATTGTCGAGCGTCTTTGACAGACTCTTCGGGAAAAAACAGATGAGAATTTTGATGGGTGAGTTTATTTCCTGTAGATTCGTGAGTGTGACAGGTTTTCTTTCAAGTTTCATATATGTCTACGTTCTGTCTTTTGATTTTATCATACGTGTGAAGTGTGTCGGTTGTATAATCACGGTAATGTTTGTTAGCTGGATAGATCAACCAAGTAAACGGTAAACACAATAACTGAGAAAACCCGAGTGTACCGTTAGGCCTACCTTGAATTTGATTTCAATGCTACAGGTCGAATAATTTTATACATTCTGAAGTTCATTATTCCCAAAGCGGGAAATGAAATGGGTAGGTATAAGGTAAATAGCCCGTAACTTTGGTGGGATTATTACATGTCTAAAGGATTATCATTATGGAGACCTGCTTCACTTCTGCCTTTCCTCCCACATTGGTTTAGCAGACACTCAGTCAAATTTAGAATTTTGCATATTGTGTTAACAAATCACTGATTAAGCTTCAGAAATCCTTCAGAAATACATATCATAGGATGGTAACTCTCCCACTTGGCTGATTAACTTTCAGAAAAGATCTTTCTGACACTACCGTGGGGAGCCAGAAAATTCATTTTGGTCTAAGAAAATGTTTATTTGAATTAAACCATAATATTATTATAGCATAACAGCAGTAATCCATGTCCAATTGTGGTGCATATTCATCTAAACTGAATTTTGGGAATAGAGAAATGACTTTGAATTGTGGCGAAAATGTCCGTTGGGGGGGTGTAATAACTTATGACACATCTCAGCTTCCAGGCACCGTTTCTAGTACAGCATCAACTGTGCCTGTTATGGGAATACAGAAGATTTCCTTAAGCTTGAGATGTTTTACCTACAACAAAAAGATATGAAAAGAAACATAAGGAGTCTGTATTAAACTTGGAGAAAACAATGTTTCTTGACTAATTGGTTTCTTTTGTTTTTCAACAGTTCTTCACAGTACCCCAAGTCATTTTTCATGCTTTTCTCTTTTTGTGTTGCCTCTTCCAATGTGCTAATAGAATCTTCCAAAGCTTCAGTTGACTTTTCTACATATTCCTTTGAAGATTTCAGCTTTTGTTGAGTGTATTCAAATTCCTTCCCAATTTTCTTGACTTTTGAAGCATTTTTGGCCAGACTGGTTTTAGTTTGAGCATGGGCACTCTTTTCTCTGAAAATTTTTCCTCTAATATTTGGCTTAAGGGTTTCCAATTTCTGTCTCTTTACCATGTTTACAGCAAATTCATCAGTGGCTCTTTTAATTTAATTTTCAAATTGTAAATATCCCTTTCTAGAGATATTCTTTTTTTCTTTCTTGTTTTGCATTTGTGGGTTTAATTTGCTTACTTTATCCTTCAGACTATTAACTTCCTGTCCAAGGCCTTGCAATACCATAACCTGACCTTGTTCTTTCTTCATGCCCTTAGGTACCAGAGTTTGTACTGGCACAAGGAAATGCTCAGCTCTATATTTTTCCTTAACTTGTCCTTTCTTCTTTTTATCTTCTTGCTGTATTCAATGAAACTTACTCATTAAGGCATTAAAATTAAGCAGGTGAAAAGGAACATCAAAAACCTGTGCAAACCACGTAGCAAAAAATTGACGGTTTCCAGGGACAAATTTGTGAATTTCAAATACTAACCCATTTGTTTGAAACTTAGTCGGAACTACACTCACAACAGCCTGTGCTTTCATGCTGTCAATAAGTTGCAACTGTTCAAGTAATGGGAACGTTTTCAAACTTCATTGCTTATTTTCCAAACTTTTTCTTTGCTTTTTCAATGCTACGTTTCTGGATCTTGATCTCAGCAATGGAAAGGATCCAGACCTACTACTACTAATACTAAGTGATGCAATGTTTCTCTTGAAGTTTTTTCGCTCACAAAATTCACACTCAAAATGATCATGAAGCCACTGTGCAACCTTATTATTTTCTGACAAACTTTGAGAATAAGTTGATGTTACAGATTCACAATCTCTCAATTTTCTGTCAATATCAAGAAGATTATTCCAATCATCTGCCCCATCCCATCCCCCATGAAAGATTCAGATTGCTGTTCAATATTTCACACAAGTTCACTGTACTTTACATTAATTAAAACATACGTTTAGTTATTTATTGTAACACATATATATACATAACATCATAATTGTTCCTCCTACCTACGTTGAAACTACTTTTTTTAATGATACTAAACATGTTTCAGTCACCCCCACACATGACATTGACAATGTGAAATGGTTCAGCCTGACAGTTATTTTAGTATTTTTAAAATTTTAAACACATATCATAGTTTGTCAACACAAAAAATACCCCAATGTCAGAAATATATTCCCCAGTACAACATTCTTACATTTAATGCTTCAAATTACGAGGATTGTTGCTGGATTGTTGAAAACAAATACTATAGTGTTTGTGAATCATGTCCGAAGGGAAGGAACTGCATAGTTTTGTAAAAATTGCATACCGCTAATAGAAATGGGGTGGGGTCCGATTTAATTATTTTTTTTATATATTGTTCGTTATAAATTACATCTACAACATGTACAATGCACTGAAAATTATAACAAATTATTGCAGAAGAGAATAAACCTATAAACAACCACGTTTTCGGCTGTATTGATAGTTTTAAGAATAACCATGATAACTGTTGACTTCATCAATGTTACTCAACTTCGAAGACAATTCTAAAAATAGCAGCTTATGAAATACCCCAGTTTGTGAAGGACGCTGATTTTCCCACTTTCTGCGTTAATCAGTGAGTTTAGAGATGGGATTTTGAACCAACCCTCCAAGGTGTGGAAAACTAGCTTTGAGAATAATTGCCTCCTCTTGCCATGAGCATTGCAACATATAACTGGAATACTATTCAAAGCGGCTCTATACCACACTCATTCACATGAATGTCTCTATAAGAGTAGTCAAAATCTGTATAATAATTAATTTTCTAAATGTTGACAGCCAGAGATAAATAGAGCTAAAACTAGACTTGCCGCGTATCATCCTTGATTATTTGATATATTTTCTCCAATCTGTTATTATGTATACCAATTCACTTACTCATTAGTTTGAACTCAACAAACAACAAAAATGTCTCTTTTGAAAACGATATTGGTAAATATTAAAGATATCACAGCCTCATATGAGTGAGTTTGTGGTATATTTAGTCGAATCAGAAGACCATTATTTATGTACTTTTAGCTGTAAAATATGTTATCTTGAATGAAAGACAGGGTAAGATGTCTTTATGCTACAAGACATTTCCAGTAATGAAATGGCACGCAGTAAGGCAAGTTGAGAATGTGGAGTACTGGGATCTGAATCTCATTAAAATCAGACCTTAGTTCTCGCTACCACTAAACAAAGATCTGAAGACATCCCATTAGGGGTCATGTCAGAATGACCTTTCATCCGACTAATAAGAGCGACGCTTACCAGATTATGAAAGTGACAGTCGGAATGTGATTTCTAATCATGCAACCTCAAAAACTTTAACACGAACAGTAGTTACGGGTGTAATGACTGAATCCATACAATCTAGACATCTATTAGTCATTCCAGAATGTTCGTTTGTTCAGATTTCAAATTTGGAATCAAGAATTTGACGAAATATGTTTCGAAGCGTAGTAGCCAATTTGAAATTAGTGCCGTAAAGCACTAGAAAGCTTCCTTCAGATTGGTCATTCCATTGGTTGGTCAAAGTTCACGCAAGGTCGGTCTGATGTGACCCGTAATGGGATGTCCTCAGATCTTTGTTTAGCGGTAGCGTGAACTAAGTTCTGATTTTAAGGAGATTGGGAAGAAATGTGTGATACGATTGGACTGCTAATTTTAGCATTGTGTCATTCAATGCCTACAGGCAGTCCAATCAAGAATGACTTTGTTGACAGTTTACTTGATGTCTGCTGATACCACATGCTCTAAAGAATGATAAATGGGGGTTCAACCCCCTGTTCACTTAGTACCATAACACGTTACAAGATGGTACTTGTTGTTACCCTGCCTAGTGCTCAGCATTTGGGGAAAACATCAAGAACTGGTCGACTGAAGGTGGCATAATAGTATTATGTTCATGCCTAGTCTCAGATTGGGTTGTTAGCTTCCAGTTGTAAATTGTTCATACAAAGGATACACATTGATTATAGCACATGCTTACATTTTCAGTTGGTCTTGATGCTGCTGGAAAAACAACAATTCTCTATAAACTGAAACTGGGCGAGATCGTCACAACCATCCCAACAATTGGTAAGTTGTTTTACCTATCATTCAAATTTAAGTAAGTAATGCTTTTCCTATTTTGTTTTATTCAAACATTTCATTGTAAAAGGTCATTGGAATCTCTTATCAAAGTTTGAAAAAGTTGCATCAAGCATGTGTTTGTGCAGATGTCATAGTTGTGAGCAATGTTTGACGAAAGCAGCTTCTGTATTTTTAGTGAACTGTTTCAGGCTTTAATGTGGAGACGGTAGAATACAAGAACATCAGCTTCACCGTGTGGGATGTGGGTGGCCAGGACAAGATTCGACCATTGTGGAGGCATTACTTCCAGAACACTCAGGTGACCACATGTTCCTCTGAATAAATACCATGTTAGCTTGGTTCGTGATGTTAGATGGTCCTTTATGGTGTCGAAAGTTAGGGTGTTCTTGAGGTATGGTATGGTACATCATTTGAATCTTTTGCCCCCCCCAACCATGTAACACATGCTAAATCTTTACTATAATGTTAGTGTACATTGGTTTTTCCAGGGGACTTGGGACATTTTCATGATTTTATCAGTTTTTGATAGGATATTCTTCTGTCATGTCTATCACATTTATAAACATCTTTGGGACATTTTGGGTGACAATAAGTCACTGTCCTACAATGATTACAAAAGGAGCTGATGGGCACTAAAATTGACATTAATTGCAAAATTGGAAAATTGTGTGAGCAACCATGTTTCAGCAAATTGTTAGATTATTTTTGGGATCAGCTGATTGAAAAAAGTAGGTTTTTCGCAAATGGTTGGCATGGAGACCAAACTTGACTTTGAACAGAAATTGTTCGAGCTACAGCAGGAAAGACTTTGGCACGGATGACCCAAACACAGTTTCACAATCCTACACCTTTAATATTGAAGAAAATATTGAAACAAGTTCAAGTAGGCCCAAACTGCCCACAAATGGCAGACCAGAATTATTGCCAATTTGACAAGTGTGTCGGTTAGTGAGTTACCCCTTGGTTGGTCAAAGCCAAAATGGTCATTACAAATCTTCAAAGATTGTTCTTTTCTTGTGACGACTACTTAAAAATATTTGACCCTGTGACCCCCATTAAATCTTGACACTGACAGTTGAATGACCTAAGCTTTTTCACCATATTCTAAAATATATTCTTGGATATTGCTTCAAGGATGAAGCTGAAATTGTACATGTTTCATCTTATGAAGACATGAGGTCTATTTCACCTGACACCTGAATCTTGAAAACCTCTGGGCTTAACATTTGTGTGTGTGTAATGACCTTACGTAGAAAGACTCAAGTTTGTTCACCATGTTCACGGTATTACTATTTGCACTCAGGGCATTCTCATTAAAATCAGATCTTAGTTCTCGCTATCGCTGAACAAAGATCTCAGGACATCCCATTACGGGTCACTTCAGAACGACCTTTTCATCTGACCAATCAAAGCATCACTTACCAGATCATGAAAGTGACAGTCGGAATGTGTTTTCTAATCATTTAACCTCGAAAACATGAACACAGGGTATTCCGAACGACCGTTACGGTCAAAACTATCATCTATTTCTCACTTCTGTGGGATAAACATTTGAACGGAGGAGGCGTTGCACGGTACGTGGGAAGCACTGCCATTCAATTACAACCATATATTAGACATTCCGGAATGTTCGTTTGTTCAGTTTTCAAATTTTTAATCAAGAACTGTCAACATATTTTTCAAGCATACCGGTAGTCTGAAATGGAAGTCGCCAAGGTTGAAACAAGCGCCCTAAAGCTCATGAAAGCTGCTTTATAATCGGCTGATGTCAACTTCTTATTAGTCGTTGCAGTGGTCGGTCAAAGTACGTGAAAGTTTGTTCTGACGTGGCCCTTAATGGGATGTCCTCAGATCTTTGTTTAGCGGCTGCGAGAACCTAGATCTGATTTTAATGAGATTGCACTCAGAGGGGTTGGAAATATTTCTTCTTCTTTTTCCACAGAAGTTTTTGCACAATTTATTCATGAACTCACTGAACATGCTGAAGATGTTTGTATAAAAATAAGTTTAAAGTGTCATAAGCATATCTGATAAGAGCCTTGCTTCATAAGTCACAGTGAGCTTTGGAGCCTTGTGGCTCTGTTTTTATATATGGCTGCTTTCGTGGTCTAATGGTAGAGCGTACGCCCTGAGAGTAGAAGATCAGGAGTTAGAGATCCCTGGCCGCGTCATACCATAAGACAATAAAATATGGTACTTGTTGTTACCCTGTCTGGTGCTCGGCATTAAGGGAATACGACAGGGACTGGTAGGCTTGGAGCTATTTATGATAAACTGAGGGCTAGCACTATAAAATAAGCATTAGTCCGGACTAGTACAAGCAGTCACACATACACATATTAAACCCATGTTCTTTTGATTAACCATTGGCGTCAACTGTCTCACAATACGTCCCCACTAGAGTCCTCAGCACCTTTTCATTTTTCCTACTGCTTGATATAAGAGGCAATAAAATTGGATTGTATGGTCAAACAAGGTGGCTTATATGTAGAGCATGGCACATGATTAGTTGATTTAAAACGTTTCTTAACATGCTCAAGAAATGGTAGTTAGCACCTGTTTATCAAAATCATGTAGCATGTTCCTGGTGTATTGGAAGAACCATCATTGACTTAAACATTTCTTTTGTTTTCAGGGTTTGATCTTTGTAGTAGACAGCAATGATAGTGAACGTTTAGCAGAAGCTAAGGATGAACTCTCAAAAATGGTAAGTGTGTAAAGTTTGTTTTGCTGTTACCATTAAGGGTAAAACGATACACCGATATTCCGATGCATCGCGATACTTTACCCACGATACAATATACGATAAACGTTGGCCCATTTATCAATACGCCACGATACGGAACGCAAATCTCAAGTACAGCGTTTCCTCGGTATTGTGCCTTTCAATAAACCGCTAACTAGTCCGGTCAAAATAACGATAGACCCACCACAAATTGCAACAGAAATGTTTTTAGTTTATTTATATTAAAGAAGCCCTCCTTAACATCATATCAAAAATCTAGAAAAATCTAAATGGGGGAACATTTCCAAATTCAGTCATCTTTATTATGGCGATTACCTAGCATTTTCATAGAAAAAAATATAAAAATCAATTTTTGAAAATTACTCCAAGTTAACTATGTTACATATCAAATGAAAGCTACTAATACAGGCTTCATTATGTTATACCTTTCCATATTCTGTCTTGTTTTGATTCAGAGAAATCAGCAAAAATCTTTTTACAGCTTTCAATAATAGTAATCTATCGTGTTCCAAACAGCATTAAATGGTCATTTTCTGACCGAAACAACCCATTAAGTTATCAATGCAGCACACACATGCATAGTAACAGGTATGCACATCATAGTTCACTTCAAATGCCTCAGGCTGTTGGCAGTTCAAACAAGACATGCCACGACATTCGCCACACAGTGAAGAACATTGCAATCTGTGACGCCTACAGCTGCATCTGTTTGAATCACACATGCTCGGTTTATAGTAGCATTGTATTATTGCGAGCAGTTCTTTAGGAGCTGCTGGCATACCTGATAACTGTGGGATTTGTTCACCAATAACTCTCCAACCCCATTCTTCTGCTGCAATTTCATCCACCACTTTCCATTGCTGCACCTGATGATAGACCCACATGCTGTGAAATTTTGCAGCAGCTGATGTTGGGGGTAAGCATTGCAGGATGACGTAAGTCACACTTGATGTGACCTTCGCACGAAACTGACGGTATCTTAGATAATTTAGGTCTTCTCCTGGTAAACTGTTGTAAAGGCACAAGAGAGCCTATTCTCCAGATATTATTATCTGTTCTCTGGTTATATCCTGCAACAGCTTGTCAAACATTTTAGCATGTTCCCTGAAGTCAGGACTTGGCTGGAATATTTTCAAAGATACTGCTTTCCCTATGCTGTCTTTGTTTATTTTTGGCGTTCACGGGGAATTGTTCCTTCTCGGATTGAATGATCATGTCACCGTCAAACTTTGCAGTTGCTCCAACTACACCCTCGGTTCTCCTCAGATGTGTCTTATCCTTTGTTGGTGGGTTCTCGTTGTAGCCATCAAAGACAATTGTTGGCATGCCATAATGACTGGTGACATATTTGCAGTACATGCCACATACATCATTGTAAGTGATTCCACGAGGCCATTGTAAACGCTGCAGTAGTGATCCACCATCAAGCATATACTGAACTTCTTTTGGAATCAGAAGCGAGTTCCTGACATCAAACCTTTCCCATGTGGCATTAGAGAGAAGTGGTTTGTTAGCTTGCTTCAGTAGAATAGTGGAGTCAAACAAAGAAGTTGGATATGTACAGCTACAAGGTTCCTTCAAGGTGTCTGATGTATCACCAGCTTCTGTAACTAGTCTCTGGAACAAGAGTAGAGGGTTAACAGGTTCTGCAATTTCCTCACCTTAAACAGATGGTCTGCAATATCATGTCACACCTTGATTGGATTTCTTGAATGAAAGTCAGATACAATTTTGCCAGACATTGAATTCAAGATCATCGATCGAACACTTTTTGCTTCATCTGCATTGACTGTTTATTAGTTGTGATGCCATTTGCAATATTTCTGAGGACAGGGTCTTCATGAAATGGATCTCGATCAGCGAGGTAGTCTGCCAGGTTTTTCACATCTGATGTATTTCTGTGAATCCTTGCCATGGTCATATCTGTATGCTGTTCACTGCTGCTGTTTTCAACCTGAGTCAACTCTTGCGTTGTATTGTTTATCTCTGTTCAGACAGGCATGGGCATCAGCCATACAAGACGTTGTGTCTCGTTCATTCCAGTTCCTCTTGTTAGTCCACCATTTGTTTTTAAATTTCACATAAGCACTTGTTCGATAACTAGATCAGAGGATAGGCCTACCCACAAGCGATTAGATTGTCGAACAACGGGGTACCATCCTCAAACATCTTGTGAACTTCTGGATGCATTTCTGGCAGTTGTGCCATCATGGAGTATGGGAGCATATGATATAAGGATTTGAGATGGAGATTCCAATTGCACAGTTCTCTCACCTCGAATGAAACTCCTTAGGATATCCACCATCTCCATGTAATGCATCCAGAGGTTTGCTGTTCTCAAGTTCTTCATGGAGTCCATCATTGTTAGTTCCACTAATCAAATCATCAAATAGAGTACATCTGTCTGTGAGATCTTCATTATCAGGTGAGCAATCTGGGTGTTCCTTTGTCGCTTCACTACTGGTTCCTCTGACAATTCCTCCATTGGTTCTCTCATGAGTGAGTGAGTGTGTGAGTTTGGTTTAACGCCGCTTTTAACAGTATTCCAGTTATATCGCGGCGTGTCAGCTTAATGTGGGAGGAAAGGCCGAAGTGATGCAAGTCTCAGACGTTTACCACGTGAAGCCCATGGGCACGGCTATGGTGCTGACAAACCTAGAAACATAATTCCTAGAACCGGGATTCGAACCCACAACCATAGGTTTCTGGCGTGCCCAAGGGACGCAACTCTGCACAGCGAATCGTGGCGCCTTAGACGACTGAACCACCCATGTCCCCCGGTTCTCTCATGGTCTCTTGGACTTGTCCTTCAAACTTCTGTTCAGATTTGTTTGTTGAAACTTGAAAAACCTTCGCTACCAGCAAAGCCTTTACACTGGTATCTACAAAGACATGTGCTCTTGCCATTGCCTTTACTGATGACCTTGGTAAACATGGCCGCCAATGTGTAACTTGTCGGGAATCTTATCTTTGTCAACATTTATTGATGACCTCCCTTGACATATAAGATTTAAAAAGGAAATGTTTTAAAATGAAGGTTTTCAAACAGATAAACAATTTTTAATATTATCAAATAAATATAGTTAAGTCTAACAAAAATTATGTAGATGAATAAATATGGATATATGTATTTTCCCCCCAATTTTGTTTTTGTTTTTGTTTCAAAGGCCGATTATTTCACTTTTATGCAAAATAGATACAAACTATAGATACAAAAAGACTGCATGTGATGCCAGCTTTCATTTGATATCTAACTTGATATGGTTAAAGGAAAAATGAAACATTAAGTTTTCGGGCTTTTTTGTATTTTACATTGATTTACCCCCAAAAGATCATACCCAAACTAAACAATTTTCCCTTACTTAGATTTTCCTAGATTTTAAATATGTTGTGAGGGGATGCCTTCTGAACATGAAACAGGAGAAATCATTTCTGTTGCAATTTGTGGTGGGTTTGGTAGGATTAGACACTATATTGACCGGACTAAACTTGGTTAAATCGCGCGCTAACGCATGGCTCCAAAAAACATACTTACATTTTTAATAAGCCCAGGTTTTACACCGACAGATGTTTTTCCCCATCTCATAAAACATTATCAGCTGATCACCACACGCACATAACACCAAAAATACCAGTCAGCAAATCCGAACTGATGTACGCAATTCAATATCATTATTATACTATCTTGTTATCAAAACGTGTTCATTGTATATCTGGACTTGTGTTTGTAATATATTTTATTAATTTTATTCAAAATTTCATTTAATATTGTTTTCATTAAGTTATGTGAAATCATGTGTGAAGAGATACAGCAACCACGGTCAGATTACCGCTTTTGACGCATTGAAACAAACTTGGATGAATGGAGAATGGATGCATATATTAAAAATGCCATACTTTGACTCATTAAAAGTCATATTTGTGGCAATTTGGCTAATATATGTCAACATAACGTTATCGCAATCGAAATACATGTAGCACGGGAAGTCCCTAGGGTGACTGGTCAAATTGTTCCATACGTAAAAATATCCTGCAACAGCAATCACCGGTACCAAAATGCTACACTTGTGGTTCTTATAATTATAAATATATAATTATATAGTAAAAGCTGCAACTAACATGACTAAGGTAACAAGATATTGGAATAAATTATTCCTGATAAAACAATAATTTCAGATACAATTTCTTCGACCATTGCATCAAAATTCTTTGAAGTTGTATCACTGGTGGAGTACATAAATTATTTTCTGGTGTTTGAACTTTGAATTGTTTTGAAGGAAAGTTGAACAACTTCAGTAGTCTTGTTATTATAAAATAATTTTGACTGTTCCAAAATCATGAACGGTTCAATCTTTACATGCTTTAAGTCTTGTTTTTTTTATCATTGCGTATCGAGATACGTATCGTATCGTGACCAGAATATCAAGATGTGTATCGTATCGTGTCCTTCCTGTATCATTGCAGCCCTAGTTACCATAGGAACTATTTATAATCATCATCATACACGTGATAAAAGTGGTGCTACTTTCCTTAAAATGTGGGACCGCCTCCGTGGTCTAGTGGTAGAGCGTCCGCCCGGAGAGCGGAAGGTCTGGGGTTCGATCCCCGGCCGCGTCCGACCAAAAGACGTTAAAAGATGGTACTTGTTGTTACCCTGTCTGGCGCTCGGCATTAAGGGGCTAAAACAAGGACTGGTCGGCTCGGAGTCAGTATACTGTGTCTGAGCAGGGTATTCATGTTAAACTGCGGCATGGTATCTCAGTGAGCTAGCACTATAAATCGGCATCAGTCCGGACTAGTACAAGCAGCCACACAAACACACACACGTACATGCACGTCGCTATATAAGTGCAATAATCTTGGACGCGACGTTAAACCCCATTCACCTCACCTTAAAATGTGGCAAGGTAGTGGTTGACAATCAGTGTTGGATGTGTTAACATAGTAGTGTACATGTAGGTGTAATAATATCATAAGAAGTGGTTGACAGTCAGTGTGGGATGTACTAACATAGTAGTGTACATGTAGGTGTAATAATATCATAAGAAGTGGTTGACAGTCAGTGTGGGATGTGTTAACATAGTAGTGTACATGTAGGTGTAATATTATTTTTAGTACTAAGGGGTTGACATGTTAACAGAGAGATGTATGATTATGTTTCTAGGTTGGTCAGCACCATACCTATAGTTGTGTGTTTCACCAAAGTGATGAAAGTAAAAAAACGCATCACTTCTGACACACTGTTGTATAACTGAAATACTGTTTAGAGTATTCACTCACTACAGTTACTAATATTGATAATATCACCGGGTTCACCAGTATTGTATGATGTGTCTAGAATGGTATAGTGATTGAATGTTGGGGTATATATGTATCTATGCAATGTTTTGTGGAATGATTGTTCTTGTTGTCATGATCATGATCGGCTTCTTGTATTTTTTCAGTTACAAGAAGATGAACTAAGGGAGTCTGTTGTTCTCGTATTTGCCAACAAACAAGATTTACCCAATGCCAAGACCTCTGCTGAGCTGACAGAGGCTCTAGGACTAAATTCATTGCGGAGAGATGTAAGCAGTTGTCATTTATCATTCACTACTTGATCTGTGAGACTTTCAATGCTTTATGCAAATGTTATGAGTTTTAGTCGATTTTATCATCCCCTAGAAATGAACTTGTATGCAGTGAAAACCCAATGGCTTGACCCTGTACACTGGGAAACCTCACCCTCTGGAAAATTACTAATGGGATATAATTAAGCCAAAGAGACATTGGGACCAATAAATATAATCTTGTGGTTTTGATTGATAGGGTAGGTAGATAGGCATCTTTTTCTTTTTCCGTCACCCACACACAGTGAATTTGCCCAGTAATTCTGCAACTGTGTTGAGCAAATACTGAAAAGCTTGAATAGCAGTGGGGTCAGCATCTTATAGCTGGTTGGGTTATCAGCATCACCTGACATACCCGTGATCCATTAATCCCTGGTAACTGCACCACTCTGATTAATCGGTTTCATTGTAATTGCTTAATATTCATGTGCAATTCCTTGAAACTGAAACCAGCCAGTCAATGATGAAATCAATTAATTGGATCAACAAATGTTTCAATTCTAATGTATAGTTATCTTTTTCAGTGGTATATGCAAGCTACATGTGCTACACAAGGTACAGGCCTGTACGAGGGCCTCGACTGGCTATCGAACAGGTTGACTGGCAAGTGATTGTGACGAGGTAGAATGAACAGTCTTCATTTGTCATCTGTCTTCAGTATGTGCTGCAGCTGTAGCAACAAGGACTTCAACACAGACCACACACCATCCAAAGCATCAGCTGTAACAGATCCTCAGTCATATCTGAGGACAAGAAGCTTGTGTATCAGATCCTCATTATATTGCTGGTTGATGCCAGTCATTAGGAGCCGGTAGTCTGCAGCACATACTGAATTCTTTGTGGGAGTTGTGAGTGAAAGTGGTCTGGATCTTTTGGCAGTTCGCCTGGTAGCCATGTAACACTGGACCAGACACACAAGCTTTGGCGGGGTGGAGATATATATTTTTCTTGTACATTGTCATTCCTATAAAGGCTCACCCTGTATTATTTATGTTCAAGTATATTCTTCATCATTCACGATTATTGTCCCTCTGATTTTATTATTTGTGGGCGCTGGCCTCATCACCTGTCCATCTTCAGATCAGCATGGTAGCTGTCGTCAATACTTCATGGGTTTGTGTACACTAGATCCTCCATCACCCATGAATACATACATCAGATGTGGGTCGTAGTATATATATATATATATATACAGTACTCGTAGGTTGAGTGTATATTTTTAGTAAGCTATTAAAACTGTTAATGACCATTGTAAGTCAAATGAGCCCTACACTGTGCAAACCCTACCATTGCCTGCCTGCAACAGGGCTACAACATGTGGACGCGACCATTGTCAAGCAGGAAGCATTGCAGTTAGTGTGATGTAATCTGAGCACTCGCTAGCTTCCCTCTTACTGGAACCAGGCCTTTGCTGGATTTGGTTAAAAATAGAGACAACACTACAAGAGAAAACTGTATGTCTTCACAGGTGATGGAGGAACAAAGTGTAATGTATACAAACCATTTATGTATTGACGATGCATGGTACCGTCATTTGTGTTTCTTTAGAGTTTATGCACATAAGTGTTATTAGAATGGCATGATCACACCTGAGTATTTATGCAGTTCTATATGGTGATGGGGTGAACACTTTCCGCCCTTGCTCGTTGTAAATAACACTTGCTCGTGAGAGTGACTGTGTTTACCTAACAGGTAATCATGTTGATATGCATGCATGTCTTTGTGTAAATGTCATTTGGTTGGAATCTAAGAACTTGGTATACAAACAGAAAAGCTATGTCTATTCAGAAGGAAAATTTATTGGGTATAATTCTGGTCTTTGTTAAATTATGGTAAAAGGAAATTGACACAGAACACAGACTTGTATGGTGATCATTTCTCAATTTGTTTTATTTCTTACACTGTTCATGGTATAACGTTAGAACAACAGTGGAAGTATGGATATCAATTATGAAAATAGAAATTCATTTCTGCATCCTGATGGCTTCAAAGATGTAAAAGTGAGAAATGCGAAAAGAAAATGAGTGATCTTTGTTCTTTTTTATTTTAATTGAACAAAGGTAGTCCATCTCAAATAATCTTTTACAAGGTAACCTGTCTGGGGCAAGTATCTTGCATTGATTTGTTTCAGATGGTTGACCTAAAGTTTGTTACTGGTTCAGAAGATGAAATTAGGAAGGCACGGAACATGTGGAAAATCCATTGTTGACTTTGTTACATGAATTGTATATACTGGTATTATGGATTTTAGTGGTATGTGTAGTTACAACTGTGTATAGATTGCACTTCGCCCTCTGTGTAGCGCTTATTTGTACAATTGTATGTCACTGGCAGGTCATTTCTGAAAGATTGTCCCATCAAAAATATGTGTATCATGATGATAAGGGTGTATATTACATAACCAAGTCATACAATTTTGACACACATCGAAAACTTAAATTATGAGTATTTTCATTTTGGTGTTCATTTCATTAAAGGTGGAAAATGAAAAGTTATTTACTTCTGAAGTTTGGAAACTTGGAATTTGAGTTATGTTGTTGAAATATGAGTGAACAACTGTCAATATTCTTGTGGAGCTGAGGTATACGGGACATGCACGTGATGAGACAATGTGTTTCAGTGTGACGATAGCTAGTACTCTGCTTGTACATAACATCATCACTCTGTAAGCATACTCACATCAAACCTGGTCATGTGAGAGGGTGGATATGAATGATAATAAAAACTGTGAAATAAACATGAGACATTGTTATTTGTAATGGATGGAGTATCATGTCTGATTCTTACAGAAATATGGCCAGTGGCACATATTCCTGCGTACATCACAAAGATCGCAGATGAGGCAATGGTGGTTGAGTTGGTGGATGGACGACTACAACACTGCTAATTGTTAGGCAATTTAACCGTCTTTGTCAGAAATATGGCTCTGTCCTATTGCTTCAACGAGTAGCCTACTTGAGCATTCGGGGCCAGGTTGGATTTAGCAAAACTGGAGTTTGTTATTGACCGGCATTCTCGCTAAAGGGAGGTAACTCTAATTCACATACTTTGCTAATTTCAAAATACATGTGTATATATAAAGAAGTTGGAGCTGGATAGAAATAGTATTGATAGTATTTTTCTGTATTTTCATTGGATGATTGCTATAGCAGTTATCCAATCACATATGAGCTTATGTTAACATGCACATTCTCATATGACTGCTGCAAATACTTTTCAACTGATTAATATTTCAAACGAATGTCATTTTAATGTACACCAGTGTCATTGCCTTGTACCACATATATATTACAATATGTCCCAGAAAGTTGCGATAATGAAAGTCGGTTTATTTAACTTTAATTTAGCTTTTATTTGCTCAAAAAAGGAAACTACTTAAGCCTACACCCTGAACTCTTTTTTTATAAAGATAATCACGTTATCAAACGGATCTTATTGTCGAGTCTGGACCAGACAATCCATGGTCAGTGATTGACATCATGAACATTCGATAACATACAACATTAACTTTTTTTTATAATGGTGAATTTTCGAACCCAATATGATTATATTTACTTCCTGTGTACCATATGCCCCCTAATATACACCAACGAAACCCGCGTAACAAAAGGGTCCTACAGCTTGTCAAAACGCAGGAGTCTAAAAGCTGTTACAGGCTAAATCCAATTAGTGCCTATTCCTTCTGGTATAGACTAACTGTCGAATCGTCATTGCTCATCTGAACTTGCTGATGCCTAAATTCAACTGCAGTTACATTTAGATAGCCATTATTCTGCCATCGTCTGCAATTGCAAAAAGTAGGTTTGAGCCTGGGAAAAGTACCGTCAAATTATATCATCACCAAAACGTCCCTCTGTTGGTTCTTTAAGGGGCGGTCGGGTAGCCTAGTGGTTAAAGCGTAAGCTCGTCACGCCGAAGACCCGGGTTCGATTCCCGACATGGGTACCATGTGTGAAGTTCATTTCTGGTGTCCCCCGCCGTGATATTGCTGGAAAAATTGCTAAAAGCGGCGTAAAACCATACTCACTCACACTCGTTCCTTAAGCCGCAGTCACTCTCCAAAGCTGTGGTAACATTTATTTCAATAAATAAGATTAAACGGTCATTTTCAGTCAGGAATGCTGAAGTATATATATACAGCATCCTTTTTCGCTGTTTCATAACTTTTGGTCAGAAAAATAAGTGGCAATCTGGAAGCTACCTACGGGATATGATGACATGCATCAAACCAATTTACATGTCATCATATCCCAATTGCGTAGATCGATGACCATGATGTCAATCGCTGGATTGTCTGATCCAGACTCGATTATTTACAGACCCCCGTCATATAGCTGGTATTAAGCTTAGTTAGTGCGACGTTTAACAACAAACAAATAAAGGCTCGGTGACACAAAAACGCGAAGGGAGATCACTCTCGATCCTCCACGCGTGTATGTAACTTGTAGTAAGTGAAGTAATCGTAAAATATCCAGTGCTCCGTCACCAGCTTTGTTGCAATGATTAACCATGTGTATAGACTTCTGGGTTTCCATCTCAGATTCAGCCTGCAAACACTGGGCTAGAAGAGAGCAACACAGCGAATACTGCAAATATCCCCTGTATATCTTCATTGGATAATTAGTTTACTCTGTATAACAACTTCAAGATAAGAATGGGATCAGCTGCTTATCCTGCTGTATTGCTGTCACCTAGTCGTTATCAAATCCAAGAAGCGAGGAAGGAAAACAAACTCATGTGTATACCATTCATCAATATTTATTAATATATGATTTAGAAATAGAAAGGCATGTGCCTAAAGATAGTATTCTCTAAATCAGGGCCAAAAGATGAGCACAAAAAATGTCCTCTAATAAGAAGAGAAATAAACTTCGAAAGATCAGCCAAAGAGTATGCCAAAACATTGAAAACTAGATCAAGAACGTGTGTCCAAAAAAGCGCCAAAAGGGTGAAGCCAAAAAAGACCAAAATGGAGAAATGTTTTCTTAGATAGACAGACACCAATCCATACTCTCTCTCTCCCTCTCTCTCATACACACACGCACACCGATACGCGGACACACTTGCAAAACTAATCATCACACATACACCCACTCCCAAGTACAAGAAAATCATCTCACACACAGACACACTCTTGCACCCAACTCACGTGCAAAACACATCCTGTCACACATACAACCAACCACACATGAAACATAAAAACCACATCCTCTCACACATTCACACATACACCCAATCAAACATGCAAAACACAACCTCTCACACATACAAACATACTCTCAAACATACATACAAACGCACACACATACACACACACTGGATGAGAAATCTACGAGAAGATTCTCCTCCAGAAGGCAGCCACTCTCCTCAGTGCCTTCCTCAGAGGATGAACTTCTCGGTCCTCCATGAAGCTGTCATCGTCCTCGTCCTCATAGACCCAGTAGTCACTGTCGTCGTCACTAGGGGCAGGATAATAATCGACGTAGGTGATCGTGACTGGGGCAGGGAGCGTCTCACCGTGGTCAGGGCGGGCCCAGAATGGGGTGAAAACACTCACGGGGTCGGGAGAGGGGGTCGAGGACGCAGCCTGGGGACGCTACATCAGTGATGGGGGAGGGAGGGATATAGGAGGGTAAGTGGGCGAGGTTTATGGGATGTGTTCAAGTAAAAAAGGGCAAAAGAAACTAGAGTGATAGCCACACATTACACATGAAATGAGATGGTATGCCACAACAAACATGCTGGTCGAAAACAAAATGGAAATGCGAAAATGGGAGAGGGGCGTTATTGCGCTATTTTCAAGACACAATAATGGATAGTGAGAAAAGTCACGTGCATTGTTACGTGTAACACGACATCGACACATGGGCAACAGAAGCAAACTATTCCGCCGAATGCTAGATGAAATACATACACAGTCGGATTCCTCAACCAGCGACGGCCATAAACTCGCAGCAGGAGTGACATGATACCGGATCATGTCTTCCCGTGCTGAAAATAACCCAAACAACGCATTTAAATACACAATAAATACATGTACAATCAAACCTCGTTAACTCAAACTTATAGGGGTCTTCCAAAAGATAGAGAAATATCCGTACTTCCAGACAAGCGGCTTGCCGATATTAGACTATAGGGCCGATAGGAACTCTTCAGAGACTAGTAAGTTACCTAATATCGAACGATATTTCGAGTTTACGCGAGTTTACGCGATTTTACTGTGCTACCTTGCCGAAAAGGACAAGGAGCCTCTAGTCTACAAATATAGATAAAATACACGCCGCACACCTACAGAACGTTGTACAGCTCTTATTTAATGCTTTGCATTTAAATGGGGGAACAGACGGACGGACACACGATCTAAGGCGTGAGAGAAATTAAAACGGGCATTTAATTGTTGTGTTGTATGCCGTACGTTTGAAAGAGCAGTTTACCCATCAATAAATACCAAAACTGCATCTCATAAACATAAATCTCATTTATAACGATTTAACAACATCATCCTTCATACCAATAAATGGACAACAGTCATTTCAGCAGCAGGAAAGACATTAAAAAGATGCACATTTGTGAACTTTGAAAATTGCAAATGGCGGCCATGTCACCACCACCAATACTGCTGTCAAACTACTGCCAATTTCAGTACTAATCTACGTATTAAACACTTTAAAATACAATAACCGCCTTCTTAAATACCTTGAATATGCAGCCTAGTAAACATCTTGTCAGTAGAAGATCTCGAAACGATGCTGTAGTCAACGAAATGCAGAGCGATAGTGAGCAAGAGCGATAGTGAATCTGTTAGAAACAGAGGGGACGTTGGCCACAACAACGGTAACTACGTTACGGAGAACATGTCAAAACGCGGCGTCATCGTCCATTTCCGGCAAGACCAAACGGCCAGCTTCAGCTGCACGTCATGAGGCTAAACACTCCGGATTTTGATGTTTCAAAGCGCTGTCTACATATCCAAACGCCGGATATGTAATTGTTCACCACCAAAACGTCTCTGTTCGTTGTCAAGCCCCAAATAGTCACTCTCCACATCCGTGCTAATATTAGTACCAATAAGTAAGATAAAGCATTCATTCTCAATCAAGAATCTTTATCGCTATTTCATAACTTTATCACAGAAACAGAAGTGGCAATCTAAAAGCTAGGGTCTGGGGTATGACTGACAGTTCAATGTCGGGTTTATATGCAACTTGCATGATGGCGAAATACTTGTGGACGGGGCCATTCGTTGCGCCATTCAGTGGAGAAATTGCATGGACACTGGAGAAATTAAAAGACTAAACTTTCGGCGCAATAGCAAACGACTAAACTAAACGAAGCAGATGCTGGTGTGGCGGCCGTTGTCATGGTTTCCGTGGTTGATAAAAAGAAGTGCAGTTTGAGTGTTTTGAGCCCGAGTATGGACTGGCTAACTGCATCAACGTATTCAATTGCTAGCATGTCCCGTTCATGTTCAACGGGAACTGTTGTCTGGTGTGTAGCACGTGATGTACGTTTACGATTACCGGGACTACTGCACTCATTGTTGCGGAAGGACAGACAGCGAAATTCTCTGGGAAACTGAAATCTCCACTGATACGCCCGCGAAAATAGTGTGAAAAGAGTGGTCTCCCTTTGTTCATTGGTCTAGAAAATGCTGTCCAAGGGGCCGGTCCATCCATTCCCACCACATGCACGGGCAATAAAAGCTTATTGACCGGCTTGTTGAGTCAGTTTGTTTGCTTGTTTTCATTTGTACATGTTGTGATTACAAAATTAGCGCCGGGTCTACAGCATATTCCCAGCTATATCCCCGGCTCATCCAAGTCAGGATACCCAGCGTTTAATTGTAGGGCAATGTACTTGATAATCTGGTCGTAATGACCTGTTGTGACATTCAGCATTGTTGGATCGAGAGTGATCTTGTTCAACGCCGCACTCAGCAATATTCCAGCTATATACAACCCATGCTTGTCGTCAGGAGCGACGAACGGGATCGGGAGGTCAGAGTTGGTCACTTAACAATTGGTTGATGCATGTCATCATATCCCAATTGAGTAGGTCGATGTCAATGATGTCAGTCACTGGATTGTCTGGTCCAGACTCGATTATTTACAGCCCACCGTCATATAGCTGGAATATTGGTGAGTCTGGCATTATACAACAAACAAACAAATAAATAAAGACTGTGACACAAAAACAAACAGCGAAGGGAGATCACTCTCGATCCTCCACGCATGTATGTAACTTGTAGTAAGTGAAGCAATCGTAAAATATCCAGTGCTCCGTCACCAGCTTTGTTGCAATGATTAACCATGTGTATAGACTTTATGGCCGTCGAACTTCGAAAAATCAGCCAAAGAGTATGCCAAAACATTGAAAACTAGATCAAGAACGTGTGTCAAGAAGAGCGACAAAAGAATGAAGCCGAAAAAGACCAAAATGGAGAAATGTTTTATTACATAGACGGACACCAATCCTCTCTCTCTCGATTTTAGAATCGGTAAATATATATTGTTTGGATGTAAAAGACCATTTTCAAATTTTGGTAATATAAGTTCATTTTCTCTACAATCTCATTAAAATCAGATCTTGTTTAGCGGCAGCGAGAACTTAGACCTGATTTGAATGAGATTGGTTTTCTCTTTTATTTCTTAATTTTTAAAACTCCATATTTCGGAACAGTAGAGGAGAATTAGTACTACCATCACAGCGAAATGAATGAGTTAATATGTAACGTCAAATCGGCAATATTTCAGCCTCATCATGACGAGTCGCATCAAAGTCCTTCAATAGACAATTGAGTGATTGAGTGAGTGAATTGGGTTTAACGCCGCTTTTAACAGTATTCCAGTTATATCGCGGCGTGTCAGCTTAATGTGGGAGGAAAGCCCGAAGTTATGCAGGTCTCGGACGTTTACCACTTTGGTGAAACCCACGAGCACGGGTATGGTGCTGACAAACCTAGAAACATAATCGGGGCGAACCGGGATTCGATCCCACAATCAGAGGTTTCTGGGGTGCCCAAGGAACGCATCTTTGCACAGCGAATCGCGGCGCCTTAGACGGCTGGGCCACCCGTGCCCCGTTAATTGCCTTTGTCGCGTTTGCTGTTGGTAACTTTATACAAAAGACACGTTTTCTATTTTTGTGAAGATTTATGCGTAGGTATATACAATTAACAACAATTTCCAGTATCTTTCCAAAAAAATAAAATACTGATTAGGTGGATTTGGCTGGGCCCTCACCGAAGATAATAAATTTGATTTTTGAGATATTTACATTAAACTTTGATTAAAATTGATTAAATGAGTCTAATGTTTTTCTTGTAAACCAAATGGGGAAGCGCTACACAGGAATGTATCGTCTGCATAGAGTAATACTAGAAATTGTAACCATACTGTGATGTCATTTTCTGATACAAAATCCAATGCAACCCCTTCACATTCTTGTTTTGTAAAATACGGTTCAAGATCATTTATAAATATTGAAAACAGTGACGGTGATAGAATTTCGCACTGTCTGACCCCTGATTGACAATGGAAATATTCAGATTCTGCATTATTTGATTGTACCATTGATTTAATATTACTGTTCACATTCTTAACAAACGTTAGATTTCCATTGTCAATCAGGGGTCAGACAGTCCTACTCTCCATACAGTATGAAATGCCTTTGTGTAAAATCTATGCACGCACAATTAGTTTTTTTTTTAAAGTTTTAAAATATGCATTCATGACTGGATAACAAATATATTATCCACAGTTTGAAATTGTTTCCTAAATCCCGACTGTGCTAACTTAAATAAGTTAGATAAAACACACTTCCTTGGGGGTTTATGAGATTTAAAACCCATTCTCATTAAAATCAAATCTTATTTCTCGCTATCACTAGACAAAGCAGATTGAGATTGTTTATAACCCTGACGCCACTCGCTTGCATCCTTCGTACAAACCCTCGGACGTGTTTTAAACTATACAATTAAAAAAAATTATGTTCTTTTGTACTTGAAAAACAACTTAAAGAAGATCGATATGGGCTGGACGTCACGCTTTTACTTCTTAACGAAATAATTCTCTTCAAACATTTTTTTACAAATAATATTGTTATTTTAAACACCGATACTTTGAAAAACAATAAATCTATGTTTGTATAATTAGTTCACGTCATAGATTTATGTTTACTTGTTTCCCCCAAAACCTCTACGTCGAAGCATTCGTGACCACTCGTATCATTCCGGGACAAGTCGAATGTCTTCTTGTAGACTACGGAAAGAGGCGAGTGGTGAGGAATGTATGATGAAGATTTTCCCTGTTTAGTGGTGTTTCGTGGCAGAATATTGTTTTTAGTCTTTGCTTCAAGACAAACAATGTTGTTTTTTTCTCTAAACGAAGGAGTGTAACATTGTTTTTACAACACAGATTTTCAGGACACCCACCAATTTCATCCAGTTATGTTTGTTCAATTATGTAATCCCCGGACACGTATGGACTTAATTTAATATCATACACAAAAATACATAGTTAAACATTTGATAAGACATGTGGGATTTGATTATAAAGTTTCATCTCCTTGTATACGTATCATATAACATGTCCATTAACTGTTAAAAACGTGGCAAAGCTTTTCATAATAAAAAAATATTTATTTTTTACTTTGGTAAGATATGATTGGTGATTGAAGTAAAATGTCAAAAATCAGTATATGTATTTTAGAAACAGGTGAAAAACTGCGTGTTTGTACAACCCAACGTTGAGTATCCACGTGTCGGCAGATTAAAGGACATCACTAAATTAGTATTTAAACATATATCAAATTGACCATGCCTAACTTCAATGAAGAAACAAACACTATGGCTCTCAACTAACACTTCGTCTCAGCTTTGCATAGTTATAAAAACAGATGCGTGATCACTGTCTCACGTGGCCTTCAACAGGGGAGATTAAGCCGCATCAAGGCGGGTCAGTGTTAATGAGGAAGTTTATTGCTGAATGCCGTGTAATCACATCTGAGTTGTTTCCGGTTAACCCTGGGTATATAACGAACATTTGTCTGCCCGGTACTCTAGTATCAGACAGCTGACCACCACGTGTGCATCGTACATTCTACAACAGGAACAAGACACTTCTAGGTACAGTGTTGATTACGTCTTTGTTTTCGCTGTTTAAATGTGTCTTTTACATCCAAGTAGAGCAGGTTATAATATTGATTATAGTATGTTAATCATAATGTTACCGGGAACATGGTTGGGTTCTTGCATCAATCATCCGTTCATAACAATGCCAATCAATCAATGTGTATTTGATTCATGAAATATATTTACATAATTAACTGAAAATATTATATCGTAACATTATGTATTTATTAATGAAATAGACTACATAATTATCTGAAAATATTATATCGCATGTGTATCATAGGGTGTATTTAGTAATGAAATGACATTACATATTTAACTGAAACCATTGTGTATTTATTAATGAAATAGTGATAATTGACTGAAAATATTACATCGAGCTTCCTAAAAAATATCCGTAGCTACTTTCTTTCACCCACTCTCACTATTATAGTGGGTAAGGAATGGAAACATTTTTATTTGAGGACCCCCACAATGATTTTTTTCGTTATTACAAAAACTTCCGCCGTCCAATATCTCTGATTACCTAACTTTGATCCTGACGTTAATCCTACCCCTGCTCCCTATATCCCTAACTCTGATCCTGACGTTAATCCTACCCCTGCTCCCTATATCCCTTACTCTGATCCTGACGTTAATCCTACCCCTGCTCCCTATATCCCTAACTCTGATCCTAACGTTAATCCTACCCCTGCTCCCTATATCCCTAACTCTGATCCTGACGTTAATCCTACCCCTGCTCCCTATATCCCTAACTCTGATTCTGACGTTAATCCTACCCCTGCTCCCTATATCCCTAACTCTGATCCTGACGTTAATCCTACCCCTGCTCCCTATATCCCTAACTCTGATCCTGACGTTAATCCTACCCCTGCTCCCTATATCCCTAACTCTGATCCTGACGTTAATCCTACCCCTGCTCCCTATATCCCTAACTCTGATCCTGACGTTAATCCTACCCCTGCTCCCTATATCCCTAACTCTGATCCTGACGTTAATCCTACCCCTGCTCCCTATATCCCTAACTCTGATCCTGACGTTAATCCTACCCCTGCTCCCTATATCCCTAACTCTGATCCTGACGTTAATCCTACCCCTGCTCCCTATATCCCTAACTCTGATCCTGACGTTAATCCTACCCCTGCTCCCTATATCCCTAACTCTGATCCTGACGTTAATCCTACCCCTGCTCCCTATATCCCTAACTCTGATCCTGACGTTAATCCTACCCCTGCTCCCTATATCCCTAACTCTGATCCTGACGTTAATCCTACCCCTGCTCCCTATATCCCTAACTCTGATCCTGACGTTAATCCTACCCCTGCTCCCTATATCCCTAACTCTGATCCTGACGTTAATCCTACCCCTGCTCCCTATATCCCTAACTCTGATCCTGACGTTAATCCTACCCCTGCTCCCTATATCCCTAACTCTGATCCTAACGTTAATCCTACCCCTGCTCCCTATATCCCTCACTCTGATCCTGACGTTAATCCTACCCCTGCTCCCTATATCCCTCACTCTGATCCTAACGTTAATCCTACCCCTGCTCCCTATATCCCTCACTCTGATCCTGACGTTAATCCTACCCCTGCTCCCTATATCCCTAACTCTGATCCTGACGTTAATCCTACCCCTGCTCCCTATATCCCTCACTCTGATCCTAACGTTAATCCTACCCCTGCTCCCTATATCCCTAACTCTGATCCTAACGTTAATCCTACCTCTGCTCCCTATATCCCTAACTCTGACCCTAACGTTAATCCTACCCCTGCTCCCTATATCCCTAACTCTGATCCTAACGTTAATCCTACCCCTGCTCCCTATATCCCTAACTCTGATCCTAACGTTAATCCTACTCCTGCTCCCTATATCCCTAACCCAGTCATTCGAGACTGCAGACCAAGACCATTCCATTCTCACCCCCGACCCGTGAAAATCCGGTTTAGAACAGGTCTTCAGCAACCCCATGCTTGCCATAAAAGGCGACTATGCATGTCGTAAGAGGCGACTAACGGGATCGGGTGGTCAGACTCGATAACTCGGTTGATGCATGTCATCGTATCTCAATTGCGTGGATTGATGATCATGATATCAATCACTGGATTGTCTGGTCCAGATTATTTACAGGCCGCCGTCAAATAGCTAGAATATTGCTGTGTGCGGCGTTACAAACAACAAACCAACCAACCAACCAAACCAAACCAGCTGTACTTTTCAAGTCTGTTATAGTCTAGCGATAGATAAAAGAGTATGAATTGGTATCAAGAAGCAAACGTTCTGTCTCCAGGCTCCAGGCTCACCATTTGCCCACCATGATCCATGATGAAACTTCGCCAGCGCTGGTAAGTGAAAAAAAGTTGTTTCTTGTGCACTGTCTATATATGTATATGCCGTCCATGATTCTGAAACCATACTATATACCCATCTAGAAGTAAAAACACCCACCTGTATAGACCATCAAGCCATGCAAATGATTGATGCGCGGACGTGATAATTGTCATACAAACTGCATACGACCGGTTGTCTTAGCAACAGAAGGGATTCTATCCAAGAGGGAGTGGGTGCATGTAACATATGGGTATTATCTGAGATACGGGCTGAGATTTTAAGGAAGAAATAAAATGTTGCCGAAAATGCCATAAAAACACTTCATCCGATTGTATTAATTTAAAAACCCGAATGTCGTCAATATGTGACACTGATGATTTTATTTTTTAATCCAGTCTCCAAGCAAGAAGCGCCAGCCCATGACTTACTTCTTGTACCCGGGCCTGGACTCTGCCGACCTGACGAAATTCCTCTCCAAAAACAAAGCCTCCCATGCTTGTATGAGGAAAGCACTTCACGACCTCAACGTGAATGCGTCATGCACCCTCCTGCCCGCTTCTAATGACGTCACTCCTGACGACATAGATGACGAGGTCTTCCTGACCAACAACGACTACGAAGTCGTCACTGAAAAGATCACGTCGCTTCAACTCGAAGAGTACTGCCCAGATGACCGTGATATCATGGATGACCTTGACCCCAGAACGACCGATCTTGACTCCAGCATGGACAGAAGCAGGTGTGACGGACACAACAGCCAGGCAAGCAGCCAACTCACCTTGCAGAACTGTGAGATGATGTCTTTGACAGAGGAAAAACACTGCGAAAGGTCATCATTAACGTCAGTCCTGCGACGTAGAAAGAAGGTACATTTCAAGAAGATTCAACGGTTCTTCAAACGGATCCGATATTTCTTCAAGTCACGAAGAGTGCATTCCCACGCGAGATCGTGTGACATACTGCAGGTGTGTAACAAGTGTGGGAAAATAGCAGATGTCAAGGTTCATACATGTTGACAGGTCAACTGCGGTTTACGGTGATCGCTTCCTTGTTTCCTTTAAAAAGAAGACTGAAGATATCGAAACATCTGTGAATACTGATCATGACGTACCTTCATCTGTGCCATTATGATCCATTCGCTATAACGTACCTTCATTTGTGCCATAACAATCCATCCATCATTACGTACCTTCATTTGTGCCATAACAATCCATCCATCATTACGTACCTTCACCTGTGTCATAATGATCCATCCCTCATTACGTACCTTCATCTGTGTCATAATGATCCATTCACCATAACGTACCTTCATCTGTGCCATAATGCTCCATCCATCATTACGTACCTTCATTTGTGCCATAACAATCCATCCATCATTACGTACCTTCATCTGTGTCATAATGATCCATTCACCATAACGTACCTTCATCTGTGCCAAAATGCTCCATCCATCATTACGTATCTGTGTCATAATGATCAATCCATCATTACATACTTTCACCTGTGTCATAATGATCCATTCACCATAATGTACCTTTATCTATGCCATAATGATTCATTCACCGTAACGTACCTTCACTGTTCCTATGACCCATTCACCATATTGTACCTTCATCTGTTTTCATGATCCATTCACCGTAATGTACCTGCATCTGTGCCATAATGCTCCATCCATCATTACGTACCTTCATTTGTGCCATAACAATCCATCCATCATTAGGTACCTTCATCTGTGTCATAATGATCCATTCACCATAACGTACCTTCATCTGTCATAATGATCCATCCATCATTACGTATCTGTGTCATAATGATCCATTCACCATAACGTACCTTCATCTGTGCTATGATTATCCATTCACCATAACGTACCTTCATCTGTCATAATGATCCATCCATCATTACGTACTTTTATCTGTGTCATAATGATCCATTCACCATAATGTACCTTCATCTGTGCTATGATTATCCATTCACCATAACGCCCTTTCATCTGTGCCATAATGCTTCATATCATAATGTACCTGTATTGTACTGAATAAAGATATCTGTCCTTACATTTTGTTAACCTAAAGGTTAGATATATTTCCATCACAAACGAACATTTTCAACTTGTGCTAACACTTTTATAAGCAAGTGAACTGATTCATAGCGACTTAATGATCAGCATTCCTTTCAGCGGGGCTGGATGAAACTCGCCAAATCTACATATTTACAGTCACAATTTCTACATTTATTATTCGTGCAGGAATTTTCAAGTTGAACACTGTACAAAATTATACATTTATTAGATTATTGTGTCACGGCGTGTTCGCATACATCGCAGTTCAATACACGCTTAATCAGTTTTATTTATCACAATTACAGGCTTCATTTAAGACTTCAGAATCAGTTCAAAACAAGAAGCAGTGCAGAGGCAAATGTACCACTGTTGGTAATGTCCGAAAAACCGGACTGTCACCCCGCTCGTGACACTGCCAGACTTTTCGGTACAGACTAGATCTAGATCACAGGGAACTAGACCTGTACAGGTCACCTACACAGAGACACTGCGACTACCATCAATTTCGAGTGTCTCAAGCGGCATGTGCAGACACAAACGAACAACTATCCCACCGCTTCCTCAGACACGTGCAGACGTTCAGAACCCAGTCTGCTAAGGCGATTGATATGGATGGGTCATCTCAGCTTGCCCGCGACTGCATGCCAGGAAGGGTCAACCAATGTACCTTCTGGTGTTCGACCTTCTCCCAGAACATCAAAGAGTAGCATACGGCCGCTTCTTCAGCAAACAAGAACTGTTTAAGACCTCCCACATCCCTCCCTTCCTGTCATAAGTTAGACTGATTTTGAAGCTCCAGCAATCCAAACAGTCCACCTTAAATTCCAGAAGTGAAAGGGTGCTTCTTCTACTTTGCACAAGCCATCTGAAGGAAGACGAAACTTTGGCCTAGCAGTATTATACACAGAAGACCCTGATGTCCAAAAATGGAACGGGAGAGCAGCTGGACTTCCTCTGGCTGGTGCAGGACACATGGATAGAAGCAATGGAAGCGACTCCTGAGGTGCCATGCAGTGTTGGATGGTTGGTTGGTTTGTTGTTTAACGCCGCACTCAGCAATATTCCAGCCATATGACGGCGGTCTGTAAATAATCGAGTCTGGACCAGACAATCCAGTGATTGATATCATGAGCATCGATCCACGAAATTGGGATCGATGACATGCATCAACCAAGTCCACCCGTTCCCGTTAGTCGCCTTATACGACAAGCATAGTCACCTTTTACGGCAAGCATGGGTTGCTGAAGAGCTATTCTTCCCCAGATCTTCACGGGTCTGCCATGCAGTGAGGAGGTCAATGACTATGTTGAGGCGACATGCGTTGACTATGGTGCCATTCCCGACTCAACAAATCCTTGCACTATCATCACCCAAATCTCTTCAGATTTTCTGCCATCATCAGTTCCATTGAGAAGCGCGAACGTGCCATTTTGAGCCAGATTGATTTCGGTGCTGCCCCTTCCCCGGGAAAGCGAGTCCAGAGAGAACGAGCGCAGTCTTGAAAGACTGAAAGTTCAACTGCAAGGACAAGAGAAAGGCCTTTGCAGTACCTTGATGACGTGAACTACGATGCTAAACTTGGCTGACTTTGTTACGACTTTCGTATATGACAACTTAAATGCAGAGATGGCTGACTTTGACTTCGTTAAATTTATGTATGAATGTTATGTTATCATATATGTAAGAAGGTGGATAAAGACCATATACATCATATACCATACTGTTCTTACGGCAGTTAAAGCGGACCAGTCCATTAACATAAGGTAATTAACACCTACCGCCCTAGATACCACTAGATATAACTTTTGTTGTTTTAAGCTGTAGATCTTATGGGATGTAGTTCTTTTGACGTGACATCGGCTTCACAGTACGATCGGTTTTTTTCGGGTCGTGCGTAATATGAATGAAGCTTTACACATTTTCGTTTGTTTGTTGTTTAACGTCTCACTCAGCAATATTCTAGCTATAAGATGGCGGTCTGTAAATAATCGAGTCTGGACCAGACAATCCAGTAACATGACATGAGCATCGATCCACGCAATTGGGTTAGGTTAACAAGCATCAACCAAGAGAGCCAGTCTGGCCACCCTATCCCGTTAGTCGCCTCATACGACAAGCAAAGTCGCCTTTTACGGCAAGCACGGGTTGCTGAAGACCTATTCTAACCCGATCTTCACGGTTCACAAAATTGGTAAGGTCTAAGACCTTTGCCTTCCCCCAACATCAAGCCGACACGCTGTGGAATACTGTTCAAAGTGGCGTTAATCCCAACTCACTCAGCGGCCGCAAATAACTGTTGGATTGGCATTGGTAAGTAACAGTAAAGACAAGATATTTTATGGATGACAACTGCTTTCTATTATTTCATGTTTGACAACGGTGAGGATCTAAACCGAAACGTGGCATAATAATAGAATAAAGTTGTCATCCAAAAAATATATTGTCTTTACCGACAGGAATGACTTTATTGTTCATATACATATTATTTCTACTATGTAAGTATTGTATTAGTTTCGGTCTGTTTTTACAGCGTACATGCGACTTTGCAGTTCATTCGGTATCGCACCAATTAGATTTTCTATTGCCATGGCAGCCACAGTCTTCCATCTCATCTTACGTCCCTTGACCATACGTCACGTATGTTCGTTAAAACTAGGCTAATAAAGGTATCGAATGTTCAATGGCACTGTTTGTGTACTTCGATTATATACACTAACTTACGAACCGCAGTAACCTACAATTAAAAACTATTAACGTTCTTGTTGCAATATTGGTGATGATTTCTGACCACACCCAGGAGCATCTCTTATGACCAGACACAATGAGTGAGTGAGTGAGTGAGTATGGTTTTACGCAGCTTTTAGCAATATGCCAGCAATATCACGGCGGGGGACACTAGAAATGGGCTTCAAACATTGTACCCAGGTCGGGAATCGAACCCGGGTAATCAGCATGACGAGCGAACGCCTTGCCACCACTAGGCTACCCGACCGCCCCCACAATGAGTGAGTTTGTCGGCTCTGAACATTTTAGGTATATCACAGCCCGAGGTGATACGAGTATTAGCCACTGAGCAGTCTGGTGAAACTCCTAATGGTGTTGACAAACACAGAAACAATCAGGGCGGACCCGATTCGAACACACCAGTTTCTGGCCACCTAAGGGACACAACTCTGCTCAGCAAATTAGGCACCATAAAGGACATGATCCTGATGCCAAGCGCTGGATTGTCTGGTCCTAACATTATCATTGACAGGCCTAACTGCCATCATAAAGCTGGAATACTGCCGAGTGCCAGATAAATAGTTCTATATAAATATGCCTAAACATTGTATCTTTCATGAATTTTCGGATAAAGCACATTTTCGGTCCAACTAAATAAAGGCCGGGGGTGTCCGGAAGCGTCCGGGCAACGCCAGGGAGCGCTCGGGAGAATGGTACTAAACTATATAATTATATAATAACTATATGATTGTGTTCTTGTATTAATTATACAAAATACCATATAGCTAGAAAAAAAATACATACAACAAACAATCAAACATTTTTTAAACATTGTGTGTAATTACCATTACGTCCGCTTAGTTGGATAAAAAACCTTTATGGCCTAATTAAATATTTTTTACCTTGTTATTGTACTCACTTTTGTTTGTTTTTATTTTGCTGTGTGTTCAATTTATTTGTACGCCAGTTGAAATTCTCACGATCTTACCAAACTGAGAAAGACATGTTTGATTTACTGACTGCACTGTATTATTAAACTCTGATGAGACCTCACAGACGTCCCCGGACGCTCCTTAAAGTAGTCTACATTTTTGTTTAAAAAACGACATTTCCATTGAAATAGTGCTATATCTATGTCTAGTAAATTTTATATGGCAAACTATTCAAGCACCCTTTTATTGCTTTCTCTGCGTCTCTGCATCATACCAAATACTTCAGTACTTGCAACAGTGTAGGGAAACATACAGTGCTCTTGCACCAAGTCATATCTTAGTGTCTTGTACTAGAGGATTTATCCACAAGCCAACAACTATATAACTCATGCTGTCTGATATTAATGGAAGGACAAAACACAACACTTGTTAAAATGATTTGTTTAATGCAGCTGGAATGAATATGGCTACAATGTGGCAATATATCATGTTATTGGTGCACCAGACACAGATATTGTGAGGGGGAGCTCGTAGATTACATTTACATCATTAGCAAGAGATGCATTGAGACAGACAACAGTTTCATGCACCTGAAAGCAGGCAGCTGAAGAGAATTACCAGCCCTGATACATGGTGTCCTTTCAGCCAAGCCAAGTATTATCTACATTAGTGTCATTGTTTTGGTTTCCATTTTTCATTAACCTTTTTGGCTGTTCTGACACCAGAAATGGGCTTCACACACTACGGCTCGGACGAGTCAAATTTACTACCCGGGTACCCACCCCCCTATCACCCGACCCTACCCGGGTACCCACTGTAGGTCTCTAGAGATAGGTACAAAATGTCCGATTGGGAGGAGTTTGACTGTAGCCCTGGACAAAATGTACAGTGTATACTCATATAAAACGATCTGGTCATGCATACACTGAAGTTGACAGAACTTTTATCTTTATTCAAGCATATAAAGTCGTATATCACGTGACTAAGCATGGGTCCGGGTAGTCCTGTAGCTACCCGGGTCGTCCAACTCGGTACCCATCCCAGCCCTATCACACACTTTACCCATGTGGGGAATTGAACTCAGGTCTTCACAATGCAGGCGGTGTTAATTCACCAGGCTACACAACAGACATTTTCTTTAAAATTTGGAATTTGATATTTGTTTTCAACCACCTAGATTAAATATATAATAAAACAAACAAATACAAATAACAGGCCTAAGCATTTGACTAGGGCATTGTGAACAGGAAATATATATGGCTGATCAGTTTAATGTAATTCTGTAAACTGTATCAAGTAACAAAGGTACACAATACAATGCTGTTCCTATGTAACAACAAGGTATAAGAGAGACAGATTTGGTAGAACAATACATGTAAGACCTATTGTGCAGTCAGTGTCATCAAAGATATAAACTTCTCAAATGGTGTGTGTGTAAACAGTGCATTCATCTGAACACTCTGCCCTTTCCCTGTATTTACTGAGAAAACCAGGTCAATCTGATCATAAATATTGAGGTGTAAATTTTGTTATAATAGGGTGAAAAACTATTGAGTTATCCCTTGGTCCAATCTTATTAAAATCAGATCTTAGTTCTCGTTTAGTGGTAGCCAGCACTAAGACCTCATTTTAATGAGATTATCCGCAGGTCATAGTGAGTGAATGCTGTGTCACGACTACCTGTAAATAATACAATGTCATGAGGAACTGGGAATAATATGGCCTTGTTACAACTCATGTTTTAGGGCTAATGATTCATAGGTCCTGATAGTCATTAGAATAATAAAGCACTGCTTTTTAAAGAATACAAACATCCACAACAACATTAGTCAATACATGTATGCCAAGACGTAGGACGCAAATTTCAAAGGGAACTTTGAGCATGATGAGATAAATCTCCTAAAAAATACTCTCAAATAAATTATTATTTATGCCAGACCAAATTGTTTATTTTTTTATGGGAAGTTTGTCTGTAACAGGTTGCCAACAGAGTAATTGTTACACTAAAGTAACTTGAGGTAACGCAAAAAGAAATTATAATGTAAGTTTTCATTATCTCCACTTTATAATGTAAGTTTTCATTTTCTCCACTTTATAATGTAAGCTTTCATTATCTCCACTTTATAATGTAAGTTTTCATTATCTCCACTTTATAATGTAAGTTTTCATTATCTCCAATTTATAATGTAAGCTTTCATTATCTCCACTTTATAATGTAAGTTTTCATTATCTCCACTTTATAATGTAAGATCTCAATATCTGCACCATATAATTTAAAATCTCAATATCTCCCCTGTATTAAATATCTCAGTATCTCCCCCTTATAATGTAAGATCTCAAGATCTCTATCTCTTCATAATGATAAGGAGATGTGTCCCTCCATTAGAAAACACTGACTCCTGTGAGATTCTTAAACCATAGTGCCACAGCACTGCAGCTCACCTGGGTATATTGTAGTCAACATCAACTGCCACTAATCAAAAGTTCCTGTCAGCAATCAAATATTTTGTGCACACATGCCAAGTACAAAACTCTACATGACTTGAACCAAATATGATGTAATCATCAGGAGAAACATACTTAGTTCAGATCCTTCGGTCTTGTTATTTCAGAAAAGAAGTCTAGAGAGACAAATTGCATGGCAGCCTTATACAAAATCAGATTCAAACTTCTTGAAGTAATCAGGTGTCATTGTTGGTGGGAACAAGCATGCAAACTTCACTGGTCCAGTGGTTTCTCCTGAGAAGATGTTCACAGATTCCAACCCACCGACCACAGGCCAAGCAGGCCATGACATAAGCTTACCTGACTTTCAGTCAGGTGAACGAAGTTGGTAGTAAAATATTCTGTATGTACAATTCTATAAATAACTAACAAATTTTTAAAATCTATCTGAAAAGACCATTTCACTACATAGAAAGTAATACTGTTTCTTCTTGATTGATGTTGTGTGGCATAGTTAGACACAAATCTGAATATTAAGCCTAGAAGCCTGAATTGTGCGTTGTCTATCTAACTGTCAGTGTTGCCTTTCCATGTAAACATAGGACATATATTATCACAAATAACATTGCATACTCCAATAAAGTATGCTTATAAAAATTTCATATGTGAATTGATAAGAGACAAAAGAAAAAGATAAATGAAATTAGTAACTACATTACACATGCTCACTTATACCAGTTTGTTTTCTGTGTAATTGTGCTGCCAACTATCTTAAGAAGAATCATGATCTGACAATTGAACCAGCAGATCTGCAGAATCTGTTCAGTCGATAACAACATAGGTGAAAGGTCACACCTCATGTGTTGGAATCACATGAATTCCAAATTTACAGTTTGACCTTTCTGGGACATAGACATCAATGATTAATATCAATGCATGAACGACTACACCTGAAACAGTAGCTCCACATGCACTGTGCCACATTCCCCTGTTTAACGGAAATGGATTCTTCCACTTCATGCTGATGAGAGAATTTTTATCTAATCTGTCTGTCCGTACACAAAAGTAGTTATTGAGCTTACAAAACAATACCATGGAATTGGGATTCGGAACTTTGTATTTCCATGTCAGGTACACACCACTATGAACAGAATCAAAGTAAAACTTGTTGCCATGGAAACGGAAAAATATAAATTCTAAAAAACCCTATACGGCAAAAGGCACCACTTCAGCCACTGATCAATACATGTACAAATTTGGATGAACAATCTTGAATATTTTTTAAGTTCTGTACCTGAAAGGACACCTACCTCCGTTTCAGAAAAGTCTAACTTGTTAACATGGATACAGGGAAGAATGAGATTTTGAAAAATTCCTCAGAGCAAGAGGCACCACTTTAGCCCCTGGTTAAGACCTGTACCAAGTTTGAATGAAAATTTTACACGGTTTGCAAGTAAAGCTCTGGAAACGGAATACGGACGGACAGACCAGATGACTATATCCCCTCGCATAATACCATGGGGGGGTAATAATATGCGTATCAATTCAGCACAAGCTAATTTAAAAATATAGTGCACTGTAGCTGGATGTGTCAACAAAGTCAGTCACACTTCAACATTATTATGGAGACATCTATGGTGTGTTTCAGCAAATATGATTCTGACACACAAAAATAGAAAAACTGTTCTTCGTCCCAAATTTCATTACAGTTTCAACAATAAATGGCTGAGTAATGGACACTATTAGGCTTTAAATATGCTGCCATGGACAGTCTAGAACATTGTAATCTCCACAAGTCACTATTAATCTCTCCTCATTAACATGCAAAATAAAATGGCTCCCTGATAATAACACATTATATACTCCTGAGATTCTCATGGTCATCTGACAATACAACAATAAATCAGGTATTATACTCCTACAGGACCCGCTGTCATGCCTACATTAACATTATAATTGCTTATTTTAGATCTATTCATGTCCATATACTTAATCAGGAGGAGGATGAGAATTGCTTTTGGCACAATGAATGTATTACACTAAATATTTTGATTGATTACTCCTAGGTGGAAAATATGCAAGATCATGTTTGGCAATCTAGTTGTAGCATATTTAACACAGATGCCAACCCCAGGTTGGTCCTGTACTAGAACATCTTCCCGTGGCAAGAGAGTTAACTGACTCTAAAAGTCTAGTTTCCACCCTTACGGAACTAGGCTGGAATTCCCTGGGCTCGATCGTAGCGAGTGGTTATTACGAGTTATGTCCCTTCTAAGCCTCTCCTATGGACCCATGAAATTCCACCTCTCGTATCACTCACATTTGTTTCAAACAAAATGGCAGCGTCGAGTCTGATCGATAATCAAGATCCATATATTGTGATACAACGGGTCTTACATCGCAAGGTGCATAAAATCACGTGAGCACCTTGATTCAAAACATGAAAAGATTTGGAAAATATCTGTTGGTAACGAGTTGGCGGTGCACATGCATTGCAAATCTTGCAATCGAACGAAATCTGCACGAAAGTTTACGAACCGGATTTCAAATTCGTTGCACGACTTTGAATGGACTATGCATAGACTCGTTAGTCCAGCTAAAATGTAATTCCATAATACCAGCCAAGTTTCGGCAAGGGTGGAAACTGGACTTTTAAAGTCAGTTAACTCTCTGGCCTCGGGAAGATGGTACTAGAATGTGTCTTCTCCTGCCTTTTTGGATACATTAGTTCAAGTTGTTACTGTAAATGTGTCTGCAAATCCAAAAACAATAATAGCAAATTATACACTGCAGTAATATTCTTTAGCTGTAGAGATTTTGTGGGAAACAAATTGTTTCCATGGAAACAAGATATCAAAAACAGAATTTTGCATATGAAAAGGCAATAGTTGAGCATGTGGTCATTGAACATGTATAGCTTCATGCAAAAATATTCATTAGTTTGAGAGTTATGGCTCGGAAATGAGACCTTGAGTTGTTTGAGACCAAATTGTTTTCATGGAAACGTAACAAAATAAAATTTAGAAAGATTTAAAAATAGCAAAAGGCACCAGTTAAGCTGTTGACCAATGTATATGCCAAGTTTCATCGAAACATAAGAAAATATGAATTAGAAACAATTCCAAATGGCAAAAGGCACTAGTTTAACTGATATGCTTGCATACTTTTAAGTTTTATTGAAATATGTTGAACAGTATCATGTTATGGCACGGAAACAAATCCTACCCTCGTTTGAGACTAAGTAGAAATTGTTTCCACTGAAATGTAAAAAATAAAATTTGGAAAACTTTTAAAATAGCAAAAGGCACCAGTTCAGCTGATAAGAAATGCATATGCCAAGTTTCATTGAGAAAAATAGATCGGTTTTCAAGATTTCTCGAGCACCAGAAAATTGCAAGTGTAATTTTTCCCAAAAATCTATGACATTTTTTTTTTCAATGATATGAATTTAACAGGTTCTGACAGATAAAAAGTTTCATTTTCCTAATTTATCAAAAAAGCTGTCCAGCATCAAGGTCAACAGTAAGTTGGTTAATAACAATAATTCTGTTATATCCCAATTTCGGGGGAAGGCCAAGGTGACGCAGGTATTACAACCTCTTAGTGAAACTCACAAGAACGAGTTTGGTGATGACATGTAGAAACATAATCATAATCAAGAAACATAACCAAGGATTGGAATTACAATCATAGGGCCATGGCACACCTCAGGGATGCAACTTTGCACAGCAAAATTTGGTGCCTTAGAAGACTGGCACCATGAGCCCCAAGAATGGATGTAGTTATGATATGATCACAAGTTTAGTTTGAGACATAGTTTTGCAGAATATCCATCCCATCCTGCCAATATTCTAGCATTACAATGACTTTATGATGTCAGAGTCTTACCATCTTCCCAAGGCAAGGGCGGTAACTAGTAAAGTCCAGTTTCCTCCTTGCCGGACAAGGCTGAAATTTTGTGGCTTGATTGTAGCGTCTCCAGCGGCTATTACAAGTTCTGTCCCTTCTATGTGCCTCGTACTGACCAATCAGATTCACTTGCATTTGCTTCAAACAAAATGGTTGCTCCCAGTCAAGACGAAGTGATCAAGTTAATCGAAGGAGTGCTTCATATTCCCTGTCTCTGACACCCAGTGCGTGTGGATTGTACCACAACACATGATTAAAAACATGAAAAGATTTGAAAAATAACTGTTGACGCCCAGTTGAATGCACACATGCATTGCAAATCATGCAGTTGACCGAAACTAACAAGATGTCGATTTTGTTACGCAATCTTGATTGGAAAATTCATAGACTCATTAGTCCACCCACAATATGACTCCAACATTCCTTCCCAGTTCAGCAATGATGGAAACTGGAATGTTTTAGTCAGATATCTCCCTTGCCTTGGGAGTCTGACATACCCACCATTTCCTCATTGAAAGTTTCTAGGACAGTGGGAAAGTTTAGCAAGGTAGCTCTGAATATCATCACATGAAATGACAGAGTGAAAATAATACTTGAAAGTTTACAGTGAGGAAACAAAATTTGGTTAAGTTCAGACTGGAACTCTTAATTATCAGTAAAAGATGACTTCATTATAATTATCAGAACCATCGATCCAGCGTTATGAGAGCATGCACAATTGTAATTTATACAGTAGAACACAGATATAACGAACACAGATGGAACAAACTATTACAAAATCCCAAATATATCTCCTCTATATCATATATAATGTATGTATATAACAAACTCTCCATATCAACCTAACGTGTATAGCGAACTGATATCTGAACCCCGACAAGCCCAAATACCACTAATTAGTGACGTGTACAGCGTATAGAGAAACACTGTTGATGCAGGAATAAAAGCTAAGAGAGACATTGCAATGGAATTTGACATTCTGAACTCAACATTGAGTACCATCATTTACATGAGAGAGTCCATTCTCGAATCCTGCGTGTCGACTGACTTTGACCCTGCCCAGAAAAGGTAATGGGCTGCCAATGACATAATTTAAAAACCAAGAGCTTGTAGTTTGTTTTTCAGCTTATGCTGACTGGATCTCAAGCAAGTGAGTGAGTATGGTTTTACGCCGCTTTTAGCAATATTCCAGCAATATCACGGCGGGGGACACCAGAAATGGGCTTCACACATTGTACCCATGTGGGGAATGGCTTTCAGTGTGACAAGCGAACGCTTTAACCACGAGGCTACCCCACCGCCCTACGACTGAGTGGAACCAGCCACACCCTCCTCTGACGATGCCAATAAGGCTCTTAAAACAATCAAGATTTTCCTCAACACGAAAAAGTCAACTGAGATGACATCATTCAATACTTTGGCCGATATTTGATGAAGACTGTTCTAAAAATGTTATGAATTTAACATTATTAAATGAATGTTATGAAATGTTATTAAATGAATGCTAGGAAGTGATCACTGCTAATACAAGTCAATGCTGCAAATATATTGTGTTTTGTTTTATCCAAGATCACGGATATTTCCGAGCAAAAACATATATAACAAACTGATTTCTCCGGTCCCTTGTAGTTCATTATATCCATGTTCTATTACCTTCACCTCTACTCCTTGCTGTTAGTATACGGAGGACTTATCCTTGAATCACACACGGTCTACATTGTCTCCACATTGTACATAACATTGACCATTGTGTAACATAATCCACCAATACTTCAGGGGTTTGTAGACGCTACGTTCCTCCGTCACTCTTGAATATATACAGCCGATGTAGTGGAGATGCTATCTATTTTTAGTAGGCTAGTAAAATGACGCCATTTATAACTGATGCCGAGGCTTACTGTTGCCTACCATTAAAACACAAATGCATAGTGCAGACATGATGTTCCACACATTGTCCAGCGAGAAATATAACTGTTTTTTTATGATGTCAGCTGAGCAATCTTGGCTCTTAACAACTACACCTCATAGCATCCCTTAATAATAATAGTAATAATAGTAATAATAGTAATAATATTAAAAAAATATAATAATAATAAGCTTGGCCTTGAAAACAAAGGGGTGTATTCTTGGAGGTGGAGGAACAAATTGCATACAAACCCATGAAGTCCTGACCATCAACATTGTCTGATCAATTAATCATTTTTTAATCACATTTGACAAAGGCCTCATCCTCACAGTGCAGGGTTACTTTCCCGTGAAATACTTTGTTGGCACAAACGGCATCTTCACCACCTCCCCATCAACGAGTTTCTGTCTGACCTTGAACTTGATGGCTGTCCCTGTCTTTGAAAAGGCTGTTTCCACATAGCCCATGGAGACGTTTTTCTTCAGGGAAGGTGAAGGACAACCACTAGTCAATTGACCAATCACCTTCTGCCCCTCTGCATCCAAGATGACAGCACCCGCTGTGATCAAAAGAGACATAATTTGAAATTGTATGCTCTTTGAGAAAGACTCGCCCAATTGAATTCTGTAAATCATGAAATAAATGTGTCACCAATTTAGAGCAAATGTCAACACATAGCCTAAAATGCATTATAAAATTAATGTGAGCAGCCTTACATTTGAAAAATAATCTTCAGTGCCAACTTTAGAATTCAGTGCCTGGTATTCAGTGCCATCTCTAGAAATTGCTCCTCTTGCAGTTGCATCCTGAATCTCTCAACACTCACCCCTTGCTGGAGGCCGGAGGAGAGGAACTGTTATATAGATGCATCCTGACTCTCTCAACACTCACCTCTTGCTGGAGGCCCGGAGGAGAGGAACCGTGGTATAGGTGCATCCTGACACTCTCAACACTCACCTCTTGCTGGAGGCCCAGAGGAGAGGAACCGTGGTATAGGTGCATCCTGACTCTCTCAACACTCACCCCTTGCTGTATCCCTGGAGGAGAGGAACCGTGGTATAGGTGCATCCCGACTCTCTCAACACTCACCTCTTGCTGGAGGCCCAGAGGAGAGGAACCGTGGTATAGGTGCACCCTGACTCTCTCAACACTCACCTCTTGCTGGAGGCCCAGAGAAGAACCGTCATATAGGTGCATCCCGACTCTCTGAACACTCACCCCTTGCTGGTGGCCCAGAGGAGAGGAACCATGATATAGGTGCATGATGACTCTCTCAACACTCACCTCTGGCTGGAGGCCCGGAGGAGAGGAACCCAACTCTCTTGCAGGAGATTCCCTTAGACTTGAGCTTCAGCTGGTTGAGAATGACATCAGCCCCTGGGAATCCCCCGGTTTCACGTCGGCGTTTGGCTGCAATGTAATACACAGAGTGAGTGAGGATGTTTCTCTGATGTCAGCTACAGATGTTGGGGATCAACAGTGACTGTCATCAAGAATCACTGGTCATTATCACTTTGTTGCGCTATTTTTTAAGGAAAGACCAACCCTAAAATTCAAGTACTTTTTATGTGCAAATAGAATTTCTGGAGAAAGAACACACCATCTCAGAACAAATAATTATTATCTCCAAATTCAATAAAACAAACAACACACAAGTACATCTGCTGGGATAGAAATGTATTTGTTGTCAAGTGTGTCAAAGATGACTAGTTGCTGCCCTTTGGAACTAAAGTGTGCTGACAGGAAGAATCCTTCTGATCCACGTTGGAATCAGTGAATGTCCCTTCACCATGAGCTAGATGATAAACAGTTGTACATTTTAGAAATGTTGTCCCCTTTCAGTGTATAAAATTCAGTTAGACAACCGGACTGGCATCTGTGCAAAGTTACCAGAACAGATAAAATGTTGCCAGTCCAGAATTTTCTTTACCGACGAACAAAAGTAACAAAAGGGTAAACATAAGAATAGTACTGCATAATGTTAGTTCTCAGAAAATAACAATAGACTGTTTCGGACGGTCGGGCAGGCGGGTATCTTAAAAACTGCCCCTTTCCTTTGCACTTATAACATCCTATACAATTTCTTATTGTGCTTCAGGAACCAGGAACTTATTTTAACTGTGCCCTTACAAAGTGTCACTGTGCCATCAGCACTCTAACATGCTCTTCAACATACCGATAACCCAGTTCAAGTTGGCCTCCACTGGAGTAGTGTCTTCAGTGATGTCATTGCCATAGAGACAGAGGCCGGCCTCTAGCCTCAAGCTGTCTCTAGCTCCAAGGCCTGCCATACGGACCTCAGCTTGGGACGAGGACAGGAGCAGCTTCAGCAACTCCTCAACGCGGTCATCGGTCACAGAGATCTGTAGGACAAGATATGCAATAAGTACTTGCTTTTGCAGATCAATTATTCATTTAGAGACAGTGTGCGAAATAGTCACTTGCCCACTAGCGCATGGCAAGCAAAATTTCGTTCTGGCTTAGGATTATTTTTTTAAATGACTGGCTACTGAAATTTTAACAGTGATTATTTATGCACACTCTTTGTTGATCAAACTTCTCCCGTTTCAGTAGATCAATACAACCACCAAAAATAATAAATTAAGAAATTAAATGAATATTCAAACGAATCAGGGTTGCGAGATCAGAGTTACCCCCCTTCATAATATTTGATCATGATTTGTAATTTCGGTTTACTTTATTGATACCTTCACAGAATCAAATTTCTGGAAAAATAAACTGTCCGACATTTAAGCTAGTGAAACTTAAAACTGGCAAGTAACTTTAAAGGCTAGCTCGCCAACCTGGCCAGCAAGGTATTGAGGCTATTTCACACACTGTTTGGAGAAAAACGAAAGCATTGTTTTTTAACTTACTTTGTTTATACCTTAATAAATTAATTATTAGATTTTGATCTCTGCCCATCAAGAAAATCACTATGCATGTTCCATTCTTTCTTTGCAAGATGAAATACAGCACATGCAGAGCCCAACCAAACATACTTCATGTCAGTCGCTTTCCTGTCAACAGTTAAAGTACAATGATGCCTTTTGTTAAAAAAATAGAATGTCACATTTTTTAAAAATTATTGGTTCTAATTCAGTTATACAAAAAAAACATGGAAAGGGGTGTAACAAGCCATGATATTGGCTTAATATTGCTAAAACCTGCGTAAAACCATACTCACTTTAAAATTTGTTCAAATATTGTAAAAACGCTTCCTATGAAAAGATATCCCCTTTAAAACCTTTGCATTTTCCATCTACATTTGGTCGCCCTTGACAACAAAGTGTTATGAATACAAGCCAATCATCATCCATGGGAAATCTCACATTTTTCAAAACAATTTCTATTAGTTTTCCTTATTTCTTAAATAATTCAAACATAAATAAATCGCCAGTACTTCCGTGGCATTTGATTGGCTAACCAAGCAATATTTTTTTGCATTCATGTTGCTATAAACTTACCCCTCCCAAAATAGGCCACGCCCACTATAAACTACTTTTTCCTGTTTGGCTGATAACAGGATGGGCGAGGCTTGTGTTGCATTACTGCACTGAGCGATGTCACTGATTTCATACTGTCTACAGTTTTGTGTGTTCGGTAATCATTAATAAGTAGTCAGTCAAATAATTATTGTTTACAATGTATATTTATAAGAATTGACTTCAACAATTTTTACAAACGCAAAAATCGGTGTTCATACTTTGCGGACTTACACAGTTTGCACACTGGTTTTTACGTTTGTATCTCCATAAACGAAAAAAATATTTAGTCAGTTCTTAACTAGAGGGCGAAGAAGAACCCTAGTTTTTTTTGCAATGCATTATTGTTGAGATAAATAGAATTTCACCTGAGTGTTATTTAATATCACATTTATCAACACATGTCAACTAAAGTAGCAAACCACTTGGCCTTGGGAGTTTAAAAAAAGTGATTTCTTAACAGGGGTAAGTGAGTGAGTGAGTCGGGTTTAACGCCGCTTTTAACAGTGTTCCAGTTATATCACAGCGTGTCAGCTTAATGTGGGAGGAAAGCCCGAAGTGATGCAGGTCTCAGATGTTTATTACTTTGGTGAAACCCACAAGCACAGGTATGGTGCTGACAAACCTAGAAACATAATTTTGGTGAACCGGGATTCGAACCCACAATCATAGGTTTCTGGCGTGCCCAAGGGACGCATCTCTGTACAACAAATCACAGCGTCTTAGACGACTGGGCCACCCATGCCCCCTCTTAACAGGAATGTTAGGAGCGAGGCAATTCTAGGGGCAGGCAGGTCATGAGAAACAAGTTTGTATTTTTACAAGCCAAAAATATAATCACTGTTTTCGTATGAAAGCCCATTTGGACTACATCCAAGTTCCAATGTGATTGTCTACCTCTACACCATCCTCGCCCGTGTAACCACACCTTGTGATTCGACAGTCAGGAATACCAAATATAGAGGTCAAGGCTGAGGTCATGAAGGGCAACTGGCCAAGGTCAAGGTTAATACCGGGTTGCAGGACCTTTGTCATTTTGGGTCCTGAAATTTGAATTAAAATAATCATTCACTGATATTTATCTCAGGAAACAATCATTTCATATCAGGGGTGGGATTTTTGTTCAAGACAGAATACTTTGTCAGTCAGCCCTTCCAGTTATACAATTGTTTTCTCTGAAACAGGCCTACAAAGAAAACCAACAAAAGGCTCCCAAACCATGGAATATGTACACATTTTAAATAGAATTACAATTCTTAAATTACAAGGACACAATCCCAATAAAGTCTGCTTTGTATTAGAACCCCGTACGTTTTCAATGGAGTCTGACACAGTAAATCACGTGGACCGCAACAAATGGTGACACGCTGCATGATTTGCTGTGTCAGACTCCACTGGAAATGAGCCAGGTTCTTATTCTTACGAATATAACAATGCAAACTTTATGGGGATTGTGTTTGTGTTTGTAATTTGTGTAGATATTTCTTTTTATAGTGTATACATATTCCATGGTTTGGGAGCATACTGCTGGTTTTCTTTGGTAGGCCTGTGAAAAGAGAAGCCAAATCAAAAACAATTTACCCAAAACACATAATCTGAGAATCCTGTGTATTTAACGCAATTTTCTAACTAACACAAATTTCTTCTAAGATGCAACATACTTATGCATCTCAGTCCAAGTTCCTAAAGAGTAAGTTCTTACATCAAGGGGGCCTTAGCACACATCCTGAATCATTTACCTTTTCATTTTAACATCTTTCAATTAACAGAATGTTTATGATGCCGAACATGACTATTCAAAGCAAAAATAAAAACCTCTCAGAAATAAAATAAGTTATATTCTCAATGTTGGGTTTGATCACATGTATTTGTGTTGTTTATTTATGTTAAAATACACTTATCACTGGCTTCATGTGCCTATAATAAACATCATTACATGGTACATGATTTCTCAGTGTGCCCTTCTGGCATCAAGAACTTAGTTTAACCATGCCATTGGCACTCTAATACAAGGAATAATGAACCCTGGGAGCCCTGAAGATCGCTGTGTCGAATGATGCCCAGGTCTTCTACACACACACCGTCAGTACTTCAGGGGTATGTTCCATATACACTATGGTCCTCATGAACATATGGCTGACATGTGGCGTAGTTGCTATTTGTATTTACTCAACCTGCTTCCAGCATCTTCCCGAAGCAAGAGAGTTAACTGACTTCAAAAGTCCAGTTTCCACCCTGGCCGAACTATCCTGGAATTCCTTGGCTCGATCATAGCGCTGCCAGTGGCTATTACGAGTTATGTCCTTTCTATGCCTCTCCTATTGACCAATCAGATTCAACCTCTCGTATCACTTGCATTTGTTTCAAACAAAATGGTGGCGCCCAGTCTGATCGATAATCAAGATCCATATTGTGATAAAACAAATCTTACATCGTGAAGTGCATCAAATCACGTGAGCACCTTGATTAAAAACATGAAAAGATTTAGAAAATATCTGTTGACAACCAGTTAGCGGTGTACATGCTTTGCAAATCCTACAGTCGACCGAAATCTGCATGACACTCTACGAACCAGATTTCGATTTCGGTGCACGATTTTGATTGGACTATGCATAGACTCATTAGTCAAGCCAAAATGTAACTCCATAATACCAGCCTAGTTCGGCAAGGGTGGGAACTGGACTTTTAAAGTCAGTTAACTCTCTTGCCTCGGGAAGATGGCTTCCAGGGAGTGCTCAGACTACCGGTACACCATATAGGAGGGAATATTTCTCCTGCAACATGTGCCACTGCCCTGCATACATTAGGGGCACGTTCAGCAATGAATCGCTTAGAGTAGGCAAATTAATCGTTCATCCAAGGGTCTGGAACAGTTAGAAACGCTTGCGCAGTCTTCCAAAATGGCAGCACTACTACTTGGTTGCCTTGTCCTAATGAAGAACGTAATAGGAGAGGCTCGATGACGAACTGATGAAATTTATGACTACTTTGAAGATGTGGAGCAGACTGAGTATGATGGGGTGTTAGCTGCTTTGACTCCTTTCCCAGTTGATCCAGTCAAGTGAGTGGGTATGGTTTTACGCCTCTTTTAGCAATATTCCAGGAATATCACGGCAGGGGACACCAGAAATGGGCTTCACACATTGTACCCATGTCGGGAATCGAACCCGGGTCTTCGGCAAGACGAGCGAACGCTTTAACCACTAGGCTACCCGACAGCCCCTGATCCAGTGAAGAATTTCTTGTTCCACTGGCAAACTCAGCCACAGTGATTGGTATGATTGCAAGGCTGAAAGTTGTTGCTAGGCGCCCAGTTGTTAGGCGTATCGCTGTACATCGCTTGCTAGCGATTGGCACTTTGCAACACAGCCCTACTCTACACTCTGCTGTATCAGGTGAAGGTCATACATTGCCTCATGTCATTCGTTGACTAAGAATGGACACTTGTCACTTTACACTAATAGTGAGTGAGTGAGTGAGTTGGGGTTAACACCGCTTTTAACAGTATTCCAGTCATATCATGTCAGCTTAATGTGGGAGGAAAGCCCGAAGTGATGCAGGTCTTTGACGTTTACCACTTCGGTGAAACCCACAAGCACGGGTATGGTGCTGACAAACCTAGAAACATAATCGGGGCGAACCAGGATTCGAACCCACAATCATAGGTTTCTGGTGTGCCCAAGGGACGCAACTCTGCACAGCTAATTGTGGCGCCTTAGACGACTGGGCCACCCGTGCCCCCCTTTACACTTATAGCGGGCTTGTGCATTCACGACACCACAGGTACGTATCTAGATGTGCTCAGAAGCCAATATTCCACCCTAAATCTGCAGAAAGTGTCAAATGGGAACAAATAAGTTGCTAGTTCATGTAAATATGGTAATAACTTGTAACAAGGCGACTTATATTCAACTGATAACCAAAAAGGACCAAAAACGTGTAAGAGGCTTAATTTGACATAATGTTTTGACTGTAATGTAACAATGCAATGTTAAAATGCCTCTGAAACTAGGAACATAAAATAATCCTAATTTTAAACAAAATAAAAAATGCTTCCCAATTTGCCTCCCAAGGGCAATAAGTTCGGAATCCTAGATACATTTATTGTATCATTGGTTATTGGGAACTGTGCTAAACAGAGTGAGTCTGGTAAAAATTAACACCTGCCTTGAACAGCCACTAATGCATTCTGGATTTTCTCCACCTTGACATCAAGCCCTTTTTTCCTACATGCTTCTGCCCTGTTCTGAAAAATATACAAAAGGAAAAGGAGTTAGCTATGAATTAGACTTTGTTAAATCCAAGTAAGGATAAGAGTTTATAGATGAACAACTTATTTATTACAATTAAGAGCGACGTTTCGGTGTAGTTTCTAACACCATTATAATGCAAGATTTTGTTGGTTTTTTGTAATAAAGAAGTTGTTCATCCATAAATTCTTATCCTTACTTCTCCAACTTCTAAATGCCTTGTAAAGAAGTTTGTGAAATCCACAGAATGAAAAGTAGCGCCACCAGTGGCTATTACCAGTTATGTCCCTTCTAAGCCTCTCCTATCAACCAAGTCAGCGAGTCGGACCACCCAATCCCATTAGTCACCCCTTACAACAAGAATAGTCGCCTTTTATTGCAAGCATGGGTTGCTGAAGACCTATTCTAACCTGGATCTTCACAGGTCGAGTGAGTGAGTGAGTATGGTTTTACGCCGCTTTTAGCAATATTCAAGCAATATCACGGTGGGGGAAACCAGAAATGGGCTACACACATTGTACCCATGTCTGGAATCAAACCCGGGTCTTCGGCGTAACGAGCGAACACTTTAACCACTAGGCTACCCGACCGCCCCTTCACAGGTCGAGATCTACTGAGTGTTTTAAACTAGGGACATCTAAATCTTCAGTTTTATCATCAGGGTTATGACAAGGAACCAGCGGACTAATGCCGGTTTTATTGTGTACGCCCACTAAGATACCCAGCCACAGTTTAACATGGATTCCCCACTCGGATATAGTTTACCGACTCAGAGTCAACCAGTCCTTGTTTTAGCTCCTTAATGTTAAACAGGGTAACAATTGATGCTCATGATATCAATCACTGGATTGTCTGGTCCAGACTTGATTATTTACAGACCGCCGTCATATAGATATAATATTGCTGAGTGTGGCGTTAAACAACAAAACAACCAACCAACCAGTTGTAAGTAATCAGAGGAATCAACATGTCTGATGCTGACAATTGCAAAACAACAGTACCTGCATATTGGAGAAATCCTTCTCAATGCATCCCGCATTTGACACAACATACAGATAATCTTCCGTCGTCTTTGTGACAATCAAGTCATCCAAAATTCCACCCTTTTCATTCAGAAATACTGACAGTGTCCCAGTGTTGTCCTTCATGCCCTGAACATCAGCAGGAACGAGAGACTCCATGTACTCAATACGATCTTTGCCAACTACTTTTGTTTGTAGCATGTGGGAAACATCAAAAATGCCAACATTTTCCCTCACATGCAGATGAGACTCTGATATAGTGTCTTTGTACTGCACTGGCATCTCCCAGCCAGCAAACGGAACCATTTTCCCATTTTGGGCAACATGGAAATCGTACAAACAAGTTCTTTGTAAATTGGAACTCTGAAAAGTAAAAAAATAACATTTGTTTCAGAAATAAAATGTTCAGAATATATATGAATAGTAATTGGATGTTGAGATAATGATTTATTTTGTTCCAAATTATTACATTGAATATTAATTGCTGCACTTTGATATCCCCTAAAAGTGAAAATAAGGTGTGGTGAAATGGGGTATAACGTCCCGTTCAAGATTATTGCACTTATATAGCGACGTGCATGCACGTGTATGTGTGTGTGTGTGGCTGCTTGTACTAGTCCAGACTGATACCGATTTATAGTGCTATCACACTGAGATACCATGCCGCAGTCTAACATGAATACCCCACTCAGACACAGTATACTGACACCGAGCCGACCAGTCCTTGTTTTAGACCCTTAATTCCGAGCTCCAGACAGGGTAACAACAAGTACCATCTTTTAACGTCTTTTGGCATGACGCGGCTGGGGATCAAACCTCGGACCTTCCGCTCTCCGGGCAGACGGTCTACCATTAGACCACAGAGGCGGTCTAAAGTGAAAATAAGAGAGGAGTGAGTGAGTGGGTGAGTATGGTTTTACGCCACTTTTAGCAATATTCCAGCAATATCACGGCGGGGTACATCAGGTTTGGGCTTTGGGTGTACATCAGTTACATTAGTTTGGTTTGTTTGAAGGGGTGCATGTAAATAAATGCAAAAGATATTTATGAGTAAAGAGTCACACTCCCAATGTAGTTGTATATGGTGAATGTGGTAGGTTCCCACTACATATATTTATGTACAAATTAAAGTCATAAAGTATTGGTTAAACTTATTAAGGATGGTAGTGTGCAAGAGAGATTTCATCAGGTGAGCTAAACGAATAATAATTATATATAAATAATATATATGAATAATAGATTTATATGACGAAGACAATTTAAGAAGTATGCGTATGCATGTGACACATGAAACGCAATGCCAAGTAATAGAAAGAACTTAGCGAGTTCTCTTCCATGTTTTAAGTGACTGCCGCCAGCTCCGTGCCGACATGATCATACGCGACTAATATGGTATCGTATTCCACCTCTCTTGGTGTCGACATTAATTCAAAAATAGTAATAGCTCCATTCCCCAATCATGCTTGCTCTTTACCGTATTGTTGAACCTAAATACGCTCTTAGCGATGCTGTCATGTCTAAGTTTGCGCACACAACGCTGCACAAAAACACTGGTCCTCACAGTCTGCATTGCGAACATTGAAGGCACGTTGATAAATGGCCTTGACCCGGCATTGACCTTAACCTTTGGGTTGCATAAAAAATAAGGACTGTGACGTGAAGAAGGCTTAAAAGAAGAACCCAAAATGTTAGTGAAGGACATTTTCAAATGCAAACATTTAGGGACTGGTAATTTATTATGGGGTATGTCATGAAAAGTGTTACGTGTGTTTTGAGGCCATCGAAAAAAGGATACATACAACGGTGGTTACGGGGAAGTTAGGGCTGGGACGGGTAACTCGGGTACTGAGTAGAACCCGGGTACCCACAGGACTACCCGGACCCGTGGTGAATCACGTCTTATATTGTTTAATGACAAAAAGACCGCCTCCGTGGTCTAATGGTAGAGCGTCCGCCCGGAGAGCGGAAGGTCCGGGGTTCGATCCCCAGCCGCGCCATACCAAAGACGTTAAAAGACGGTACTTGTTGTTACCCTGTCTGGCGCTAAAGGGGCTAAAACAAGGACTGGTCGGCTCGCTTTGCTCGATACGATATACTTCTAAGCGTTTAGCGTTTAGATCTGAGCACACCTCCACAGAAGGCAATTAAGTATGATCAAAGTCCCAAGCGTGCGTCAATACATTCGACTCCCCTACAAAACACCTTTTTTTCATTTTGGTTATTAAAAATATTTACTGCACTTTTGAGAGAGGGTCTTTTGCCTATGCCTACAGACCCTATGGATTTTTAAAAAAAAAGAAAAGAAATGACCTATTAAGGCGTTATTTTAAATTCGGAGAATGGAACCCCGCGGGTAATAAGGCCAAAATAAAAGTTACCAAAAGTTTTGTTGATATAGGGGTATTAGTCCCAAAGTCATGTTATTAATAAATAAGTCCTGGCGAGTAAACATTTCATCAACTCTTAAAACTAAATCCTTAGTAGTTATTCCCCCATCCACCCTCCATCCGCACACACACGCACGGACGTACGCACGCACCCAAGCAAGCAAGCATGCACGCACGCACATATACCACCTTTGTATATATATATATATGTATGCCTTTGGGTTAAACTATATTTCTATAAAAATATGAAAGCCGTAAAAGTTCCACAGAAAAGAAGCATTCCCACACTTCTGTCTGGGGTCATCCATAGCGTGCTACCTTGCATGGTGAATCCTTTTCCATACTATCTTGCATGTTTCAGTTTTAGGATTTCCAAGCACATGGTCGCCTTTTATTTACTTTCATAAAACCTCGTTTGATTGGTTGTTCTTTGTCAAGCGAATATTGATCTTTTATACAACTGCTCCATAACGTCAATGTTGTCATCATCTAAGGCACCATGATTTGTACAGTAAAGCTTTTTTCATCAAGCTAGGGTTGTGATATAATTGTAATAAAGCATGAATAATTGCACATTTATCACGAAATCGTGCATGAGATAATTTCTCATGGACCAATCAGATACATCGTTACATTGCCTCGCACCAAAACACAAACTACGCCATTTGTATTTCATGCGGGTAGACTGAGAACCAACAAAATGCTGTACCTGGAAGATTACTTGGAGAGTAAGTCTATTTAACGTAAAATTCTTATGCGGAATAAAATAAAGTGAACGTAATTATCTTGACACGTGCTATTTGCGTAGCCGAAATTGTCTGAACCCTGTCCAAACTGTGACCATCTGCTAGCTAACTCAGTTCTCATGCTCATTTCTTTTCAGTGATCGAAAATCTGCCCATGGAAATGCGAGAGAGGCTAACTGAAATGCGTGAAATGGATTTAGAAGTTCAAAGTAAGTCTTTGATTGCAATAGGTCAGTGCAAATAGTTTATTTATTTTGATTATGACCGGCAAATGTGAGTGAAGAGTTATCTGCCCCTGCAGGATTGCTTTCACTTCCGTGTTGTCTGCTTGTTTTGATGGAAAATGAGATGTCAGTCCAAATGGTATTTGTGTTTTTTACTTTATCTGTTTGATTGGCAGTTCAACAGTTTTATAGAAGTAATCTCGTCATTTTGTGCAAACGTGGTTTACTTAGGAGAATTTGTAAAATGTGTTTTTTTCCCTCTGAATTTCAGACAGAAGTTAACAGCTGTTAAAATAATGATTCTGGTTTTATGCAATATTTAGTAATTTTCAGCCATATCAGTTTGGTTTGCACATTTAGTCATTATTGTATTGGCCGCCGAGACAGAAACTACTTCTAAACAAAGAAATGTATAAAGGACTGATTGATTTTCCTCCCCAGGCACATTATGCAGGGGGATATAGTTTTTTATCCTCCCCAGGTATATTGTGCAGGGGGATATAGTTGACGCCTCGTCAGTCTGTCCATACATTCGTCAATACATTATTTTGTTTCCAGAGCACAACTCAAAAACTATATATTTTTTAACAAAAATTGGCAGATATATCAACAAATCAAACAGATCCTGAAGTGGTGCCTTTTGCTATTTACAGGTTGTTGGCGTTTATGTTTTTCTTGATTTTCATTGAAACAATTTGGACTTAGTCTCTAAAGGGGGGTGGATTTCATTTCCGGAGCACAACTAAAAAAACGTTCAATATCTTTCAACAAAACTGGGAGGATATATCAAACAGGCAAGAAGTTTGACTCTGACTCTGTTCATAGTGTTGAGTCTGTCTGGACCTTGTCTCTAAAACTAATACTCGCTAGGTATGCCTTCATGACACTTTGCACACATTAAGATCAGGTTGTCATCTCAGTACCTATTGCTATTAGGGATTTTTAAAATATATATATTTTAGTTACCATTTCCATGGCAACTAGTTTGACTTTGTCTCTGTTCATATTGGTGTGTACCTGACATAGAAATACCGAGTTCCGAATCCCAATTCCATGGTATTTTGTTTGGTAGCTCAATAACTTCTTATGTATACGGACACTGTCGGACAGTCAGATTTGACAGAAATTCTCTCATCAAGTCTGACTTAAAGAAACAAGTCAAATGATTTGTTCTTTCAAATTTGTGGGGACCAGGAAGATTTATTGTCACCTTCTGAGTTCTTTTGTATATTTCGGTAACTCAGTCTTCTAAGGCAATTCGATGCTCAAAGTTGCGTCCTTCAGTTTGATTATATTTCTTGGTTGAGCACCATGCCCTTGCTCCTGGGTTTCACCAAAGTGGTAGAATCCTATTGTTGTGGGTTCAAATCCTAGAATCGTCCTGATTATGATTCTTGATTTATCAACACCACAGAGCTACAGATAAGCTGCGTATCTGCGTAAAATACGCTTCAGAAATGCAGAAATATGCAGTAAAATAAAATCCAAGCGTATCAAATACGCAACGAACATTACAGATAAGCTATAAAATTAAACTTGTGTGTATCATCAAAATATTGTGAAGTAACACTGCGTATTCGATTTGCAAATCAGCAAGTTATTTTGAAATTATAACTGGGCATTCCGTCAACCTTGCCAAACTCCACGATGACAGTTACATCATGATCATTTGCCATCACACTTTCTTGTGGAAGTATCGTGGTATTTGTGAGTCCTATAAAGCTCTCGAACCAACACGACACCAGTTTGCAGAGACTTGATGAATAATGTGTTTTTAAATATTTAACTTAAATACCCACATGTGTAAAAACTAGTGGGTAACAGAAATTTGAATACCCAGATAGAATTACTGATACCCAATGATTATAAAATGCATGGGTAAAATACCCACAACACCAAAAGCTTATCTGGAGCTCTGACACCATGCCGATGCTTGTGGTGACACCAAAGTGGTAACTGTTGAATAACTGCTTCTCTTTGGCTCGCTCTACATTAAGCACATGGTATGTCGGAAAAACTGTTCAGCCAACTCACTGAATCACTTTTTGCTTTTGAAGATGCCCTTGACAGTCTGGAAGAAAGGGTCAAGACTTTTTTCACCAAATGTGTTACACCAAATGTGAAGCCTGAATGGAAAGAAGAACAATTTCAGAAAATAAAACAGGTACAGTATTTCCAGTTTGATGTGAATCTGAATAATTTGTTGTTGGCATCCAATTAAGAAAGATTTGTAACAAAGGTTTCATTGTCCAGTGTAAATAAATGTCACTAACTAGTTAATTGTAGACAGTTATGCAATCTAATTCTCCAATCCAGGGAAACTAATCTTCTATTTCATGTATTTATGTCTGATCACGGATTTGCCTGTATTAGTTAAGGTGGGGCCCAGATGATTCCCAATATTTAATTGTAAGGTTCCTGGTGTTGTGGGAGGGTCCAGCCATACTACTCAGTGACACGTCAAACTATGTTTTCTTTGATATGACATGGTATAACTTGATAAGTAATACATTTAGTTTTATTAAGAGACTGGCTCTTTTCAAACCACTGATAAAACTGATTCATAACTTTCATGTAGAATAATTAATTTTTGTGCATTATTTGGGACACAGAATGTATATATATTTTCCAAACAATGCACTTTTGCATAGTGGACACATATTTATTCAACACATAAGACCAAGATATGTAATCAAGCAATTCATGGATTTTCATTTTTTTAGTACTTACATTTTATATAGTTATGATTTTACATATATTTTAGGATTACTATAAGGCCAAAGAAGATGCAGATGAAAAAGTGCAGTTGGCTAATCATATATACGACTTGGTGAGTGTCAGCCTCAAGTAAACTGTTGGGTGCACAGATGTGTCTGAACAATTTTTTGCCCTGCTTTGTTGAAGATACTCAGTCAATGCAATTGTAGCTGTTAAAATGTAAAAAGGAAGTTTTTTCAATCTTTGCTATTTTTTATGTTCCACAAATAAACAATAACAAATGAGTGAGTAAACATGGTAAGTGAGTGTGTCCGCATTATTGTATCCTTATTATGAGAACCTGTCTGGACCAGACAAACCCTAGCTGTTGATCAATGCCACTGCGGTACAAAGAACATAGTTATTATAGGTTTTGATATGGTCATGGTTTTGCTTGTTCAGGTTGATAGGCATTTACGAAAGCTTGATCAAGAGCTGTCCAAATTCAAGATGGAACTAGAAGCAGATAATGCAGGAATCACAGAAGTATTAGAAAAGCGTAAGTACGACATTGATATCCTGGGACACAAACATGCATGATGTGTTTGTTATATATAAATATCATCATGTGAATAGAAAATTGTTTGACACAAATATCACAGAGTCAAAATTCCAAATTCTTAGGTTAAGTATTCACACTTTCACAACTGGTTGATTAAATTTAAGGATGTATTCCTAATTATGGCTTCCTCCTGTCAAATGATCCATCAACACCTACCTGAGAACATTCTATGGAAAGCACTGACAAATTATGAGCTCACCTGGTTCGAAGGACCAAGGAGAGCTTATGCCATACCGTGGCGTCCGTTGTCAGCCCGGCGTCCGTACGTCGTCAATTTATTCAAGCAACTTCTTCTTCTGAACCACAAATTGGAAATAAACAAAATTTTACTGGAAGCAGCCCTAGATGGTGGGGATTCAAAATTGTACAAATGGTAGCCCTGACCCCCCCAGGGGACTGAGGGCCGGGGCCAAATAGGGGTAAATTTGACTATATTGCTTTAAACGACTTCTTCTCTGGAACTAAGAGATAGATATCAACCATATTTGGTTGGAAGCATTCTCCAGTGGTGAGGATTCAAAATTGTACAAATGGTGGGGTTGACACAACCAAGGGGCCGAGGGGCGGGGCCAAATAGGGGTAATTTGGCGTTATTGCTTTAAACGACTTCTTCTCTGGAACCAAGAGAAAGATTTCAACAATATTTGGTTGGAAGCATTCTCCAATGATGGGGATTTAAATTGGAGAAATGGAGGGGCTGAACCACCTTACCAGATCAGGAAAGTGACAGTCGGAATGTGGTTTCTAATCATGCAACCTCAAAAAGGTTAACATAGGATATTCTGTCAAAATCATCAACTGTCCCTCGCTTCAATGGGAAAGACATTTGAATGGAAGATACTTTGCATAGCTTGTTGGAAGTACTGCCATACAATATCAGTCATCTATTAGACATCCTAGAATGTTCTTTTGTTCAGTTTTCATATTTTGAATCGAGAACTTTGTCGGAATATTTTTCAAAGGGTAATCTGGAATGGAAGTCGCCAGTTTGAAACTAGTGCCAATATGCCGGAGAAAGCTGCTTTCTGATTGGCTTATGTCAACTTCTTGTCAGTCAAGTTCAAGACAGGTTGTTACATCATGTGAAAAGCTGCATAGCCATAATTTCCTACTCAATCTGTTACCATGGTAATATGAAGGTATTCATGTTTCTAGGATCTCTTGAGTTGGACAAGCCTCAGCCTCCTATCAGTAATCCACACAAGGCAGAAAGTAAGTAGCTTCTAGCATATGTCTATCTTGAACAAATCATCCCTTTTCATGTTAAAGAATAATAAGGATGCGTTATCTGTGACATCTTTGTGTTTGATGTTGCTGAATTTTGTATTGCATTATGGAAATATGTCCGAAGTGTTTAAACTTTGAAGTTGGCAAGTTGATTTTTCATCCTTTTTGGTCCTTATCCACGCTGAGTGTGTGAATATAGTATTACTGTATTTGAGTTTTTTGTACAGTGATTGAGCTTGAAGGATATCACCAAAAACCTGTTCATGAGTAATATGTAATTTGAATTCAAACTTTTCCACAATTCCTTTGTCGGGTAGATAATCACACATTAACATGTTCATCATCAATGATACCAATTCCATATTTTCTGTTTTGAAATGTTATTTCAACCCATGTTTGAAACAGGACATTTATATATACTACATGTTGAAAATGCAGAAAAAAGTAGCATCCAATTATTATTGATGATAGTTCAGTTTGAATGAACTCTCCAGTGGTCAGCGTTTTCTGATCCCAAAAACTTGTTTCAGGGAAGTTTGAGGTTAGTTAAGGCTTGACATATAAAAGGAACTTGTGTCATTTCCCCAATAGGAAACTACTTTGGTAATTTTGCAACCTTTTGTAGGTCGGACCTAAAATGGACATGCACTTTGTGAGGTTGCAAAATATATTGAATACAGCAAATGTCTTTTGGACTTGTTACAGAGAGACGACTACCTCAGACCTCTTCTCTGGTGACCAACCATGCCCCAGAGAAACGGCCAACCACCGAAGTGCTTTCAAAACTAGCAACAGAGGCAGCCAAGGAAGTGATTCGCCGGTCAGACTCTGCCGGGAACTCCCCTGCCATGGCCATGTTCAACTCCAGTGCAAGCTCATCCCCAATTGCATATAACTTAGGTGTGCACATTACAATGATTACTTGAATACATACTGCTTGAAAGTGTGATCGAGTTTAATGTTGACGAACACTCCTTCACTCACTTGATTTCATAGCTTCAATGCTGAATTGTGAGCACAGAAAGGATTTCGATGTGATACATATCAAAGAACGTTAGACTGAGTAGTGTAACAAATCAAATTGGCTAATGAAAGTCAAGGGCGGGTAGTTTGAGATCGCGAGAACCACGGGAATGATTACCAAAATGAGAGCCCTGGAGATATGGAGGATGGTGTCAACAGAGCCCTTCTTTTCTGCTAGAATCAGGCCTGTTGATTGCTCAGATTGCTTCCTCTTCAACCAGACAGCCTTTGTAGGCTAGTGGACAAACCATCTGCCTAGAGACCCCTGAGGTCCGTGGATCGTAACCACTCTCTGCTACTATTGTGCATGCCAATCTAAACAACCAACCGACCACAGTAGACACTTCGCTTCTTCTCTATCCTCACATACACTCATGCAAGACAATCTGTCACGCCAGCCGGCACATGTTCACAAGATTTACCCAGCAGCCCCTGACATGCGCAGTGGGTCTAGTTTAGCTGACGATATTATGGCATCAACACGATCTCCTGGCCATATCATACGTTTAAAGATGGTACTTGTTGTTACCAGCCTTGGCGCATAGCATTTAGCATCTTCCCAAGTGCAAGGGAGTCAACTGTCTGTAAGAGTCCAGTTTCCATCCTTGCCAAACTAGTCTGCAATTCTGGAGTTATAAATTTGGTTGGACTAATGAGTGTATGCATTGTCCAATCAAAATTGCTTAACGATCTAGACATCCGGTTCGTAAAAACATGGAATTCAATGTGCAGATTTCGGTCCACTGCAGGATTTGTTTTTAATCAATGTGCTCAAGTGATTTCATACACTCCGAGGTAAGACCTGTTCTGTTACAATTTAGAAGCAAATGTAAGTGATATGAGAGATGGAATCTGATTGGTCAATAGGAGGAACGTAGAGGGGACAGAATTCGTAATAGCCACTGGTGCTATGATCAAGTCACGGAATTCCAGTCTAGTTTGGCAAGGGTGGAAACTGGACTTTCAGAGTCAGTTGACACCCATGTCTTGGGAAGATGAGCATTAGAGGAATAAAACGAGGACTGGTCGGCTTGGGTTATCTAGTGGGCACAAGTCCGGAATAGTACAAACAGCCACACGCACTTGAAAATGCACGTCACTGTGTAAGAGCAATAATCTTTTGAAGCAATGTAAACCCCATTTCACCTCATTGTCCAGCTGAACCATTTGTTTTGTGACTGTCAGCCTGAAACAAACTTTTGTTGACTATCTAATACACCAAATTATGAAAGTATGCAATACAAGAAAACACAGCATAAGTCAGACTAGAGCAGATTTCTGAGATTAGAGATAATTTCTACCAACTTAAGTCAATTAAACCAACAAGGAGTGCAATGTTGCAACATTGAATCGATGGTAATAGCTCTGTTCTTTCCGACAGGTCATATTGGTGCTGGAAGCAATGCGGCCATAGCTGCTGCCGCGTCTCAGGCCATCGCCGCCACACAACAGGTGAGAGTAGGTGTCAATATATATCCCAGGTTATTTTCTAACTATCCTACATACAACTACTCTAAGTTCTCACTCTGCCTGCGTTACCTGTGGGGATTCCAGGTCAGGTAACCAGTACAACGCTTGTTGTAAGAGCCCACTTAAATTAGGATGGGGTGGACAGGCTCTGTGACTTGACCATCTTACCGTAATGGTGTGGCTTCTTGCTCATGCTTTCAGTCACTGGTTTGTCTGGTCCAGGTTGGATTATTTTCAGGCTGCCTTGCAATGGCTGGAATATTGCTGACTGTGCTGTTATGGTTACCAAGAATTTGTGATAAATTTTAAATTTCAGTATTGATAAATACACAGTTTGATTCCTTAAATACACTGTTGAGTGTATGGTGTTCATGTGAGTGTATGACATTAATGTGAGAGTATGAATTTGAATGTGTGTGCATGACATTAATGTGGGAGTGAGTTTATGGTGTTGATGTGAGTGTGTGGTGTGAGTGTGTGGTGTTCATGTGACCTAGAATCCCCACAGATGTGGGTCTGTTGTGTGGTGTTGATGTGGGTGTGTGGTGTGGTGTTGATGTGGGTCTGTTGTGTGGTGTTGATTTGGGTCTGTTGTGTGGTGTTGATTTGGGTCCGTTGTGTGGTGTTGATGTGTGTTTGTGGTGTTGGTGTGGGTGTGGGTGTGTGGTGTTGATTTGGTTGTGTGGTGTTGATGTGGGTCTGTTGTGTGATGTTGATGTGGGTGTGTGGTGTGAGTGTGTGGTGTTCATGTGACCCAGAATCCCCACTGATGTGGGTCTGTTGTGTGGTGTCGATGTGGGTGTGTGGTGTTGATGTTGGTCTGGTGTTGATGTTGGTCTGTTGTGGGGTGTTGATGTGGGTGTGTGGTGTTGATGTGGGTATGTTGTGTGGTGTTGATGTGGGTCTGGTGTTGATGTGGGTCTGTTGTGTGGTGTTGATGTGGGTCTGTTGTGTGGTGTTGATGTTGATCTGTTGTGTGGTGTTGATGTGGGTCTGGTGTTGATGTTGGTCTGTTGTGTGATGTTGGTCTGTTGTGTGATGTTGATGTGGGTTTGTGGTGTTGATGTGGGTGTGTGGTGTTGATGTGGGTGTGTGGTGTTGATTTGGGTGTGTGGTGTTGATTTGGGTGTGTGGTGTTGATGTGGGTCTGTTGTGTGATGTTGATGTGGGTGTGTGGTGTTGATGTTGGTCTGTTGTGTGATGTTGATGTGGGTTTGAGGTGATTTGGGTGTGTGGTGTTGATGTGAGGTTTGGTTTGGGGTGAGTGTGTTGTGTTGATGTGGGTGTGTGGTGTTGATGTGGGTCTGTTGAGGTGATGTGACTATGATGATGTGAGTGTGTTGTGTTGATGTGGTTCTGTGGGTTTGATGTGGGTGTTTGGTGTTGATGTGGCTGTGTGGTGTTGATGTGAGAGTGTGGTGTTGATGTGGCTGTGTGGTGTTGATGTGAGTGTGTGGTGTTGATATGAGAGTGTGATGTTGATGTGGGTCTGTGGTGTTGATGTGACTATGATGTTGGTGTGAGTGTGGTGTTCACGTGAGTGTATGGTGTTGATGTGGGTCTGTTGTGTGGTGTTGATGTGGGTTTGTGGTGTTGATGTGGGTGTGTGGTGTTGATGTGAGTGTGTGGTGAGGCGTTGATGTGGGTCTGTTGTGTGGTGTTCATGTTGGGGTGTAGGGTAATGTAGGTCTGTGGTGTTGATGTAGGTTTGTGGTGTTGACGTCACTGTGGTGTTGACGTCACTGTGGTGTTGACGTCAATGTGGTGTTGGTGTGAGTGTGTAGTGTTGACGTTACTGTGATGTTTGTGTGAGTCTGTGGTGTTGACTTGAGTGTATGAAGGTGTTGATGTGGGTGTATGAAGGTGTTTATGTGGGTGTATGAAGGTGTTGATGTGGTTGTATGAAGGTGTTGATGTGAGTGTATGAAGGTGTTGATGTGGGTATATGAAGGTGTTGATGTGAGTGTATGAAGGTGTTGATGTGGGTATATGAAGGTGTTGATGTGAGTGTATGATGGTGTTGATGTGGGTGTATGAAGGTGTTGATGTGGGTGTATGAAGGTGCTGATGTGAGTGTATGAAGGTGTTGATGTGAGTGTATGAAGGTGTTGATGTGGGTGTATGAAGGTGTTGATGTGAGTGTATGAAGGTGTTGATGTGGGTGTATGAAGGTGTTGATGTGGGTGTATGAAGGTGTTGATGTGGGTGTATGAAGGTGTTGATGTGAGTGTATGAAGGTGCTGATGTGAGTGTATGAAGGTGTTGATGTGAGTGTATGAAGGTGTTGATGTGAGTGTATGAAGGTGTTGATGTGGGTGTATGAAGGTGTTGATGTGGGTGTATGAAGGTGTTGATGTGAGTGTATGAAGGTGTTGATGTGGGTGTATGAAGGTGTTGATGTGAGTGTATGAAGGTGTTGATGTGAGTGTATGAAGGTGCTGATGTGAGTGTATGAAGGTGTTGATGTGGGTGTATGATGGTGTTGATGTTGGTGTATGAAAGTGTTGACTTGAGTGTATGAAGGTGTTGATGTGAGTGTATGAAGGTGTTGATGTGGGTGTATGAAGGTGCTGATGTGAGTGTATGAAGGCGTTGATGTGAGTGTATGAAGGTGCTGATGTGGGTGTATGAAGGTGTTGATGTGAGTGTATGAAGGTGCTGATGTGAGTGTATGAAGGTGTTGATGTGAGTGTATGAAGGTGTTGATGTGAGTGTATGAAGGTGTTGATGTGAGTGTATGAAGGTGTTGATGTGGGTGTATGAAGGTGTTGATGTGAGTGTATGAAGGTGTTGATGTGGGTGTATGAAGGTGTTGATGTGAGTGTATGAAGGTGTTGATGTGAGTGTATGAAGGTGTTGATGTGGGTGTATGAAGGTGTTGATGTGAGTGTATGAAGGTGCTGATGTGAGTGTATGAAGGTGCTGATGTGAGTGTATGAAGGTGTTGATGTGAGTGTATGAAGGTGCTGATGTGAGTGTATGAAGGTGTTGATGTGGGTGTATGGTAGAGAGTGTATGTTTCCCCTTGCCATACAGATGCAGCAAGGTCGGAGGACCTCCAGTATGAAAGCCAGCTATGACCTTATGGGTCGCCCAATTCCTGTGGTTGCCAAAGATTTGTCCTTGAGCTTTCCTGCACAGACATCTGCTCCAACCACTCCAGACTCAACACCCAGATCCTCCAGAACAAAGAAGTAAGTAAATGTGAAGCTGGCAGGGTCTTGTATGCACACCTATTTTCTGAAAGAAGAAATCTTTGATTTTCAAATGCAGAAGTGGTGTGAAGTCATGCTCGGCGCAACTCTGCTAAACCCCATGCAGAAATTAGTGTGCTTCTAGTAATCTGGGAGGCGGTCGGGTAACCTAGTGGTTAAAGCGTTCGCTCCTCATGCCAAAGACCCGGGTTCGATTTTCAACATGGGTACAATGTGTCAAGCCCATCTCTAGTGTCCCCAGTCGGGATATTGCTGGAATATTGCTAAAAGCGGCGTAAAACCATACTCACTCACCAACTCTAATAATCCGGCATATTATGTCCTATCAACTCCCTCCAGAGGTTTTTTACCATATATCTGTAAGTAGTTGTTACGATTCAATGTGACACTAAGAAATTGTTTTTGACTAAGCTTAGGGATTCAATGAGGCCTGCTTAGATGCCAACATTTGGCCCCAAGTCTGCAGCGTACATCAGTAATAAATTCCCAAATTTAGTTTCTCATTTCCCAATTCATGTTGTGTTGAAATAACTAACTTATGGCTTTGTACAGGTGACTTGTATTTCACTGATAATTGGAGCAAATTTAGGATTTTTCCCCTCAAGGGCCCCATTTGTAATCCTGTATAAATCCCTGATGCTGTGAAGAACATTTTACCTGGGTTTTGGAATGTTCCTATGTCTGTTCATATGAGTGGCATTGTTCATGTGACAGCTGAACAGCTGAACGGCCCCCCAGTAAGGAAGTTATGTTCACCAGGAGTGCTTAGAACTTTGTTATTATGGAGTTTGTTTCAAAGTTGTACAGCATTAGGCATATGTTTCCTCAAAGTGGAGTCATTAATCTCGAAGTGAGTGTGACTTGTTATATGGGTGGCTAAAGGCATTGGACTAAGTTGAGCTGTATTAGATGACATTAAAGGTGAAAGATCGATACAGGTAAATATTGATTTGGTAAAGTCAAAATGGCTTATGGTACATGTTTCTAGTGGGAAAGTTTGGGGCATTCAGCAATAGGTGGAGATAGGGATGCTTCTATTTTTGACAGACCAAAGCTGATTAATAGAAAAAAAATCTGTAAACCAGTAAATAAAAAATATGGCTTTAGTTTAGATGTCCTAAACGCTGCTGTGTCCAAGGACGATGGTTTAATGATTATCTTTGCAAACCTTAGGCAACATTTAATATATATTTTTTCAGACCCACAACAAAAGCTGCCGCCCTTGCCCAACAGCACACCACCCAGCCTGCCCCTCCGGCAGCAGTGGCTGCACCCATACCACCCCCGGTGCCTCCTGTGGCACCACCCCCTGCCGTGGTCCCAGAACCTGTGGAAGACTACAATAGTGACCTCCAGGTGGATGACTGGAGCAGTGATCCCAATGAGCCACGCTACTGTCTGTGCAACCAGGTGTCGTACGGAGACATGGTGGGCTGTGATAATGATGATGTAAGTATCGCCCACTCTGCTGCTCTTCCTCCTCAGATCCCCATGGTATCCATGGCATCCCGGGGTAAAATAGGTCCACACCACGTAGTTGCTAAGAGGCACCTTAAGTGGATTGGGTGGTTAGGCTCGGTGACATGGTTATTTCTTCTCATCATACCTGATGGCTTGCCACAGTAACAATTATTATCCCTCGTCAAAATTGGTCCCCTCATTAATTTTTTTTGCTCCGTGCTTTTCAACTTAGTGCATACTGTGTGAAATGGGGACAAGTTTTCTCAGAAACTATTTAAATTACATGAATGAAAGTTTATCTAAGAGATTCTTGTCAAAACTGAGTTCGAAAATTTGTCCTGTAAATTATTTTTTTACATAGTTACAGCCCTTGGTCCATATTATTTTACTGTGGCTGCAATGGTGACAAGTTTTCTCAGAAACTATTGAGTTAGCTTATCTAAGAGACACTTATCAAGACTCAGTTATATTTTCCAGAGGGGCATTTTGTGTGTATTAATTTCACATTTAATCTTTTTTTCTGATGACATAAAGTGACCCAAGTGCCTATCAAAATTCAAATGTGCCCCATGGCGGGCGATAGTGATATCGCTGTTTTCTTTGTTCATATTGTTCACTAGCTTCGTGCATGTGACAACGTGTAAGCCTAATTTCTACCAGTCATAGAATTCATCCTTATTATCATTCTTTGTTTGTCAGCACAATACCCATGCTCATGGGTTTCACAAAAGTTTTTAAATGTCAAAGATACATACAATAATTGTTTCATCCCTTATGATAACCTGTCTTTCCTTCTCAGTGTCCTATCGAGTGGTTCCACTATGGCTGTGTGGGTCTGACACAAGCACCAAAAGGCAAGTGGTACTGCCCGCAGTGTACAGCCGCCATGAAGAGGCGGGGCAGGAGGTGACAGCCTCACAGCCAGGAGAGAATGTGGACTTTTGTGTTGTGTGGATATCCTGACTGGATAAAAGTGGCTGTATGTGTGATGATGTTGTTGTGCCTCTGTGGACAGTGTACAGAGCAGTGTCTACTCGAGAACTAAGTATAATAGAGACGTGTCTGCTTGGGAACCAAGTGTAACAGTGGCGACTGCTTGAGAACTGACAGAGATGCATCTACTCTGGAACTAACAGAGCTGCGTCTACTTGGGAACTAACGGAATGGCATCTACTCTGGAACTAACGGAATGGTGTCTACTTGGGAACTAACGGAATGGCGTCTACTTGGGAACTAATGGAGTTGCATCTACTTGGGAACTAATGGAGTTGCATCTACTTGGGAACTAACGGAATGGCGTCTACTTGGGAATTAACGGAGCAGCGTCTGCTTGGGAACTAATGGAGTGGCTTCTACTCAGGAACTAGTGTGGCTGTATGTGTACTTGTGCTGTTGAAGGTCCTCTGAAGACTGTCTCTACTTTGGAACTGGAACTAGCTTCCATTTAGTGAGTGATGTTTGTGGATGATGGATGTGGGAGTTTCTTCAGTGGATAATGTGATGGTGTTCTTCATACAAGGATGCTTGGATGTCCGAAATGGACAAATACGATGATTATGTGTAAAAATCTTTTTCAGAATGTAACATCATTGTGATCCCACCGACAATTTTGTATCACATTTCTCTGCTTGTCATTCTGTCGTGTTACCCCATGTAATTTGTTACAGCTGTTTGTTACCGACTTTGTCAACATTCAATATCCTGGTATTACTCTTTCAACACATGTCCTGCATCTGCTTACTGAAAGATGAACATGTCCTGGTTCCAGTTACAAATACATTTCCAATCTAATACTAACCAGTAACTGGCTGTATTTTTTTCAGATTAGTCTATCAAGCCCAAGACTGTTCAAAAACCTTCCTTCACCGTTCTTATGGTTCCTTATTTGTCAGCACCATACCCATGCACTTGGGTTTCATCAAATTAGTAAAAAACCTTTACCAGCACAGATTCGGGTTTTCCTTCCACATGTTGACACAATGCTGCATTACACCCAGGTCACTCACTGACTCACTCCAAACTTTTTCACACCAAATAGCTCACACTGACACTGGTTTACAAGTCAGAGAATTTAATAGATTTGTTTTCTGGATAGTAGTTAAGGGAACTTAATGCAACCCCAACAATGGCAGTCTTATGTTTCACTTCATGCAATATATCCTGATTCATCTCTCGTCTTCTGTTACCATTGTTACAGTATGCTGCCTCATGGTTGCTGATAAAGTATGTGTCTTGATAATTATGATACTGGTACTGATGGCATGGCAGTGTCCTGAAGAAACTTTGGATTAAGAATCAGGATTGAAACTTGACCTTGATAAACCAAGCCATGACTATGAATGACAACTCAATTTGTTCACAAAATATGCTTTTTCAATCCAATCCGGATGGCCTAGAATAGTAATAGTAAATACATGTACAGTCGGATTCCCTTGGTGTTTAAAACATGTAACCACAGCATGAGAAAGAGAATGAGTTGGCTGGGAAAACCATGTGTTCAGCGTGTGTAGGTCAATCAGCATGAAAAGCATGATAACCCAGATTGTTGAGAGGTGACCATGGTGATGCTAGGTGTGTTGGGGTGAATAGTTTTTTAGAAGCTGGAAACCTTTGTTTTGGCACGTTTCCACTTGGGATCGAAAGAATAATGAGAAATTCATAGTGTGAAATAGGATATATATTATAAATATACAATTTATTGTAACATTTACAATTAATCATTCAAGCATCCTGATGTATTGCAAGATTTGCAATACCTGGATATTTCCAGACAATTGATTTAACATGATTTAACCTCCAAACAAAACATCAAACATGATACTTGGAACCAGGACATGTATGTAGGCTTAAGAGTTGCGTGCCCAGAGGCGTCTGTGTGATTGGTGTTTGAATGTCTCGTGTTGTGCAGTTGCGTGTGTAGCAAGTGAACAAGAAGCGAACAAGTGTGCAAATGGTTGTTTAATGCTGGACACTTCTATGAAGTGGGCCACGCATGTTACTGTTGTGACATGTTTACTCTAGGAACATAATACAGATATTTATTCTTTCCATTAGAAGCATCAACAATGTTCATCAGGAACATCGTGGGGGAAGTTGGTGAGAGGTACTACCCACTGTTGTCAGGACACTATGTAGTGCTTCCATTTGGAAAGTCAACTTTCGCTGCAACTTGTGATAACAATAAACTACTTTCTATTTCACACTGGCTTTGTTCTTGTGTTGTGGACCTTGTCAGCAGGCTGGAATTACCAGTACGCTCTTTGGGATTCTGGACAGAATGCATGGAATAGATTCCATGTATATCATCAAATACACAGTCTACCAGCAGAAATACCAAAATACTGCGTCTTTTTGAGAAGATTTTACTCCTTATTTACACTGTTATGATGACATCAGGCTTTTGTTGTTGCAGCTGTTCAATGGCCATTTTGAAGGAGAATTATAAACAAGTAAAACTGACACAACGATAGGTCATTATGCAATATTATAGAGAAATTATATATCAACCATAAGATGACCTCATCCGTGGTCTAGTGGTAGAGCGGAAGGTCCGGGGTTCAATCCCCTTCCGCGTCATACCAAACGACGTTAAATGATGGTACTTGTTACCCCGTCTGGCGCTCGGCATTAAGGGGCTGAAACAAAGACTGGGCGGCTCGGAGTCAGTATACTGTGTCTGAGTGGGGTATTCATGTTTAACTGCGGCATGGTATCTCAGTGAGCTAGCACTATAAATCGGCATCAGTCCGGACTAGTACAAGCAGCCACACACACACGTACATGCACGTCGCTGAATAAGTGAAATAATCTTATACGCGACGTTAAATCCCATTTCACCTCACCTTATGTCGGAAACATAACTCGAATCATACGTCCACGTAGAGAACGCAAAAAAGTGAAAGACGTGCTGCTTGGGCAGTCGAACTACACGCGCAATAAGGGTATATAAATGATACGGACGGAATGTCAGACACTCACACTAATACAAAACCGCGTCAGAAATGTCACGACTGACACCCAAACAATATGAGCGGGCACTTGGTATGATACAGATGGGAGCCACCCCTGCCCACATTGCTGGAGCTTTTGGTTGCTCCCGTGTTGATGTAACTAACCTGATGCAACGTCACAGACAGACCGGGCAGACCCAGGGTAACTACGCCCGATGAAGACAGGAATCGATTCCTGACAGCAACGTCATCAGCGATGAATGCCTTAGGACATATGGTTAGTCAACAGACAGTGGCCAGGCGACTCAGGGCTCAAGAAATTACGAGTTACAGACGTATAAGGCACAGGTATTGACAGCACAACATCATCGTCAGAGATTGAGATGGGCCCCGACTGTACGTCGTTGGCAGCGTCGCTACTGGCAGACGGTTGTCTTCACTGAAAAAAGCCGGTTCTGTCTGTTCAGAGCTGATGGTTGACCTCGTGTTGTTCGCCGCAGGGGAGAACGAACAGCGGCATGTTGCATTCGGGGGATTCGCTGAGCAGAGTTGCGTCCCTTGGGCACGCCAGAAACCTGTGATTGTGGGTTCGAATCCCGGTTCGCCCCGATTATATTTCTAGGTTTGTCAGCACCATACCCGCGCTCGAGGGTTTCACCGAAGTGGTAAACGTCTGAGACCTGCATCACTTCGGGCTTTCCTCCCACATTAAGTTGACACGCCGTGATATAACTGGAACACTGTTAAAAGCGGCGTTAAACCCAACTCACTCACCCACTCCAACCAACCGACAAGAACTGATCCAGGCCCTCCAAGAAGAATGGCGACGTAGACCACGTAACGTCATCAGCTGACTGACTTTTTCCGTGCGCCGGGGAGTTTTTGCGTGTCTAGTAGCAGGGGCTGGCCGTACATGCTATTAATGTGACGTGTCATTGAAGAGCGATTTTCAGATGTGTGTGCCCTTTGTCCATAGTGAGTGAGTATGGTTTTACGCCGCTTTTAGCAATATTCCAGCAATATCACGGCGGGGGACACCACAAATGGGCTTCACACATTGTACCCATGTCGGGATTCGAACCCGGGTCTTCGGCGTGACGGGCGAACGCTTTAACCACTAGGCTACCCGACCGCCCCGCCCTTTGTCCATAACGTTAATAGCTTGTTTTTGCTACTCCACCTCAATTCGGGCAACTGTCATGCCAATGTCGGATGCTGTGTGACTGTTATTTTAAATGTTCATTTCATTGAGATGTTGATCTTTTTAATACATTTTACTACATGCATCTATCTTTTGTAGTTTTTAAACGAGAGTGATTTAAAACTGGTAAAGTTTTCTTTTGGCCGTCAGTTAAGCATGACCAACTTTGCTCTTGTAATAGTTGAATCCACACTAACCAAAGTGAAGACACGTATAACCATCATCCATAACGACGCAGTCCAATCAAAATGAGTCGGAAACGGTGTAATACTTTGACGGCACCAGGAATATTTCAGTTCATACTTACTCTTGTCATTGATAACACAAAGAAAAAAAGATAACAGGAGATAATTTTTTTTTTATCATTTTCGAATTATTCAGATTGAAAACTATCGATTTTACTGGCGTTAGAACCACGGTTTTTATCTGAGTGACGGGCTGCCTATCCCTGCATACATTGTCCAAGAGCATGTGAAATCAAGTCTAAATATAACCTGTCACTTATGTATTATCTCTGAGAACCTGCTTTATCTCAGTATATTCTATAGGTGCTCTCGTTTTTTTAATGCTGTCACGACCGAAAACATGACATGATATTAACCACAACTCAACTATGATCAACTGGGACAACTAAGGATGGTAAAAAATATTAAAAAATATTAACATTTGCAATAACTCGCCCGTTGGATTAACTCAGACATAAATGTTTGTATGAGGGAGAAGTAAGTTAAAAGAATAACTAAATCATTTTTATTCACTTTTGGAGATTACAAAGCAATTACCAACATCATTACGTTTCTTATCACATTAACCCTGAGACCAACTTGCAACATATAGTATTTCTACTCCAATTTTAATTCATTAAATAAAGTTATTATTTAGAAGAGGAAACATATATTCCCTTTCCGCCTGGAGCCTCGTCTTTGGCGTTGATAATTTTTTTTTGCTATGAGACCTATTGGTGATTGAGTGGTAAATGCAGGCGTTGTCAATTTGATAAAAAAAAAACCCGGTGATTTTATCTTTTGGCTTAACGTGAAATTTGTTGCATATACGGAGTCTATTTATGAATAGTATCAAACATCTTTTTAAAGACGCAATGAATACCAGCCTTTATATAAGACATTTCGCTACAACAGCAAAAGGTCGACATTTTTACCTTACCGACATGTCTCGCAGGACATTTTACGTACGTTTCAGTGACTATTGACGCAATGTGAAATGATCTCATATTAATGTCTAATGTTCACATTGCGTCAATTTAAAATGTACTATAAGGATGTAACTCAGTGTGGATAAAAGTATTTATTGTTGTCATGTAACTGATGTCATGTGTGACACTTTAATATCTGCTTCACTTGTCGTTAGAGGCGACTAAGCTTGTCGTTAGAGGCGACTAACGGGATCGGGAGGTCAGGCTCGCTGACTTGGTTGAGTCATGTCATCGATCCGAATGGTGTGGATCGATGCTCATGATGTTAATCACTGGATTGTCTGGTCCAGACTCGATTATTTACAGACCGCCGTCATATAGCTGGAATATTGCTGAGAGCGGCGTTAATCAACAAATTCACTCACTCACTCACTTCGTCTGTCATACAGACCCTGAAACAAATATATCCAATACAGCCCATGCAAGTCTATAATGTTTGGCAAGTCTAGATTATTGCATTATCAGTACCTGAAAATGAAGAAAGTTTCTGGACTCATTTTTCTTATATTTTATAACTATATTTTAACAACCGTATTTTTCCTGTAAAATATGTTCATTTCTGAGACTAGATGTTAGTCTTTCCCTTACTCTAAGTTGGCCTAATTTTGTGCTCGCAGAGATCGTTTTAGTGCAATGTTGATGAAACGTATCAAGGTTTTCCCATGTAGAGCGTTTGCTGTTGAAGGCAGCATACAGGATTTACCATAATAAATAAGCGGTGTGCTTGTGGTTATTTGGGAAAGTACCATGACGCGGCGTGTATCCGTGGCAGGCGTTTTTTTGTTGTTGTTTTTTTTTGTTCTATTCCATCACGTGCTTTTGAGTCGGGCTCTTAGACCTGACCCAATATTATGGACAACCCGCCTCATTTGGTCTGGGGGCTACGGAAACTGCCGAGTACATTATGTACGGGAAGTACCGAGCGGCTACATTGCACTGGCCTACCAGGGTTATTATTAGCCTGGCCAATTAGTCTGGCCTGATTTGATTTTGCGACCTAAAGCCTTGGACGCACAGAAAGTATCGCTGCAGCGGGAAAAGTAGAATCAACTTCCTCTGCTGAATGAAGATACATGACACCATCACAATTGACATCTTTTCCCCTTATAAGTATTATTGGGATGGTCCCTTATCTAAATGTCTCCCATTCTCCTTGTTAGCGATCCAGGCATGAACCTTTTTTTTCCTTCTCAATGAGAGAACAGTAAAGTTTCAGTGAATGAGTGAGTATGGTTTTAGGCCGCTTTTAGCAATATTCCAGCATTATCACGGCGGGTGACACCAGAAATGAGTTACGTTTCAAGTGACCAATATCATCTGTGTTATTAGAACAGAACAATTGTTTGTTTTGTTGTTTAACGCCGCACTCAGCAATATACCAGCTATATGACGGCGGTCTGTTAATCATCGAGTTTGGACCAGTCAATCCAGTGTTTGATATCATGAGCATCGATCCACGCAATTGGGATACGATGAGAACCAGGTCAGCGAGCCTGACCACCCGATCCGGTTAGTCGCCTCTTACGACAAGTAGAGTGGCCTCTTACAGCAAGCATGGGTTGCTGAAGACCTTTTCTCCACACAGATCGTCACAGAACAGAACAGAATACCACTCAACACGGTGTACGTAGTATGTTTAGCTTAGAAGAGTAGCATTTTTGTTTTTGATGGCGACTAGATGACATTTGTTACAATTATTCTACTGAAATTAGCAAGTTTATTCAGAACACTTATTCTGTGGCATTGTAATAAAGAGATCAATTTACATACATAAATGTTTCCCTAAAATATGCTACCCTTGAAGATTCGGGGTAGAATAGGTCTTGAGTAACCCAT